CGTGTTTGGGGTCAGAAGGTCTAAATAGAGCATAAGTACATCCCCTCCAAGTCTTCTTTCTCCTTATGGCATCTGGTGGGATGGCTCGTCAACCTGGGTATGAGATGGTTTCGTGCAACATCTCCGCCCCTTGACATCCATCGATACTCTGGCGGACGAAGATGGCGACCACTTTTCGGTCGGCCGTGAAGATAGTAGCATCCTCCAGCTTGATCCTCGCTGAGGCGGGAACATCCGTACAGTCCCTCACTTCTGGCAGGCCCTTTTCCTCGATCTCGATGACGCGTTCTGCTATGCTGGCGAGCATCGCACTGTTCCAGATCCCTTCCTGCCGTGGACCGTTGTGGAGCACATCAATCGCCTGGCGTCTGAGCTTCGGGTGCCGGCAGCGGCTGGCCACGAGGTACAAAGGGAGGATCATCCCTATGTCGAATTTGGGGTAATGCAGAATGCGCCCCTGTGGCACAGTCAAATGTTTCGTGTTGACGATGTACGAGCCCAGCGCCACTAGCTGGGAGAAGTCTGGAAGCCAGGAGTCAAACTCCATTTCTGAGGCAAAGGACGCTGCCAGCGCCCAGAGATGGACGGCCAGCCGTTGCATTTCCAGAATGATGCAGTTGCGGCGTTCCAACTCGGAGAGATTCTGATCAGCTCGGGCACGAAAATCGGCAAAGACGGCCGACCATTTTCGGAGGAAGTTGCTGCCGTCTGCACATCGCTCTGGATCCGGCGAGTGCCGGCTCTTGACGCCGTGGATGATTGAACCCATGCAGTCGTTGAAGGAGTCTCTTGCCTGGTCGGGTGTCTCGAACCTCTCGGGCACGCTGGGCAACTTGGGTGTCAACGCCGGCACCAAAACTCTCCTGTCCATTCGCCGTACGGGGAATAACAGAGACTGCGTGATCAGCCTTTTGAATATGTGGCCCAGTTGGACTTCAAGTTCGTCGCCCGCGCCACCGTTGCCTCCCTCTGCAGCTTGAGCCTCGCCGTGGTTCACATGCCACTCACAAAAGAGGTAAAGCCCACACGAGAGCTGGCGTAGCGCGGATTCGTAGTGGTTTTGAAACATCTCGAGACAGGTGAAGAGCAAATTGCTGATCAACAGCTCCACGGTGGACGGCTTGGACGCTTGCTCCATGCTCTCCCTCAACTCGGCGACGGCAAGCGTGTACTGCTGCAAGGTGAACTTGTCGCATTCCCAGTCCGCTGTGCTCCTCTTGTGCATCCCCGGCACCACGACGTTCTCCCAATGCGAAGCCAGGGCAATCATCGCATGTCGCAACGAGCCCACCGTTTGAGCGACTTGGAAAGTCAGCCTCGTCCAGAAGCTGGCGTCGAAGTAGCCCGCCAACCTCTCGGCAACGACGTCTCGGAAGTACCTCAAGGCGCGGCATTCCCGCGGAGACTGGCCCGGCGTGTGCGCCAGCCGCCGAATCGTGAGCTTCGGCTCTGTCGGTTCCCACAGCACGAGCCTTACTGCTGGTTCGCTGGACTCTGGCGACTCGAGTGCATATTTGCATTGACGCCTGCTCTTCTTGCAGGCGGAGCAGCGAGGCCGGAGCTGATCACACCGCACGTGTCTGGATCTGCAGGTCACACAGCCTCCTCTGCTCTTTGGCGCGTATCTTCGTTGTGCCATGTTTTCTGTGGGTTTCACCATTTCGAGGTTGGCGCTAATGTCACGGCAGACGGTATATTGGCTGGTAGATGCAACGGTGTTGAGAAGAGAGCAATACGAAGACCTCTCCCGAATTTGGCAGGATACGTACACCCTAGATGACAAGCATCCGATCTTCTTGAGAGCTGGAACCGAGTTCTGTGCCTTCAGGCGACATGGTCAGATCAAGAAAGATGTTCTCTCGGCTTTTGCCGCAGCTGGCAGCCTTATTTCCGCATCCCAAATTTCCTGAGTTGGTGGGATACGAGGTACGAGCAACGAGAAATTCCCTGATTAAGGATGGTCGAAGCGCTGTTATAGGCCAACTGTTCAGTATGAAGACGCCTCTACGAAGTCAATAATCCCTAAATCGTGCGGATATTTTTCTGCCTGGTCATATATTGCATTGATGCGCGAATCAAACACACACATCATAAGGAGCGTAAGGTAGTTAGTGATACATAAATGCAGATATTGGTACAAGTACAGGTGGAGGCATTTTGTCTCGTGGCCCACGATCTTGGTCGGGTTTTGGAAAGGAGCGTCGTCGTTCGTAGTCCAAGCAAGGAAAAAGGAAATCCAATCGCCCATCGTCATGGTCTTCTATTGTCACAGCTTGTGTGGCTTCGGCTCTTCCTCCCTTCGCCTCTGTCAAGTATAAGGAGAGACAACATGAAGTCGTCGCACACAGTCTCACAACACAGTTGTGGCATGGCGAGGCAGAAGTCATGCCCCAAATTGGACACCGCGTCTGTAAGAGAGAGCAGCGGCAGACCAGCGCTCGATGCGCGAAGAGGGTTTAACGGCTCTTTTCTTCTGCGAGTCTGCTGCCACCGCGGCGGCCTTCTCGGCCGGTGTGCTGTCGTCGGGCGTAGCATCGCTATCAGCGACCTCGTCTGCGGTGCCGGTGGTCGCACCCGTTGATGACCCTCCGGCCGCCGTTGTGTTATTGGAATCTGTGCTGGTGCTGGTAGCGCTGGTGGTGTTCGTGGCCACAGTAGCGGCGCTATCCAGCTGCACGGGAACGACGCCGCCAAAGGGCCCTGCTAGAGCTTGGTTCTGGCATCGAACCATGCAGACGTTCTCTTGGCCGGCCACGGTGCCCGTACAGGTCTGACTGGCTGGGACCTCAGCAGTGAGAGGCTGAAAGAGAGACAAATCGATCATTAGCATCCTCTGAGCTTTCGGATTCTTCGAAGCTACGATGCTGGTATGCTGGAGAAGGATAGGCTTACAAAGTCTGTCTCGGCTCCTTTAGGATCATTTCCTCGCACGCCGGGAACGTTCTGGGAAACCGTCATCTGTGTTCTATGTCAGATAAAACTCCCCATTTTGATACATTGTGATGAGAGCTTGCCTTTGTCCACGTAGTGCCAGTGGCGTCGGCGTTGATCATGCAAGTGTAGGGGCCAGCCCCGTCGGCATTGACCTGATGCAAGGTCATCTGGACTTGCCCGCCTGCGGTGATCTGTGGAAGAGTGCCACCGTTCTGGGCCAGAACAGCAGCGGTACCACTTTCGGGATCATTGTCGCCGCCTTCAAGAGTTTCCCCGAAGGTGTCAGCAGCATCACCCGCGAAACGTGTGGTATCTTGCTGAAAGGGGCGTCTTCTAGTTCCGTCTCGAGGAGTAGTTGGATCGATTCCCAGTGCACTGCCATTTCCGCCGGCGTCACCAGTGGCGGCGATGATGGCACCGTGACCGGCCACCAATTCCGCAACAGCGAGGATCCCCAAGGTAATGAAAGATGAATATGCAACCATGATGCTGGATATGAAGATGATCGAGAACAAGGGCCGGCCTTGATAGCGCAGCAAAGAGAGCGAGATAGTGAAAGTAGATGGATCGACTGAGGTCTGAAGGAATGAGTTGTAAGATGTCACAGGAGGTGGGAGACGCCTCGATATTTGTACGTACCGTAGGTTGCATGTTCGGCAGAGAGTGCTTTGAATGGTGAAAACTGTCACATTTGTTGCAGAGTCCAGCAGGCGAGAGCTCAAGGATGCGGACAGCTTCGATTTGGAATATCTCTCTAGTTTGTCACAAAATGGGGTGGAAATGGTAATCCCCAGGAGAGCAGTGTGGTTATTTCGAGGTAGTGCTGTTGCATAACAAGAGGAAACCGCCTGAAGGACAGACCGAGGCCTTATGGTTGCTCATCGCCACCCCCATTGGCCCAAAGAGAGTGTCAGTGTCCGGAACAGTTTCGTTTCATAGAACAGCCAGTCTTGAATGGAGGGTCAAAAGCATACACAGGCTAGGGGCTGAAGTCAGTCCTGCTCTTTTGCGTGTTCGGATACAGAACATCCATGATGTTCTGTCCTGCTTTTGGCTAGAATCGGTTTCGTAGAGCCCGGCAAATTATAGACTGTATAGCCCCATAGTGACAACACATCCAGGACATGGCCCGTGCCACTCAATGAGGCAAGAGAAGATCTCCCGCATCTTCTGGTACAAGTTCAAAGCGAGGCGCGAACTTGTTCTGCTGGAATCAGCACTTCTCAGACTCCACGGCTTGCTAAATGAGTAAGCACAGGATGAAGTCCGGTTTTCTGCAAAGATCAGAAGTCTTCAGAACGAGGCACGGTTAGAACGAGGCACGATTATACCAATACAAAGACCCGCAGAGAGTTCCTACCGGGTTGCATCGACGGGTCGAGACCACTGCAACAGTATAGACAGAATAAGTATTGTTTCAAAGCGTGCACTTTGGCACGTTCGTGGCCGTAAACGGCATGGTTTTCGAGCGTTTGAGAATGAAGACGACATCGAAGTGAGAGTTGAGAGGCGAGTAGAGGTCGGCAACAGATGCACAGCTCGTTGAGGGCCATCAACTAGTTGCCTGAAATCGTTACTCAAGTGGAGACTGTTCGCGACAGATTCTTTCTGGACGACGGCGTGATGGAGCTGCTCTGGACCACTATGATTGGATGCGGACTCAGTGTCAAACGGAACGGTGGGTGCGAAGTGGTGGGCATAGCCACCTCCAACAGAGATCCCCTCTGACATTCCGAAAGGTCAGTAGTCCCGTTAGCAAACGAGTTGATTGAGTAAGACGAGAGGGAGTTGCAAGGCCAGAAGATACAAAGAAGGCTGTGCAAGCAGGCTGGGACGCAACGGAGCCAATTGGAAGCCTCGTTGAGGTTTCGAAATAAGCATCCCGCCCGCCCCGCAAAGGCTTGGCATCACGGACCTTCGCCCGTTATGAAACTCGCAGACCACGCTCAGCTTCGACCCGAGGAAGAAGGAAATAGGTGAGAACACTGGCGGAAAATCAAGCAAAAGCAGCCTCCTATGAAGCAGACGTGAGACCCTCGGCGTAGCAGTGGATGGATGAAATCCTGCAGGAGTCTATGCCAGATGAACAGAAGTCGCCCTCGAGAGCGACGATTGTGTGCAAGCAACCCGGTCCCCGACATGGCCACGGGAGATGACCTGGCCAAACAGGTGCTGCCCTTGTAAAGTAGAAATCTTGAATTCGATCGGAACGGTAGGAATGCTGTCAACGAGCTGATGGCATCTGGATGCCAGTGTAGACATCTTGCCACATTTCTTCATTTCTGCTCAAAGCACATCGTCACATCCTCAGCACTGTCAACATAATGCTCTGAAATCGTTAAGTCTTGGTGAGCCTCCATCTGCCGTTGAAGGCCTCCTCCTTTTGGGAATCCACGTCTAGCCATCATGCGTTTACCTTCTTTGTCGCGTGGTGCCGTTGCTCCTGTCTATTGTATGAAGCGGAACTCTGTTTCACGACGTCGGTATCGTGACTTGCGCAACGCCATCAACAACTTTGGCTACCGCCACGTCCTCGCCAACGTCAGGAACCCCATTTGCCAGCTCCTTTCCTTCCTCGCCTCCTTTCGCGCTCTTCTCAACACCTCCAGCAGCGGCGGCAGCGGCAGCCTTTTGAGCGGCTTTCTTGGCCTTAGTCTTCTCCTTCTGGGCTGCTTTCTTCGCAGCAGCCTCTGCCTCTTCTTTCTTTTTCTTCTCCCTCTCCGCCTGATTACCGCCGAAGTATTCACGCCATTCATCGGCCTTCTTCTCATCGATTTTTGTGAAGAGATATTCTGCCTTGCCGATCTTATGGCCCGGTTTGATATAGGTTGGCAGCCAACCGTTGGCAACATCTTCCTCAGACGGGATCTGCAAGAATGGGCGGTCAAGTTGTTTCCGTATCGACGCACAAGTTGCAGGAAGATATGGTTCGAAGATGGCAGAGCAGAGATAGATGAGATTGATCACCGTCCCCACCACCGCCGCAGCGAGAGTCGGGTCGCTCGCGATGAGAGAATTGTCCAGCCGGTGAGCCTGGATCAAGCCATTCCCGGCTTCCGCGATCTTCATAGCGACGAGAAGCCCGTTGCGGAGGTGCACAGCCTCCATTTCTGCCAGATATTGCTTGAGAAGTTCTGTCACCTCGTCCAGATGCTCTTTGAACGACGAAGGTAGGTTGTTGGGATCAAATTCTGGTATAACCCCAGAGTAGGCTTTGGGGGAATTGACCAGTTTGATCACTCTATTGACAAAATTTCCAAGTTTAGCAAGCAGTTCTGAGTTATTGCCATCGATGAATGACCGCCATTCAAACTGCGTGTCGCCTGATTCTGGTCGGTTCTTGAGGAGATAATATCGCCAGACATCCGGGGGTACGCCGGTCTCCTTTGCATTATTCCCAAAAACCCCGATGCCGCGGCTCTTGCTGAATTTGCCGTTCTCATAATTGAGGTATTCCGTCGACGAAAGGTGGTGCAGCATGGTCCAGGTCTCCCCCGTCCCCATCTGACATCCAGGGAAAACGACGGAATGGAAAGGGACGTTGTCTTTGCCCATAAACTGATATAATTGGACTTGTTCCGGATTTTTCCACCACTTCTCCCATTCCTCGGTGTAGTTGGCAGTGATAGATGGGTATCCAATACATGCCTCGAACCAGACGTAGAAGACCTTGTGCTCGTAGCCAGGTAGAGGCACAGGCACGCCCCAAGCCAGATCTCGAGTAATACCCCTCTCTTTCAGGCCTTGTTTCAACCATGACTCTGTAATGACTTTGGCACTCCGCGACCACCGGCCTTTCTCGATTGACTGTTTTGAGAATTCTTCGATCCGGCTCTGTAGCTCGTCTAATCGCAGGTAGGTATGTTTTGTCTCCCTGGTCACTGGAGTTGCGCCATCAACTTTGCAGCGAGGATTGATCAAGTCCAATGGATCTAGAAGGCTCCCACATTTGTCGCACTGATCGCCGCGGGCATCGTCGTAACCGCACTTTGGGCACGTGCCCTCGACAAAGCGATCGGCCAAGAATTTCCCGTGCTTTTCGCAGAATGGTTGGCTGTTGATGTGTTCAGTCAGATGGCCATTTGCGTGGAGTTTTAGGAAGATATCTTGCGAGATCTCTGTGTGCTGTCTGGTAGGAGTTCGGCCAAAGATGTCGAACCCCAGCTCGAACCACTCGTAGATTTCCGTATGGATTTTATTGTATTTTGCACACAGCTCTTCTGGGGTGACTCCTTCCTCGAGCGCCTTTGTCTCTGTGGCAGTTCCATATTCGTCAGTGCCGCAGACGAACAGAGTCGGTCGACCGCGGGCTTTGTTGTACCGGGCGAAGACATCAGCGCTGAGCACGCTGCCGACGATGTTGCCCAGATGAGGCACCTAGATAATTGTTAGTCATTGTCCCGCGCATGATACCTCATCCAACTTACATTGTTGACATAGGGCAGTGCAGAAGTTATGAGAATGTTTCGCTGGCCCTCCTGCGGGAGGATCTTTTCGGAGCCCATGGTGGGCGAAGCAGAGTTTGATCGGGGGAAGAAGGAGGGGTTCAGGTGCTTTTGGGATTCTTTGTCAAGACGAGGCCCGATATCGACTTTTGAACACTTGATTGTCTATACTCCGCACGTTGAGTCAACCCAGAGAAAGTGGCGCGTGGTGGTGACACATGAAGCGGACTGGGGGGCTGGAGGAGAAAGGAGTCACCAAAATCCCCCGCCGCCGTAGCAGGCGAATTGGATGCCGAGGCGCTAAGATTTGATGCTTATTTTTAAGCCTCATGGCGTGCCTTTGATTTTCCCTTCGCTGACCGTCCGCTGTCTTCCACTTACCGTTGCAGTCACACGATACCCTGATTCTTTGGACATCTCATTCTAGAATACACTCGAAGCCTGAAGAGATCACAACAATCAAGCGTTCTGTCCTAGCCCTGTTCGATTTTGCATCATGGCCACCGATCCACTCGATGACCTCCTCGAACTCGAGAATGACTATTACAAAGAAGGCTATGATGCCGGTGTGGCTGATAGTACCTATGCCGGTTTGATCGAAGGCAAGGTATTTGGCATTGAGAAAGGGTACGAGAAAGCCTTGGAACTGGGCAAACTACATGGCCGGGCTCTGGTTTGGCGAGAACGATCATCCTTCTCGGTGAAAGAGGTGCCCGAGGAATCTTCCACACCAGAAAATTCTGATTCTTCGAGGCTGGGAGACATCATCAAAACTCTTTCGCAGCTATCAGACAACACCCGCTTCCGAAGGCACGTAGAGGGTCTGCGCACTGCTTCTGACAGCGCGACCATTGCCAAGGACAACTCGGACGAAGCAGTGACAGAGTTTGACGACCGAGTTGCGAGGGCGAAAGCAAAGGCCAAGGTCATTGCGAATATTGTTGGAGAATCACTCAACTCAACCTCGGCCTCAAATGTGGGCATTGAAGATGCCACTGGCCTGCAAGCTCGACACTGAAGACGATTCGCTGAGCTCACTGTGGCATCTAGACCTGATTCGAAACGGAGGCTGCCAATCTTTCAGACGTGGTCCGAATGCAATGGTGATCCAGCAGCGACTGCGTCGGGCGGCAGTTGTCTCCCGGCTGCCGTCTCCTAGGCATCCCCGCAAACTGTTACCACTTCCATTGTCCAGCTAAGCCAGTTGCCGTTTAGGCACGCCTTAGCGGATATGCAACGGCGATCCACCACACTCCTTTGCGCCCTTCTCCTTCAAAACCAGGAACCGTTTGCGGGGTCATCTAAGTTTCCTCAGTCCACTTCTGGGCATGCTGCCATGAGCGCTTCTACCAGAAGAACTATGACGCTTGTGCGACACGTCGCTCTCCGCATCAGTTGGACTTGGCTGACGATGGGAAACTGGAATACCCCGCAGGCTACAAGACGGATACAAATCTGCGTCTGTGGCCTGCTCTCTGCGACTCCTCATGTCCACAAAACACAGGTTGCACGATGAACGCGATCACAAGCTTACTATCTCTGTTTCTAGCCGCTGTGGCCGTGGGCCAAATTCAGCCGTCGGGTGTGACGAGGCCAATCGCTCAGGATTGTGGGTTTAATGGAACTGTCGTCTGTGTGAATAAATATGTCAGTTTCCCTCCGTTCCGGTCATAGGGCGGTGACTTACTGAAGCCAGGGCGCGGTGCTACCTTACCACTTTAACCGGTCCATTTCCAACAACAACGCCGACTACGACTACAGAAACACTAGCGTGAGGAACGCCTCGACGTTTGACCTCCTGGGTGGCGCAGACTTTGTTGTCTTTGACCAACAGCGAGGCATGCAGTACCTAGGATCGAATCCGAGCTACGAGTTCATGTTCGCAGTCTCCAAGGCGGTGCATGAAGCTCCGGTCTATGCTCCAGAGCAGAATCTGTTGTTCATCTCCCAGTTGGCCCCACCTCCCGGCTATCTGCCTCAACTCGTCGTGAACTTGAACGACGATCCTCCGACGCTGAGTGAGTACCTCCCAAATCCACCGGTCTATGCTCCAAACGGTGGCACCTTCCGGGACGGTGTCATTGTCTTTGGCGCCAGCGGAGGCAATGACAGTATCGGTGGAGGAGAGCAAAGAGTTTCGCTGCGAACAGTGGATCCCGCCACCAATCGTTCAACTGTACTCCTGAATAACTATTTTGGGTTCTACTTTAACACCATCGACGACGTGGCTGTTCACCCCATCTCGAAGGATATCTTCTTTACCGACCCCCAATACAGTTGGTTCAATGCCTTGACAGACACCGCCCCGCAGCTACCATGTGCGAGCTATCGGTTCAATCCAAGCACGGGAGCTACATTCCTCGTCGAGGACACTCTGGAGCAACCCAACGGTATCGCGTTCTCTCCAGACGGCACAACCTTGTACATCTCCGACACAGGTGCCGTGACGGGAACTATTGATCCTCGGCTCGGCAGCCAGGGCACTACCTTCAACACCACCGGAAAACGGACCATCTATGCTTGGGACGTGTCGAACAACGGCACCAGAATCTCCAACAAACGTGCCTTTTACCTGGCACAGGATTGGGTTCCAGATGGCTTGAAGGTGTCTCAAGAAGGCCTCGTGCTCACGGGGTCCGGTCACGGTGTCGACGTCCTGGATGATGCCGGCCAGCTTCTCATCCGCATCCAGACGAACTACACGGTTCAAAACTTCGCGTGGACGGGGGAGAATCTGACCACTTTGTGGCTCATGGGGAACAACGGCATCAGCAAGGTTGAATGGAACATCACTGGGCAGAAACTGACCTGATAACAGCCGGAATGATATACATCGCATCATGGATGTCAATTTGATGAGCTCGGAAGGTTTAGCACAGCCCAAGATATTCCGAGAGACGAGATCTCTGTACGTAACATCAAATCTATGCTCTCAAAACCAAAGAGGCGTCGCAGTCCTCCGGTCAGATTCCTTAGAGAAAGTCACGCTTGCCTGGTCAACAGATTTGAGCTACATGTTTCCCCCTTCCAATCTGCCCCTTACATATAGAGCCGCTACTGCTATTCTACCCTATAGAGCATCAAAAACCTCAGCTTTAACAGCCGACACATCTGTCGGCCAGAGCGACTGGTGGAGAGGTCTGGCAGCACACTTCATGATCTGGTCGGTCGGTCAGTCCAGCCCAACCAAAATATTCGTGACTTTGGTACCCCATATATCTCTTAGTTTCTAGTCTTAGCTATATCGCCCCACTGCTATATCACTAAGTAAACCACCCCGGGTTTACCCAGTGATACCTCACGTGTGCAAAGCAGTTCGTAACACTGTAGTCCTCGCGAGGTCCTGACTGTATTAATAATTACTGCAGTCCTAGCAACGCTGCTACAGACTGCAATCTTCTCTTTCTACTTCTACAGTATCTACCTCAAGACTTTAGACGTCAAACGTGATAACCTTTGTTCTTACCCACTCCTCCAGGCCTTCTCGTCCATTAAACCTCCCGAAGCCGGATTTCTTTGCTCCACCGTGAGGCAGGGCGGGCTCATCATGCACCGTCATACTGTTGATATGTACCGCACCAGTCTCGATCTGCTTAGCAATATTGAATCCTCTTCTCAAGTCTTTCGTGAACACTGCGCTGGTCAAGCCATAGTCTGTGTCATTGGCGATCCGAAGGGCCGCATCATCATCTGCGACTTCGTAGACTGAAACTGTAGGACCAAAAGATTCGGTGTGGTAGATCGCCATGCCCTCGGCTACCTGCTCAATGATCACGGGTCTCATCTTGGTTGCTGATGCTTCATTATGCTCTGCGTTGCCGTAGATGACCTTAGCACCTTTCTCTAGTGCGTCTTTCAGTAGCTCCTTGGTCTTGATCACTGACTGGTGATTGATTAGAATTGGCACCTCCGCGCTACCACCTCCCGATAGTTGGCTCATGGCTGCTTTCAGAGCCTCTTTGAAGGGACCGGCCACGTTTTTGTTGACCAGAATACGTTCAGTCGACATGCAAACCTGACCCGAGTGTAGAAAGGCTCCAAGAGCACACTGAAAGGCGGCGTTCTCGAGGTCAGCATCCTCACAAACTATACTTGGTGCCTTTCCTCCTAACTCCATAAGGACAGGCTTCAAATGTTTGCCTGCAAGTGAGGCTATAACGGACCCAACTCTCGTCGAGCCGGTGAAATTGATCTTCTTGACAATGGGTGACGAAACAAGGCAAGCTGTGACAGCAGCTGCATCCTTGGGATCGTGCGAGAGGGTGTTGAGGCAGCCTGCTGGGAGGCCTGCAGCATGGAGAACAGAGCCCAGGGCCCAGAATACCGCCGGCGACATTTCTGAACCTTTTAAAACCACCGTGTTGCCCATGGCAAGAGGAAACAAGCAAGCGCGGAGTCCAAGTGCATAGGGTGCGTTCCAAGGAGCGATACCAAGCACAACGCCTATTGTAGAATGTTAGCCTAGGCCCTTTGACAATGCAACTCCTCTGGACGAAGGCTCTCGAAGTTGTCATCCGAACCGGAACGAGACGAACTGACCCCAAGGTTCCCGGACCATCATAGCGCTCCTTCCTTCAGCTGCTGGCTCTATCAGAGATCCATGGACGGTCGCGATCAGGCCGGCGACAGCCTTAAGAGCTTCTACCGTGAGACCAAGTTCAAACTCGAACATAGCACGCTGGGCGCCAGTTTCCGTATGCGAGTACTGCCACAGCTCCTCCTTACGAGCGACAACGATCTCGGCTGCTTTCAGGAAAATGTCACGACGCTGAGCTGGTTTGATCTTTGACCACTCTTTGAAGGCCTTCTGACTGGCTTCCAGCGCAGCCTGCGCATCCGACTCGGAAGCACTCGAAGCCTTGTAGAGCACTTTGTTATCGATGGGCGAGACCACGTCGAATGTCTTCTGGGTAGTGATCTCTTTGCCATCGAGCCATAAAGGAACAACGGAGAAGGAATTGACGTTGCCGTTCATGTTGGCGCGATGTCGAGTCTTCGACTTCAAGCCTGGACAGTTGGGCCGAATAAATCTCCAGGAATGTGATCGAGAAATGCTCCTACTATCGTAACAGGGCAAGCAAAGTTATCATGCGCGGACTAAGATAACGCGAAGGCAAGCATCGCAATAATCAGAAAGGACTAATCCTTCGAGGGATGGATAAAGACAAGCCCCAGCGGTCATAGTCGCTGGCCTTTCGTAGCCCTCACCCAACGCAGCAATGCTTTCGGAGCCCCCAAAATCTCGAGAACCTAACAGACTCGGAACCTCGAGAGTGGTTAGCCTCCCACAGCCGTGGAGGGAGTATCAACTTTGCTGTAGCGCGTCATTCTCACAGCTCGGTTGAGGTAGGAAGCAGCCAAGATTAGCGGAGTGGATGCACTCAGAAGCTCCCCCGGGAAGCTTGAGCCAGATGGGCTAGCGATAGCCGGTTTTCGCTAAACAAGTACCCGGATTCGGAAACAGTAAGAATGAATGCTTCGGATCACGTTTTCCAGGTCATCGTCCACTGTTCCCAGTCAGACTTCGGGTCGTTGGGCGAGTGACGATGCCCGGGAGAAATGCTTGCATCCGGAGTGGTTATCGTTCTTCTCGTCCCCGTTCACGGACAATGCTCAAACAGCCCGCAACCAACGAAAGGCTCCTAGAACCTGGCCGACCGATATCTTTAAGATATACGAACCTTGACTGGCGAGCCCAGAGCCTCCAGAGCACATCTCTATTGGCACCTAACACGATGGACGGCACATCCTCATCCCCTGTGCGCCAGGCCGTGCTGTATGCCCTGCCGTTCTTGAGGGCCTACTGGTATCTTCTCATTCCTCTTTACATGGTCTTGCGCTTCCTCGTGCAGCGATATAATTCTCCTCTACGGGTATATCCTGGTCCATTCATTGCCTCTGGAAGTCGAATCTTCAAGCTGGTCTCGGTGGCCAGTGGGAAAACCGAGAAAAGTCGCATCGACCTCCATCGAAAATATGGCCGTGTTGTGCGCCTGGGTCCCAACGAGCTGTCGTTTGCCTCACCGCAAGCCGCGAAAGAGGTTCTCGCAGCAGGCAAGGGTTTCTACAAGACCGACTTCTACAGCGTCTTCCCTCCACCAGAGAATCCCGACATCTTCACCGAAATCAGAGAAGATGTCCACGCCCAGAAAAAGCGAGTCGCCGCTCACCCTTACTCGATGTCGGCCATGCAGCAACTTACGCCAATCGTCGCCCGCATCATTCAGAAGTTTGGCAGCAAATTGGACGGGTTCTGTAGCACCCCCAACGAACCATTCGATCTGGGCGATTGGCTGCACTTCTTCGCCTTCGATGTTCTAGGTGAGGTTGCGTTTAGCCGGCAATTCGGATTCATGGACGCCGGTTACGACGTCGAGAACGCCATCAAGACGATCGACGACAGCCAGTGGTACAACAGCATTGTGGGCCAAATGCCCTTTTTGGACCACTTCTTACGTCGAAACCCTATCAACCGATTTTTACCCGGCCTCGCGATTAAGGACGCCCATATCACTCGAATGGCATGGGGAGAGGTCCAGAAGAGAAAGCCGTACGACTCAGGGATCGTACATACAGAGCACAAGGACCTGTTGAGCTCCTTGGTCAAGGGTCATCAGGCCAATCCAGACAAATTCAGCGAGGCCGACATCTTCTCCGTCGTGCATGGCGCCATGTTCGTACTAACATCTGCCCCTTACCATCTCGCCACGAAAACCGGCGGTGACAGATTGCTAACTGCATTTTTGAAAACAGTTTTGCTGGCTCTGACTCTACGGCTTCAACAATGCAGTCCTTCTTCTACTATGTCTTGAATTCGAAATCGGTCTACAGCAAGATCCTCGAGGAGGTCGATGCAGCATACGAAAAGGCCGGCGACGTATCACTGCTAGAGTGGTCAGACTCTCAGCAGCTCGAATACTTCCAAGCTGCCTTGAGAGAATCGATGCGTCTTCGCCCTGGCGTTGGTGTCGACATCTCAAGACTGGTGCCTCCCGGAGGCGCTGTGGTTGACGGCCAGAAATACCCTGGAGGGACCTCCCTGGCGTTCAATGCCTGGGTACTTCACCGTGATGAGGAGATCTTCGGTCCTGACGTCGAGAACTTCCGTCCAGAGCGCTGGCTCGACAAGGAGAAGGCCAAGAATATGGACCGCTTCATGTTCCAGGTATGGAGAAATTCACTGATGTATTTTCATATCCTGAATTTGTGGCTAACGGCGAACAGTTCGGCGGCGGCAGTCATCTGTGCCTTGGCAAGAATCTCGCTCTGCTCGAGATCAACAAAGTGGTTCCGTTCCTGTTGAGAAACTACTATTTCGAACTCGTCAACCCTGGCGTGCCGCTGAAGCATCACACGACCTTCTTCGTCGTGCAACATGGCTTGATTGTGTACATGAAGAAGAGGAAGTTCTGAAGCGGTTTTGCACCACGGAAATTGTTGAAGAGAAATATTAGCGTGTCTCCTTCGAGGAGAATGAGCTAAGGCGAAGAGCCTCCTTTGGCATGGGTACATCACTGGCGTCATTTCCAGCATGTTTCTCCATGTTGTCTTCACGATATAGGTTTTATTAGATAAGAAATCAATCAATATCTCTTTGAAATCTTGACAGTCCCTTGTTGCCTCACGTTCCATTCATTTGCTGATATGAGCCGTCGGTAAAACCACCGAGGATAGCACTCAACCTTTTGGGCGTAACGTTCGCTTGTTCGATACGCTGAACAATGCAAGTGCTAAAGGGCTTGACTTGACACAGAACTATCCATGAACAATACTAACAGCACTCATTCCAAGGGTTTACATGTCGGGCCCACATTTTCAATCGCGTATAGGTGAATCGTGTCATGTCGACAGCACAACGTTTTCGCATATTCACCTTATAGTGGTGAGCGGGTACGGGTTGTTCACAGCGTCCGTATAGGACTTTAGAAAAGCTGACTCGATATTGAGGGAGATATAGTAAGACTGAAAAGTCGTTGAGAAGGATTCATCCCTCTAGATTGCTCTGTCCGATAATATCCGCACCCACCCACTAGGGATGCGTCTACTTTTGCCCAGCAACCCCAGAGACCATCACAACTAGTTCATCGCATCTTCAAACAGCAACTTTCTGCTTGACGGGCTCGTTCTCCAATGTGACAGCACGCTCCCTAGTCTTCTTGGCCTTATCAATGGGCTTTGAGATCAGGGCCAAGCCAATGGCAACGGCTCCAAAGGCGATACCGACAAGGTAGACGAGCTTGAACGACTCAATGTACGAGTCGTCGACGGCGGCCATCGTGGCATTCTGGATGGCACTGGTCATGCCGGGGACCAATTTGTAGGCTGCTGCCGTGTTGTTGTGCGCAGCGATCACCAACGTAGTCTGATTGCCGTGGAAGCCATGGGAGGCTGCGGCGGAAAGAACATTGTGGTCCAAGACCTCGGCGAATCGGCTGGTCTGGATGGAAGAATAGATGGCCGTGGCAATGGCGCCACCAGCAAGACGGCTCGTGCTGAGAAGACCGGAGGATACACCGCTGTTGGCCCCCACAAAGTCAGCATTATTGTTTCGCGGCATACGATGGAGTCAAACTTACACGTCGACCTGGTTTTGGAGGCCGAGAGATACCATGGCAAAGTTGAGCACCGACATGGGGATGTTGACCCAGAGAGTGATGACGACCAAGATGATGGCCTCAACTTTGTCTCTGCCGGCACTCGCCATGGCACCCACCACTGCGGTTTGGACGGTTATATAGCCGACCAGTTGCCATTTTTCAGACCCAAGTCGCGGCACGACGAGGGCAGACCACCAACCACCTAGGATAGTACCGCAATTGGGAATGTTGGCCCAGATTCCACGCAAGATGATGTTGTCTGGAGGCACGTAGAGAAGCGCCGACTGCCGAGGCCAGATACTGCACCGGCGATTGTCAGCAGGTTATGTCGTCATACAAGAGGTGTCGGGTCGACTTACACGCCAAGTGCGTAGTAGAGACTATTGGCAATGGCGATGAATGCGCAAGAAACGGGGAATCTGTCAATCACAGTCAGACTAGAGGTCGAAACGCAAGTTGGTGACGCGCAGGCATTACCTTCGCATATCATGGAATAGCCGACGTGGAATCAGTGGATAGTCGAGCCTGTTGAATCTTGACCAGACACCAAGACCCGCGAGCAAGGCGACACCGACCACGATAGGTGTAATGGTATATGAACTCTTCCAGGGATGAGCGCCACCGCCCTGTCAACGCGTTAGCCGCTGTCCGACTCCAGTTCCTGGGTTGAAGAAAGGGCACGGTAGACGAACCCATGTGATTCCAATGAGAAGGATTGTGAGTCCGGCTGTAAATAGGAACAGACCAAGGTAGTCGAGATGCATGAGTAGGTCGACCTTGGACTTTGCCTCGTGCATATGCTTGGTCTTGAACGATGGTGGCTTGTAGAAGACAGCCACCATGATGAAGGCGGCTAACTCAATGGCGAAAATGAACCAGTACACTGCTCGCCAACCGGCAGAAGTGTGGGCAATGAAAGCATAGGCCATTAAAGGGCCAAAGGCCGAAATGGTGGTACATGTGTCGCAAATACCTTCAATGGTGTCAGTAGAAGGTCCTTTCGACTGCTGTGCGAGCAGAACCCACCGAGGATTTGCACACGGAGACGGTTGGGCACGATTTCCTGTACAATACCCAGACTCATCTCGCCCAAGCCGCCGCCAACACCGAAAATGACCCCGCTGGCGATACTCTGTCCGATGCTGTGGCTGGTGGCGCCCACAATGGCACCAACGCAGCTGATGGCAGGAGCAGCGGTGTAAAAGTACCGACGTCCAAAAATATCAGAGAGACGGCCTCCAACACTGACCATGACTGCCGCGGCCAGATTCCAGCTACAATTTCTGCATTAGATCTTGAGGAATTCATGGAGTGGATTGACAAAATTTACCTGACAGAAATCCATGTGTAGATTGGGCTAGGGCCCAGGTCGGCATTGATATATGCCAAAATGGCGCTGGGCATCACCAGGCTGAAGAGATAGCCCTGGTACACACAGATGATGGACTGCACCAACCATGTCAGCTTCGTCCAAGGCCTTTCGCCAGACGGTACTTACCACGACCGCCAGGATCGATTGCCAAGTGAATTGCTCTTCATTCTCTGGGTCGTGAACTGGATGTTCCTCTCCCTTGGGAGCAAATTCGACTCGCTCCACAGCAGTCTGGGGTTCCACCATCTTAATGTCCGATGCCATGATAGAAGTGATGGTTTCTTGCCGATGCCCTCACCTGACAGCGTCGTGATTTCTTCCTGATATCTCGCCTGATACAGATGTTGTCCAGGGCGAAGATGACTATCTTAACCTTTTTGGTTGGCTGGGAAAGACTTTTTTTATAGCAGACGGGAGCCCACGCTTCCCCACCTCCCCCCCTCAGTCCGGGGTGTTCGTCCTCCAGCTTTTTCGACACCCGCTTGCAGACCGAACACGATTAATTCTTGCCCTCTCTCAGCAGTGTCAACCAGCCACTGATCCGTCCTTGAGACATGATGTGCGGTAACAGCACTCCTGGATGAAGTGGCCGTCCCCCAAGTCTAGACGCGCGTTACAATGCCGGCCCTGTTCCGACACCTGGAAATGATTATCCAGGCTGCCTCGGAGAAGAAACCGAGATGGAGACCACGTTGCTGCAGGAGCTGGGGCTGGTTTAGCACGGCTAGCGAGGCCCAATCGCTTGCGTGTGAATGTTGCGACTGGCCCGGTATGCAACCCCTTGGGAATAGTCCCCTGCATGAACCACGTTGTCCCGCGAATCAATTCCCCGCGCTCTGCTTGGCAATGATTCAGCGCTGGGTCCGGGGACAAGGGTCCGGTATCAGATCCAGCATCGCTTTGGTCGCAAGTTTATGGTTGCCAGTTCCAGCTCTCTAAGCTGTCCTATCCATTAGAGCACCATATATATCGCATAGATTTTGTCAAGTATCTTGTTTCCCATCGAGGGCGACGATCCTGTACAACTATTTTTATCTTCATCCCCTTGAATAGCAGACATGGCAACCGTCACTATGACCAAGGAGACGACTAATGGAACGACCACCGGGGTCAATGGGCATACCAATGGCTCCTTGATTTCTGGCGATGTCGAAGTGTCGCTGAACTACTATCTTGATCCTTCGTTGGGTGGAATTACACACTACACTCCAGGATCGGCTGGTGTTTACCGCCGCAAATTCGACACTCGCAAGGTCGTGATTCACGACATGAGAGGCCGTGAATCCGAGTTCAACATCCACAAGCAATCCTTCGAGGTGGCTCCATTCACCACGGCTTGCAAGGATTTCGTGGATAGCGAGATCAAAAGCGTCATGTATGCCGAGGCTCAAGAGCTTTTGAAGAAAATGTAAGTCTCCAATCCCTTGATGGTGGCCCGCAGGCTGACGTGCGGTTTCCAGAACGGGTTGCACCAGTGTGCACACCTTCTCACATCTAGTGCGCCGCGACACGGCCGAGAGCAATGAAGCGACCCTCGCAGCCCTCGAAGCCGCGGCAGGGGACAAACAGATCCCAGACAACCAGGCGATGGGCAAAGTGGTGCCGGCACGATTCGCGCACATCGACCAGTCGCCCAACGGCGCCCGAAGGCTCCTTCAAGACAACCTTGGAGCCGATGTGGCCGAGAAACTGGCAAAGACTCGTTGGGGCATCGTCAACATCTGGCGCCCGATTAAGACTATCCGCAGAGATCCCCTTGCTCTGTGTGACTCGCGCACCATCAAAGACGAGGAGCTGGCTATCGTAAAGTCGACACTCCCCAAGAAGGGCTCAGGTCAAGGCTACTACGACGGCGTGTCCAAGGGCGACGGCTTCGAGACGCTGGAACTCAGATACGGTCCGGATCATGACTGGTGGTATGTTTCTGAATTGACGCCCGAGGAAGCCTTGGTGTTTAAAATCTTCGATTCCAAGAGAAGCGTCAAGGGACGGTCTGGGCATACGTCGTTCATTGACCCGAGAACCAGCCAGTTTGCCACGAGAGAGAGCATGGAGCTGCGTTCGTTTGTGTTTTACGAGGACGAACCGCAGGAGGATTAGGTTGTTCATATCAAGCTGTTCTCCGGCGAGGACAAGATCTAGTCGATGAGTCTGAAGATGTAGTCTTTTGCATATACCTCAATAGATACTAGATCAAATGTACTTGCTACAATCAAAGGGTGGTCTTCTGGCGACTATCGACAATGTCCTTCTCTCATGATATTGATCACGGTACTTTGAGCCCTGCCCTGGAGACAGTGTTGATGCAACACGTGCACTACAAGCCCGGGTTTTGTACCTCAGCAATCTGTTTCCAGTACCAATGATGCAGCCCACCCGGCTGCCTGATGTCCTGCTGGTCTCTCATGTTCCTCTGCACATCATCTCGCGGCGCATGGATTTGTCTCAGGTAAATCTCGTCCTCGTACCGTTCAAAGTTCCACATCAACCCTTCGTCATGAGCATCCGCCATGAACATATACGTATAAGCTCCAGGTTCCTCAACTTCTACAGCCTGGGCGATCTTCTCAAACATTCGTGTCCCGTCAACCCGCCGTGAAGGTTTAAACCGCACACTGGCAACAACGACAAAGGGATCAGAATGCGTCGTTTCGCGACGAATGAAACCCGCCAATGGGGAAACCAGACGGTCGAATTGGGGCGTTTGCAGAAGTCGTTTGTTCTCGCAGTGGATTTTGGCCTTGACCATTATTGGACTTTGAAGATAGTCCAGATATGCTCGCCTGCTCTTGAACCTAGAGAGATGAGACCTGTGAGTTTGGAGCGCCAATCGAGAGCAGTGTGAGAGATTCAAGGCCTTACCAAGAGACTGTTCGAACCTCGTGCGCGTTTGGGTGGTCAGATATACCTTTCATCACATATAGGCTCAACAGATCCTGGGGATACTCCCGTGCATATTGGACGTTGGAAGAAGCAGCCTCGATGACCTGTGGTGAGGGTCAGCTTATCCCGTCCACAATGCTGGGAGAAAGGCAGGCATACTTCGTCAAGGTGACCATCTTGGGCGATCCAAGTCCCAAAGACGATCAGAGCCGGGCTGGTCATTTTTTCCAAGAGGTATTCGTGCTTTTCGATTGTAATTGGCTTGTCAGATGTTTGACAGGCCAACAAAGCTCAGGTCGCCGTCTCTAGAGAATGTGAAGACCGAATAAATGCTCGACCGATCTTGGATGGAGATTGATAGTGACTGAATCCTGCTCATTTTGTTGCACACGATGCCTTGTGGACCTACATTGCACATCCACTCTCGAACATCCTAGTACCCAGTAGGTACTAGAGCCGGACACTTCTGGTAGTTGTTCGCGGGTGGGATTTGCAGTGTCTCTTGCGGGTTTGACGTCTCCGTTCCCGAGCTAACCGAACCTCCGGTTATAGGATATCCGATAGACTGTTCACGGCTACGTTCACAAAGGCTTCATAACCATTGAGAACGTTGAGGCTTCGAACCCGTTCTATGCTGAAGTAATGAATGAATCAGCCGTAGTCCACATGCACAGCAACCGAACGACCAACGTAGATCCGTTGAAACCTATAGAAAACACGGATATACTAGTTTACCAAGTGGTATCTCTCGCCGCGTCGTGTGCGTGTTCATTCAGCAGAACCATCCGCCATCAATGCTGTAAGTCGCGCCGGTAATAAACTTGGACTCATCACCAAGAAGGAAAGCAATCAGTGAAGCCACCTCGCCCGCCTCTCCCCACCGTGGGATCGCAATCCTTGATGCATCCGAGTTCTTTCCCAGACTGGTGTCCGAAATCTGTCGAGCATTCGCATTCATTGGTGTGTTGATTGGTCCTCTAGTGATTTCAGATCAGTAAGGCTAATCATGCTCTGTGGGTAGAACTTACGGAGCAATTGAGTTCACTCTGGTGTGGTCCTTGCCGTATTCTTTCGCTGCCGATCGAGTGAGGCCGATAACGCCATGCTTGCTGGCGGAATAGGCGGCGCTCATGGGCCGTCCGATCTGTCCTGAAATGCTGGCTGCGTTGACGATGCTCCCGCCCTTCTCAATGCGGCGTAGCTGAGCTCGTAGACAATGCATCAGACCCGTCAAATTGACGCTGAGGACAAAGTTCCAGTCATCCTCGTCTTGTTCTGCGACTGGTGTCTTGCCCAAGTTTTTGCCAATGACACCTGCGAGGTTTGCTGCGCCGTCAAGCCTGCCGAAATGCTCGACAGTCTTCTCGATCCAAGCATCCACTGCCTCGGCTTTTCGTACGTCCACAACGCAAGTGATGACATCCACGGCGAACTCCTCCTTGATTCGAGCTGCGTTCTGCTGCAGCGTGCCTTCTTGGAGATCTGCCATGGAGAGGGATGCACCTCGACTAGCGAGTAACTGGGCTGTTGCGAGACCAATGCCTTGAGCAGCTCCGGTAATGGCAATCACCTTTCCAGTCAATGGACTATTGCCATTAGTACCGGCAGGTGATCTTCTCTTGGTTAGTTGCAGCAGCACTTGGATGACTTTGGACTGGAGAAGACATACAGGGAGCCCATAATGCAACGACTGGCGAAAATTGTTTTGTTTAGTCCAAGGTATTCTGCGTGGAAGTCTTCAATTGTGAGAGACAGACAAGGCTACCAAGACCAGTGGTTCAATCTGATGATAGATACTTTTGCGTCGAAGCCAACTTTGATACTGGAACTGATGGTTGTGTATGGACCTCTTCTTCTGCGGCAATGCACATGCTAAATGGACGACACTAGTAGTATGACGGCGATTCCGAGTCGGGGGAATCTAGTTCCCGAGAAGATTCACGACTGAGTCCTCCGGGGCTGTTATGGCGATGAGTGGATCACATTGTATACCATGAGCAAGCTTATGCTTTCTCCGTGCCAAAACCCTCTTCTGCATCAACTTGGTGCCGTTTCTACTCCAGAACGGAGCGGTATGAACCCTCACGGAGATCGTTAGCCTCCTGAACATCCACCCCAAACACCCCCGGATTGCACCGTGGGGTGTACTTCTTGTTTGTCCTCGACAATGTTTTTATTTGAAAGTCAGAGGTATTTTGAAGCAGTCTAGATTGCATTAGCAGCGGCCACTTGTGCTTAGACATATATCATCTCCCAATGGCTAATGACTGGGTATCATATTTTCAGATTGGCGGAGTGCTGGCGGCCATGCTGGTTGTTGTTCAACTGTTCATTCAGCTAGTTGTATACCCTTTCTTCCACCCACTGGCAAAATTTCCTGGAAGCTATTGGGCGTCTACCAGCAGAGTATGGATGGCCTACAAGTTCTGGAACGGGACGGAGTTGGACACCTTGCAGTCACTCCACGAAAAACATGGTAAATAGGTCCGCGACAATAAGAGTTTCAGGGGTTCTAATGCTTGCAGGACCCGTCATACGAGCCAGCCCATCTCTGCTCGTTGTCAGCGACTCTGAAAAGCTGCCAGAAATGTATCATCGCTCGGCCGACAAGTCCGACTGGTACATTACCCCTGTCTTTGGCAAGGTCGAAAATATCATTGTGACATTGCCACACAAGAGTCATACCCAGCTTAGAAAAATCATGGCGGGGCCGTACAGCTTTTCGAATGTCAAGAAGCTTGAGGGTCTGGTAGATGCCAGGATTGCGCGATGGTTCGAACGTTTGCATGAGTTGTTTGTCGAGTCTGGCAAACCTGTTCCATTTACTGAATGGAGTGTGTATGTACTAATCTCTGCTGGATTCGCACTGCATTCTCCTATAACGACCAGCAGCACTGATATATGGCCTAAATATAGATACCTCGCCTACGACATCATCAGCGAGATCGGCTTCGGAGCGCCCATTGGATTCATCGAAGCTAGTGCGGACCACCAGGACATCATTCCCAACCTTCACTACGGTCTACACGTCAAAGCCATTCTGAACCGCCTGTACCCTATCGTAAAGTTCGTCCAGAAGACCGGAATTGGCCGCAGCCTCTTTGCAACTAACCCAGGAGACCCAGGTCTGGGTACGTTGATGGTGCTCCGAGAAAAGCTGATGAAACAGCGCCTGCAAGACCTGGAGAACGGCAAGGAAGGCCAGGCAGACCTTCTAAACACGTTCCTGAAGACCCGCGACGCTAACGGCAAGCCCCTGGATCTCGAATATATCAAATCTGAGGTCTTGCTGGTCTTGACTGCTGGTGCAGACACCACCGGGACGGTAATGCAAGGTCTGATCCATCACGTCGTGACGATGCCAGAGGTCAAACGGAAGCTGATGGCAGAAATCGCCACGGTCGAGAAGGAGGGTTTACTGTCACCAACACCAGTCTATGAGGAAGTTGCAAAAAACATGCCATACTACGTCGCCTGTGTCCATGAAGTGCTGCGCCTGTACCCTTCGTCCCCAGCGTTCTTCCCACGCCTAGTCGGAGAGCGCGGCATCATGTTTGGAGACAAGTTCGCTCCTCCAGGCACCGAGGTCGCGGCCAGCCCTTGGTTGATGGGTCGAGACAAGAAGATGTACGGTCCAGACGCAGAGACCTTCAACCCCGACAGATGGATGGACCCTGAGCAGGGGAAACGATACAACAAGTACCTCTTTACGTTTGGCTATGGGTCTCGAGTCTGTCTGGGGAAGGATATTGCGTTGCTGGAGATCTACAAAGCCCCGCTCCAGGTGAGTCTCTTCCCGACTTTGCATTTTCTTCTGTCGTTGTTGGCTCGCAGTATGCTGATGTGAAGGGTTTCACAGTTTCTACGCAAATTCGACATTTCATTGAGCGACGAAGACCGGGCTGGGAAGTATACAGTTGTGGGTGGTGTGTCATATTGGAAAGACATGTATATCAACGTCACTCCAAAGCGGTAGATTGCCTGATACTAGCCAGTATTGATAGAATAGACTGAGCTTTTCTCTAGACACCTTCGCTTTCGCTCAACTGAATACAGAGAGCTTAAAGCAAGTGGAGTATCAATTTACGCATACGAGCACAGGCTTGACCACTCTGCCCTCTTCCATGTCCTTGAGTGCAGTGGCAAAGTCGTCAAATAAGTAATAGCCTACCAGTTTCTCGAGCGGCAGACTCCCTTGCCGATGTAGCTCGATCAACTGTGGAATTGCCTGAATATATCAATATCAAACACATGATTTTCGATAGGGGCCAAGAAACACTTACTTCAGGCGGATAGCAGTCTCCCTCAACGCTCCCAATGAATCGTTTCCCCATATTGAGAAACTCGAGCGGCTGTATGCCGACTTTCTTGTCCAGCGCTGTCGCTCCCACCACGACAATTTGGCCTCTCACTCCAATCGCGTCAAGCATGGTTTCAATGACGGCCGGCAGGCCCGTCGTGTCTAACGCGTGATTTACACCAGCTGGTAGCGGGCAGATCTCCCGTATCCGCTGGATCACGTCCTTATCCATGCCGTTAATGGCATGCGTTGCACCAAGCTCTTTTGCAAGCTGCAGGCGCTCGTTTTTGATGTCCACTGCGATGATGGTCGTCGCACCACGGTGCCTTGCGGCCATGATGGCACTCATTCCCACTGCCCCGCACCCAGACACGATGAACGACTCGCCCTGCTGGACGTTGAGAGCGTTCCAGACGACGCCAGTGCCTGTTTGGATGCCGCAGCCCAGTGGAGCCAAAAGTTTGATATCGGTGTCTTGCTGTACCTTGATCATGCTACTTCCACTGACGAGCGCCAGACGCGAAAAGCTGCTTTGGCCAAAGAAGTTGCCGTACACGGGCGTGGCGTCCGCATTGGCGCTGCTCTTGAGCGTGGTGGTCCCGTCTGAACGTAGGCCCGACCAGAGTCGTTGCTCAAAATCGTCGCAATAGCTAGGCAGCTTCTTGTTGCAGTTTTTGCACCTTCCGCAAGGGTTGAAACTCAAGAGGACCTTGTCACCAGGTTGAACGTGTGTGACGGTAGAACCGACTTCCTTGACCACGCCAGAGCCTTAAGCCAGAATTGACAATGAGCATAGCCTGTGCAGAAAAAGGGCGAGAGTTGATGTGACAAAAATGAGGCTCCTTACCTTCATGGCCTAGAACCCGAGGGAACGGCGAAGGGATCACCCCTTGCAGAATGGCCACATCGGCATGACAGATGCCAACGGCATGAATCTCGACGACAGCCTCGTCTGCTCGAATATTGTCAAGGACAACTTCTCTAATTGTAGGTTCTTGCTTCGGCCCGTGACCAACTATAGCGTGCGTTTTGTAAACCATTGCTGCTCGTGTTTGCTTGTGTTGGGGATGTGGCAAGGCACTGGCACTGGCATGTCCTGAGCGGTGTGACGACGAGCCTGTCTCTCCAAGTAGGGAGTTTGTTATGCTCTAGCGTAGTGCTACTGACTCAGTCTCGAAAATCGGCGTCACGGCATCCTTTCTGAAAGGGCATGTGACAAGCTCCAGATCCGTGGCAATGGTCTGGATTGTCTCTACTCGACTGAGCCACAAGGGAATTTTCGCGGGACATGGTGGATCGGTGCCAGGCCGGCTGGCTAAAGGCATCCGCATGTCGGTCGGCCAAGCCGACGCCCAACACTGCGCCTAACACGGCTGACGTTCGCCAAAGAAAATCAAAAGTGCTCTGACTTAAAGTGATGCTCCTCTCTGAACAACACAAGAAGAATTCCTAAAGCCGGAATGCGTCAAGGGCTGAGAGTAGATAATGACTTCACGCTAGGATTATCCAGAGGGCTCAAGAATGATGGGATGGCGAAGCCCGGATAAATTTACGCTTTGACGTTTCGTAGACTGCCTGACCAGAGGAGGGCCAGATTGCTCAACTTGGCCATGTAAATTCGCACATGTGCCAATAATGGCTTTGTGTATCGAGGGGCCTCCTCATAATGGCTCACTCTACAGGGCAGTATCCCGCTTGCATTTGGCTGACAAGATAGAGGTAGACGGTGCCCAACTGAGTGCGATGGCAGGGACTGGAAAATACATGCACCAAAACATGGTAAACAATAGGTAAGAGTAAGCGATGCCATAGGCTAATCTGTCATTCTCATCTACGTCTAAGCATCATCATCCTCACGGTCGGCCTCGCTCCAGAAATCTCTTCGGCACATCCAGCCACTTGGACCGAAGGTACTCGCCGACATTCTTGCCCAAGCTGTCCAGCCGGGATGTCGAATTGTATCCCCTATCCAGATGGTCGTGCAGGAAGAAGTGAACAGCCTTCACATCGGGCATTTCAAACCGATCGATGCCGTGACCCGTATAGTCGGCGGGCCCTAGGAGCTCCTTGACCTTGTCCACGGTCAGTACGGTGCGCAGCCAATCCCACTCGTCGTCTCGAGTGACGAAGAAGCCGACGTTGGCGTCTGCTGCCTTGTCTCCGGATCTACCGAGGGCAACATATCCCAGTGGCGCCGGTTGAGTCGGTCCAAAGCTGTCGAGGGCGGCAGGATTGCTGGTCTCGTACGAAGGCTGTTGCTTTCGGTATGGTTCTGTCTTCTGGGGAGAAGGGATGTCAATGATCTTCTCGTCGTCGAACAGGCAGTGGACGCGATGTTTTATCACGCTCTGCGATATTAGAGTCACAAAGTATTCAAAGTATGGCTTTGCCGCAGCCTGGCGGGTGTCATTGGAACGTGCAACACCCTAGGAAGAGTTAATTGACTTTTGAATAACGGAAATAATGCTGCAGACTCACCGGTACACTTTGGAGCACGGTTTCTAGGATTCTCCTGTTGAATCCCTTGGGGCTGACCAGATCAAAAATCTTCGCGTCGCTGCACTGCGCAAAGATGCGGAAGTCGACTGTTCCAAACTCTTGAGTTGGCGGGTTGTCAGGACATGTCCCGTGGCGGTGGAACTTAAGCATGCTGAATCTGCTGATCATTTCCTCGCCCATGGACGCCCTGATCTGGTCCTCCATCATTTGAGTCTTTTCTTCGATGTCGAGCCCACAAAGCGTAAAGTGGAATTCAGCCTGGTAGCCCCCGTGTGCTGTGACACCCAGTCGGGTCGTTGGTGGTGGTGCACCGCCTGTGATACCGGTGACTAGGACACGATCTTCTGCGAGTTGTTTGACCTTGATGTTTTCCAAGTGTGCTACGGCGTCCGAGTTGTAATAGTAAGGCCCGGATATCTCGTAAAGAAGCTGTGAGATAACTGTTTCCGTATTCACGCAGCCACCAGTGCTTTTTTGCTTCGTAATGACACAGTCGCCACTGGCATCGACTTCAACAATGGGGAGACCTAAGTTGACATGCTGCTTGCGCTTCATCAGATCTTTGAAGCGACTGTAGTATCCGCCTGTAATTCCTTATCAGCTTGAGTCAATCGTCGAAGCTTGGGACCGAGAGGCACTGACCCGTGACAAAGGTAGAACATTCAATGAGATGTCCAGCAATCAATGCGCCCGCCAACTGATCGAGGTCACCTGTATTCCACTCGTGCCACCATCTGTGAATAATACTCAGTGTCCAATTTTCGAATCTGCAAACAGAATGTAACAACTTACGAAGCGACACCCATGCAAGGAGCAGCATCTGCCACTCTGCCACAGATCACGATATCGGCGCCGTTGCGGAGTGCCTCAGCGATGCCCATGCTGCCCATGTAGCACTGCGCTGCAACTGGGTCGTAGCCCCATTCATCTAGGCTCTTGCCATCGATGATGCTTTGGAATTTTTCACCACCAGCCCGAAGTTCTTGGAAGGCATCGAATACGTCGTCTCCTTCGACCCAGGCAACCTTGAGATTGTACCCGCCTTCACGAACCTGTCTGTCGCATAACAGAGCCAACAGCTCGGTATCGCAACCTCCAGCGTTGACGGCCAGCTTGATGCGGTTTTTGGCAAGGTTCGGAAGTGCCAGAGTGAAGGAGTGCGAAAATTGAGGAGCGAATTGAGCGAGTTGGAGCTTCTCGTCGAGAGTCTGTGAAGTAGAGGTATCCGCAAGCGTGGCCAAAGCCTTCTTCTTTGCTGCTCCCTGGACCGTCATGACATTCTCAGACATCCAGTCGCCCACGATGGCATCCAGTTCGGGATCCTGCGCGAGGCGGGCAATCGAGTCGAAACGGTCAAGTGAGCCGCCAGAGGCCCCGGCTATTCTTACTGAACGCTTTCCATGTTGTTGCGACGTCCCGTTGGACAGCACGCTGTTTCGTGACTCTGCCATGCTGTGTGGTCAAAAACATGTCCTGCAATGCGAAGACAGCAAGACTGTTGTTGGATGATTTTTTTTTTGGAAATCGAGTTCAACGCCAATGCTGATTCCTATGCCATCATTGTTGTTTTCTGCCGATTCTAAGTAGTAGGTGGAGAAACCGTATGCAGGGTAATGTTCTCCGTTCTAAGGACTAGGGTTGCTCCCCTGGCCCTAGACCACCGACTTGACACTTAGTTCGGTATCCTTCGTCGCCACGGGATATGCAATTGATGGCACGAAAGGGGTTCGGACTTGTCAAGCTATCCATTCGGATCCTTGCCAGTTCTGGCATGCCCCCGTGTCCTGGTTATGCCTAGGTGGCCGAGATCGGCAACAGATTGACATTATGCGGCCTACGCTCAAACATTTCGCGATTGTCTCGCCATCAGGTCATCGGAGACACACCCTGGCTTGTAGGGTCAGTGCTCCGTCGTCTCTGACAGAGGCTACGAGGGTCTCGCTGCCCTCAAAGTACTACTTCATAACAGCGTTGGAGATTAGATGCAGACATCAACGATTCAATCATGATGCGACCCAATATGAGCTCTGGGAAATCTAATCAACGTGCTTGCCTACAAGACCCTGATCGTTTACTGCCTCATCCATATCGAAGAGTTTGTTCTTCAGCCGCACATCGCACACATCACAGATGGCTATGGCGAGCTCTGTCGTGCTCTTCACCTGCTGTAGGGTGCCACCGACCTTCATCAGCCCTCTCCAATGCCAGGATACTTCGACTGGTGCATCCATTGGCACCAACCCGGCTATCAAGCATTGCGAAGTCTCGATTTTGTTTAAGACCGCCAATTCAGAGACATAGGTTCCATAGTTCTGGCTCATGATCAAAGTAACTACTGCTTGTTCAGCACGATTCTTTAGTTTCATTTTTTGGGTACACTCACGAAGATCGGGCCAGTACCGTGTGCATCGATTTATGAGACTGTCAGTGTCCGGCTTTCCAAACAAGCCTTCGAAGGACTGGACACCTCGCTGGTAAAGATTACCGCCCTTGTCAATGTCCTTCCGAACCACCATCGTGTCAACAGAATCTTCGTCAGGGATCGCCTTGAAAAGTGGAAACATGGAGTTCAGTAGTCGCGGAACGCTGATGACCGGCACGGCCTTCAAAAAGGCCTCTGAATAACAGGTAAGTCAGTAAATGATACCATAAAACAAGAAAATACGATCTGTGTTACTCCATACCTACCTTTGATACGACGCAGGATGAGACGCCTCGCTTCGGCATCATCTTTGTGAGGTGCTACGGCAGCTTCGTAGACTTTGGTGACCATCAGACACTCGTTACAGGCCGCAAATGAGAGAGCCTATGCCGATAAGCGTTCATTTTCCCACTGCTCTACATCATTGCGGACTGCTCACTGCAATGAGATACCAGCTCGACTTGGGATCCGAGTTCCCTGGCTGCGAAGCCAGCCTGTTGATGAGCTCCACCGCTCTTTGTTCCATCTCGGCTTTCATGTTGTTGCTTTGTAATGCGAGCACTTCTGAACCTCGGAATTCTCCTCTCAGCAACAACGAAGGACTAAGTAAAAGTAATATCTAGTCCAAAGCAAGAACGCTAGATGACCCCGGGTGAAGGATGCCGATTGTGGGGCCGGCCTGCCATTTGACCTGCTGATCAAATGCGGGCTCGGATCACCACCGCGAGGCATCCGAACAGGCTGACCGAAGATAGGCTAATCGAAGGAACGTAATTGAGATTCAGCCTTGGATCAAGGTGACTATGTTTCCAATGCCAAAGAGGTAAAGGTACACATAGCTCCGTAAGACAATACTAGTGGTCTGCAGCTGAGCAGCCACCTACCTGATGTCAAGGTCTCCTCAGCAATTCCAGCCGCCATCAATAGAATGAACAGCGCCAGTTATAAATTTACTCTCATCACCCAGCAAGAAGGCCACGAGAGCAGCTGCTTCCTCTGGCTGGCCCTTTCGTTTCAGAGTAGCAGGCCTTTCCATCTTCCAGTTCGGATCCACAGAGCTTTTCGCCGACATAGGAGTGTCAATTGTTCCTCTGACATATAGAGACAGTCAGTGTGATTATCGATGAATGGATTGATACTCTGGGAGACACTCACGGGCAGATGACGTTGATTCTGACTTCTGTCTCTGTGCATTCTTTCGAGGCAGCCCTCGTCAGTCCCACGACTCCATGCTTGGATGCGACGTAGGCTCCATTACTATCGCCATCTGTGTTAGTCCAAAGCTTTGCCTGCTCATGAGAGTCGAGGACTTCAGGCACACTGACAGGAGTAATGCACTTACTTCGGCAATCCCCGCACACCAGCGATGCTAGCAGCGTTGACAATGCTCCCTCCACTCTCAACGGCCTGCAGTTGTGCTTTCATGCACAGGAAGACGCCTTTCAAGTTAACATTGATAACGAAATCCCATTCGTCTTCGTCATAGTTTGCGACGCCTACACGGCCGATACTCTTCCCAACAACGCCAGCGAGATTTGCGGCTCCAGAAAGACGTCCGAACCGTTGGACAGTGTTGGAAATCCAGCTTTGCACATCAGCTGACTTGGTCACGTCGACAACCTGCGCAAGAACACCGGCGTCCGGTGCTGCCTTTCGGATCAATTCGACTGCTTCATCCAGAGGCTCTCGCCTGTTGTCCGCGAGGCTTATGCTAGCGCCTCGAACAGCCAGGTATAGGGCCGTTGCTAGCCCAATACCTGACGCAGCCCCAGTAATGGCGATGACTTTGTCTTTGAAGAGAGTTGGTGAAGCCATTATAGTCACTGAGCGTCCAGAAAACTGACTGAGGTCAAGCACAAAATCAAGTCTCCTGCGCCGGATAGAAAGATTCTGGGAGATGTCCAAGTGTTCCCGAAACCGGCGAATCAGACGGAGAACAATGTTAACGAGACAGCAGAAGGCAGGCTAATCTAACGCCGGAAAATTAGGACGTGTAGGCTGTGACAGGCTGACGAGGCCGTGTGATGCTCTTTGCCCGAACCATCAAAGTGTCGTCGCGTCTCCGCGTCGCCTAGCAAGAAGAGGGAGAGGTCCACAGCGTGCTAAAAGCTGCCCTCCCACGCCTCCAGTGCTGAATTGGTGCGCCTACCGGACCGTCTACAGGCAGGCTAGCAGGAACGGGACCCCAGATCGTTCTCGCAACTTGATCATATGAATCATCACCGCAGGTTACGGTCGGACGGATTGAAGATTGTTCGTGGATCTACACCCTCATTTGCTCGCCAAATCTCGAGAAAGGGAAGAATCATAATGCCTGGCCAGATACTCGTACTGGTGCCATTGTCCTTGAAGGCTGAATTCTTCTTCTCAAACTACTAGATCGTGAGCCACGTCTGGCACTCTCAACAATCTACGCAGGACCACCATCCAGACTGTCAAAGAAACGACCCTCCTGTTGAGGGAGACACCGAGGGAGAGTTGATTCATGTGGTCTCTTTGTTGCCACAAGGAATCCATGTTTTCGAGGCAAACCCGGATTCCCGAGTCGCTTGCGGGCCCAGACACACACATGGCCTCCGCGCCCACGATCCACCATCCTCAAGGTTCGAGGCTAATGATTCAGCGCTTTGCAGCACCCCAGAGTTATCGCCCAATCACGAAAGGAAAAATCTATGCTGACCCTCTCTCAGCGGCCGAACAGAGTGACTATTTTTCGTGGAGCCCCATGGATGTCTGGGCTTCAAGTCTGGCGCTTCAATGTACAAGAAGCACTGTAGCAAAAGTGCATTCCCCCTCCGCAACCGTCGTCTCCTACATTTCACAGACCGGGAAGGGCGCTCCAGAACAATGTCGACACAAGAGAAAGAGACCAAGAAGCGCACCAGAGCCTCGGTGGCCTGCAATGCGTGCAGAACACGACGTACCAAGGTATGTACGGCTCCTTGAAGGTCTCGAATATATCAACGCGGCCGGATATCGTGCTCTTTCTTTACTCTTTCTTCCTGAAATTGTCGCCCCATTCTGACCAGTTGTACAGTGCGTGTTTACACCTGGAGAGGGAGAATGCAAGCAGTGTCAGCGAAGCAAAGTGGCCTGCATAATAACCCATGATGATGAGCGAAAACGGTAAGCTGTCCACTCTAGATTGCTCTAGTCTACCTCGTTTGGATTGACCAGGGATTTCAGGCCCAGTTCGCGAGCCCACGTTGAATTCTTGACGTCTCGTGTCAAGCTACTGGAAGGACTCCTTCGTCAAAAGGAACAAGCTATGCCTTCAGCATCCAACTCGGAACACGAGAACAGTCTCGACATGGTCGACCTGGATCTGGGATTTGAAAGTAGCACAAGTCAATATGACACCGATCTGTTCAATTCTCCTCAACCAGTCGAATGGTCCATGCCGGAAGGTCCACCTGAGCCTCTTGTAGACCAAGCACCAAGGGGCCAGACTGCTACTAGTGACTGCTCACCAACAGTAAATCATGTCCAGCTGCCCACGTATCTCCAAACCTCAAATTGCGGTCGGTCCAAACAGCTCTTGGAGTGCTTGACGTCGACAGATGGACATTGGAACCACGACAAGAGTAACGGACAGACGCGGTATTATACTCCAACAACAAACATCCACGTCTACAGCGAGTTACTCCATACACATGCCGCAGCGGATACGTGGGATCAAAGACGAAGAGCTGCTAGGATGATCAGTGACCTAACCTCAGATGCCCACGACTATCTTATGGAGCTCTACTGGACACGGCACAACACCCTGATGCACGTCGTGCACAAAGACACCTTCTGCCGTGCCCGAGAACAAGAAGACCCACAGTACTACTCGAGCTTTTTGCATGTCTGTATGCTTGCCATGGGCTTTAGCTATGCAGACAAATCAAGACTCGACATCCAGCGACTCACCTTGAGCGATGGGGACAGTACTTTACTCCGAGAAGCCCGGTATCTATTTGAACATGACGTCAACCACTCTGGAGGTCTGACGAAAATCCAAGCACTGTTGCTACTGGGAGATCTTGGATGCAGCTTGGGGAAGGACAACAGTGGCTGGATGTATACAGGTGAGTCCTCACTTGAGACACATCTGCGCTATCTAACATTGTCACCAGGACTAGCATGTCGATTAGCTCTGGATATGGGATTACACCTCGACTATACCCAAGTGAACCTCAGCCAAGAGGACACCCTGGTCCGGTCAATGGTCTTTTCCTCTTGTGTTCTCCATGACCTGTGGGTGATCCTTGGTCATATCCCCCGCGAGTCGTCAAGCTCTCCGCTGATGCCTTCATAGATACTGTGCACTATGGGTGGGTCGACCACCACATATTAGACATCGTGATCTAGACAGCGAGCGGCTTCTGGAGCGCAGAAGGCTTCTTGAAGCCGGTCTAGACCACGGCTCCGAAAGAAGTCACGAGACTCAGATCTACGTTGCCTTGCTCGAGCTTATGGAGCATTCCTATTTCGTCGTTGACAATACCCCCAACAAATCAGACGCCGACAGTCCTCAAAGACACCTTTTGACCGCCACTTTTGACCAGGAGTTGAGATCGTGGTATCGGAAACTTCCCCAAGAGCTGAAGTGGACGCGAATCAACGTTGCAACCGCACCACCAGTGTTTTTCCTTCTTCAGTAAGTTCTCCTCCATCTTCGACAGGCTCAGTGAGGGTTGTTCCCGTTGCTCCAATGATACAGAAAACTAACGCTGCATCGTTCAGCCAACAATTTCACGCACTTCTAATCACGGCGTACCGTCCTCTCGTTCGATTGAGGCTGCCCGAGTCTGAATTCGAAGGACAGAGCTTCAGCCACAATATCAGCTTAGATTATGGACCAATGAAACACTACGCTCGACTTGCGCGGACCGTGTGTTTTGACTCTGCCATTCAAGTTGCCCGGATATCTCAATGTTACCGAAGACGCTTTCCACCGTGCGACCTGTGGCCTGCCAGTATGCAACATCTAGGCACCGCGGCTACTGCCTTGATCTCCTACATCAGCCGACCCGACGACCCTGCGGGCCAACACACCGCCTTGCAGCATCTTCAAGTCCTCATGGACTCTCTGAGGGGTATGGCACAGATCTACCGGCCGGCGCAATACATGATCGATGTTCTGGAGCCAGTGGTCAACGACTTTGGCTGGAATTCTGAACCTCTGATGGACATTGACGCCAGAAAAGCGCCAGAAACTCAGCCCCACGGACTGCTCACGCCCGCAACAGAGTCTCGGTCCCTCACCACCTCGATTAAGTCATACAAGGGCGATATGCCCATGCTGGACTCGTCATCTAACCCGCTCAAGACGATGGAGATCTCCTTCGACGCCCCGGCCACTCAACCCCAGAAGGCCACTCACAGAATGTCCGCCTCTGTTGAAGGTAGTCATCACGATCGGGAGTTTGGCACCCTGGAAACACCCATGATGATCTCGCCTCGAGGTGTCAGTAATCTGATCCCTTATCTGTATTTGGGAGGCTCGACAGATGACTCAAACACGGCCCTGTCGAGCAGACCCCTGGCGCCTCCAGCGGGGATGAAGTCGGCGACCGGCAAGCCAACCAGTAGTGCGCATAACGGGTCGATGAACATGTTCAGCCAAGAATTGTCGTCAATATCATCTGCTGAGAAATTGTCGGAGCAGCAGCTCTCATGGGACGACATCTTTCAACAAACTGGGCATAGCGTTGGTTAGGCGTTTGCTTATTGATGCCAGTATCTACCAGTGTTGAGGTGGATAATCTAATGACTGCTTCAAGCTGTTTGAAGATCATGTACGCTTAGATAGGAGACACGGGGGTTTTCTTGATTTCCATCTTGTTCCGAGTTGTTTCGCGGTCTGGTCTCGTTATACATTCAAGGTTGCTATGAGTGCTACCGATGAGCCTACGTCGCTCTCTGTTCTCTACGTCGTCCCATACAGCAGCATTGCTCCTTATGAACCACGTTCAAAGCTCCGAGGCCTTGATGTATCCAGGCCTCCTGTCGTCGAAAATCTCCTTGTCCGGCTTGAAGTGGTGGAGTCTATATAGAAATCAGCACCATTTTGCCCATTGCACAGTAAGTTTCATCAATTCATCCAAGCCTGTGGCCCATCTTCGTACAGGTCTGTGGGCTCCCTAAGGCGCGCAGTCACAATCAACAACTTACCCATCCTCCACCAGCGACGACCGCACCATCCATTTCGTGCCGCCGTGATGCATGGGTACAGTCCACAACGTGCACCCGCACCTGGAACAGAAGTGCTTTTCCTTGACGTGCCCGCTCTGCGTCTTCTCGATGATGTATTTGTTGATCAGGGACTCGGGGTCTTTGACACTGACTTCGGTGGCATTGTAGCCTAAAACCTGAGCCGCAAGGAGATCAATATACGTCACGTGAAATGGCACAATCATGGTTTGAGGAAAAGTGCAAAGGAATTTCCCAAAAACTAAGGGAACCAAACATACTATTTGGCACGGCCCTCCAGCACCCTTTTGGCAATCGAGACAGTAACACTGCAGAACTTTATAGGGGTGTCCAAGCAGGTCGAAGGTAACGTTGCCGCAGAGGCAGGCGCCGTTGTAGCGGGCCGATGAGGTTTCTGCCATTCTGGGCTTTTTTGGATGCTGCCCTTTTCGCGCAAGACCTTAGATCCTCTTGTCCGGATCTTCACGATATAAGTGAATAAGGGCTCATACAGAAGTAAAAGTTCCGAGAATGCCAAGCTCACGTACGGAACGCGCCATCTCTGTATCGGGACCTAGTGGGCTGGATCTCTGTCTCCCGACTGTCGTGCTCCCGATGCGCCGGGGTCGTGTTTTCCGTAGGAAAGCCACGAATGATCCTGGCACCCCGACATGTCGAGTCGCCTGTACGCATTGAGAGCCTGGGTTGGGGCGGGGAAGATGGCATCAATAGCGTGGCTTGCACGCGTACGAGCCCATGCAAAAGACAGATGGAGCTTATCTTGGTCACACATCTGCAGCAGGTTGATTTTGGTCTACGTCTATCTATCACCCTGAATTATCCGAGGGGTTTCCGAGGTATTCGTGTCTGCTCTCCGCGTCATCTTCCACGATCGCAAAACTGGAGTTCAAGCAGGTCAATGAATCCCAAAAGCCGTCATGAAGGCTTTTGCCAAACCATGGAGCCGTGTTCCCAGACCATCCGATTGCGGATGGAGCCAAGCTGCTCGATCTTGACCTCGACCACATCGCCGTCCTTCAGCCACCCAGGTGGGTCCATGCCCAAGGCCACACCTGAAGGGGTGCCGGTCATGATGACAGTGCCCTCCTGCAGTGTCGTCCCCTGGCTGCTGAAGCTCACAATGTCTGCTACCGAGAAGATCAGGTCGTCCGTGTTGGTGTCCTGGCGCATCTCGCCGTTGACCAACGTTTGAAGGCGCAAGTTCTCGGCGAGGCCCACGACGGAAGGAGAGACGAGCATGGGTCCGACGGGAGCGAACTTGTCGAACCCTTTCGCAAAGCACCATTGAGGAACATTGCCGGCGAATTTAGGGTCGCGTTGCCAGGATCGCGCGCTGATGTCGTTGCCGACCATGTAGCCTGCAATGTAGTCCAGGGCCTTCTCGCGCGGCACGTTCTTTGCGTCTTTGCCGATGAGAATGCACTGGTGGGGGCAAATGTTAGCTCCAAAGCCTGAGAGAGTATGCCTGGTCTTGATAGCTCACCATTTCGCCTTCATAGTCCAACATGTCAGGCTTTTGTATGATTGGGTGGATTGGAATGTCCTCGTTCCATGAAGCGATGCTGGGGGCTCCCTTGATGAAGATCGAAGGGTACGGCGGAGGCGTGCGGCCTGCCTCTTTGACTATAGTTGGGGGGCTCTTTAAAGCAAATCCTCAGGAAAACGCAGCATGATGTTGGACTCACTGTGTTTCATGTAGTTCAGGCCGATGCATTTGACGATGGGCACATCTGCCGGAGTCAAAGGTCCTATGAGTTCCGCGACCTCAACTTCGGTGCCCGTCGGTTTCAAAGCGGGTATACTGCTGCCCTCGAAAACCTTCGCTTTTAAGGTCTTGGCCTCAAGCTTCTGCAGCAGTTCATCTGCGTGATTGATGATCGGGTCACCATAGTGCGTTTGTCCCTGGGGAGCTCGGAATTTGATGAGTCGTTGCCACGTCATGACCACTCGGTGCGACGATGTTATGATTCCAACCGTTTCGGTGGAAGTCTGGAAGATATGAGGGAGCAGTTCAGCTCGATTGGTGATGCCTGAACGAGGACGAGGTTTCTCCTTGGTTTATGACCATGTCCATTCAAGTTGCTGATGGGAGTCTGAACGAAGAGCGTGGCGAAGTCCGTCTCCGCGGTCGGCGCCGCAGCGATCAGGCGCTGAATCAGTAACCCTCCATCCCCGATCCGTTGCATGGGTCCTCGTACCTGGTGTCGTTTGCTTCCGGCAGTCGAGATCCGGATTGTCGGTCATAGACTCCGCCATGCCATGGCTGAATCCAGTGCGGAGAGTGTCTTGCCGGTCAGTAGACACGATTTCGCGGGGGGGCCCTGATTCTATGGAAGGGGTAACTTAGAGCGTCGACCAAGGACTTTTTGCAGCGTTGTTGCAAGCATCACCAGCTACAATACACTAACTTACTACAATAATACCAAAATGGGTTCTATCGCGACAGACGCCGTGCAGAGAGACTTCCTGAAACGTCTGCCAGCCAAGAATGTCGGCCCTCTATGGACAGTTATGGACGCCTTGGTCTCACAGATCCCAGCACCAAAGGCAACGCCTGCGATCTGGAGGTATGATGAGCTACATCCCGATCTCATCACAGCCAGCCAAATAATCCCAGAGGAACAAGCAGAACGCCGAGTACTCATGCTGAACAATCCCTCCATGAGTAAGTCGCCAGCCTGAGCCACACAGTGTAGGTGGACATCACTGACGGAGCGATTCAGAGGCCCCATACACAACCGACACCCTGTACGCGGGTCTTCAGATCATCAATCCAGGCGAAACTGCGCCGGCTCACAAACACGTAGCTTTCGCCCTGCGCTACATCATCGAAGGCAGTCGAGGCTTCACCTCCGTGGACGGCAAGAAAATCTCCATGGAAAAGGGTGACGTGATCCTCACGCCCTCGTGGACATTCCATGACCACGGCCACGAAGGCCAGGGACCCATGATCTGGCTTGACGGCTTAGATCTCCCGCTGTTCCAGGGGATTCCAGTCAACTTTGCCCAGGCATACCATGAGAAGCGCTTCCCGCGCGAGTAAGTCACCCCGAAACGCTTGTCTATCATCGATGGTACCCTTGCGTTGCCCCCAACTCGAACCCAAGTCGTGTTAACATGTATCACGACAGGCCTGTCGAGTCCAGCCCGAACTTGCATTTCCCCTGGGCGCCTGTAAAAGAGCTTCTCTCCTCCTCCCGTCCCCATAGCGTCCACCACTACCTCACTCCGGACGGCGACCCGATATCCAACACCCTCTCCGCCCAGGCCGAGCGCGTCGCAGCGGGCACAACTAGCCCGGCTATACGGGAAACCTGTTCATTCGTTTACCACATTCCCCAGGGCACGGGTTCGACTCGCATCGTAAGCGGCAATGGTACCGAGACGATACTGAAATGGAAGGAGAACGACACGTTTGCCGTACCGGCATGGTCGAGTGTGTCACACACGGCAAGTGACCAAGGCGATGTCTATCTTTTTGCGTTTTCGGATCGGGGAGTGTTGGAAAGGCTGGGCTTCTACAGGAAGCAGGAGGAGTGATTGGGCGTTATATCGCGTATGCGAGAGCCTTGGTAGGTGTTTGCCGAGACTCTACCTTCAAAGAGCAGGATTTGCCAGAGTTTGGGACTTTTGGAACATCATAGCCACGTCTTGATCGCGTAGTTGACTGTTCATAGTGTTGTTAACGTGAACATGATGTGATGTGATGCTTTACCAAGAGCAAAACACAGCTGTACTTGTCGACACAGGCGGAGGACATCATCCCAGCGAGCAATAGATGTAAACACCGCTAATAATCGAGCATCGATAACGCTTGATCAACGTTCCGATGTGAGCAACAGCAAAAGCCTCGACTTCAACCTCGACGGTCTCTGAAGCCTCCAAACTCTTTTCGACTCTCCTCCACAGCGATGGCTAGCTGTGGAAAAGTGTGCCAGAATTTAGAGTCAATACCAGTCAAGGTCCAATTCTTCATGTCTCGGACGTGCTCTTCAAATGCAGGGTGCACGTGAAAGGACTTGACCCCTGTGTCGGGATCTGTTTCTTCGAGGATGACGTCGTCGTCCGAATATGGCCAGTTTAAGCTGAATGAGGGCGCAAAGGCGTCCGAGTACTGTTCAAACGTGATGGTAGGATCGCGAATAAGGCAATCTCGCGCGTGCGGCCTGCCATGATGAGTTGATGTCAGCCAATTCTTGGGACCACTCAAGCGAGGTCTTGGCCATTCTGGAAGAGAGTGACGGCGAGTAATGGATTAGTGGAAAAGGATCTCATACCACATGACACGATCGAGCCAGGCCGAATGGCGTACTTCGAGCTGGAGCCTGGTCGGCCGCATCCAAGGCAGCATCTGATCGTAAGCCTCTTTGGTCCTCAATATCTGCCACTGTACCCAGTCAGCCGCTTGTCACTTACGATCGAGACACACAAGGGGATGCCAGACAGTCAGAGCACTTGTTGAAGACATGATACATGCAACCTTCTTCGCAATGGTGTCGAACTCGGGATAGGTGTAAATGATGTCGGCAATGACTCGAGAGACCTCAACCTGGACGGCTGATGGCGACAACCTCGGTGTCGGCGAAGGCGGATCGCGAACTTCAGGCGAGGGGAAGTCCATTTCAGCCTCCGGAGCACGAACCAATGCTCGCATTTTGTGAACAAATGGCTGCACGATGCGGTCGGAGGGATTTTCTGGCGGACCTTGTAAAGGAACGCGAAGATAATCGGGTTCGCTTGCAGACGATATACTGTTGTAGGGATCTTGGGAGCCCTGCAAAGGTCGTCCCTCTGCTGGCGAGAGACCCAGTGTCGCTTTCTGAGATATAAGACCGGCAAGGATCGACTGATCCAGTGATATTCGAACGTTCGGAGCCCTAGCACCCTTCATCCGCTGGTAGGACTGACTCCCATGCTCGAAAGGCGACGGACGGAGCAGCGGGTAGAGGTGCAAGTCCTCCACGCGCCGTCTCAATTCATGGTTTTCACGGATGTAGTGCGACACGTCCCGGGAGTAGGTGGATTCCTGGACTCTCAGGCGTTCGGATAGTTGTGACACTTGGTCTCGTAAAGCTCCAATCTCGGCTTTCGCTCGATCTCTCATCGCTTGCTGAGCCCTTCGATCTCTCGCTCTTTTGAGGGCAAGCGTTGAAGCCGCCTGAGAGCTTTTGCTCGGGTCAGACTGGCCTGTCTTGCCTTCTTTCATGGTGCATCGGATTGAATCATCGTGTCCGGACGGATTCACAGAAGAGCTGTGGTGGTGCGGAGGGAAGCCACTCAACTCAGGTAAAGCGCGAGGGAAAAGGCGGGGTAACCAGGAGGGAAAGTAAGCCGGTTGTTAAGGCATCCTGACTGGCGCACGTGACGCCTGACTTTAGTCTACTATATCTGGAAGGGTTGCCAAGGTAATGTAATGACGGTCATAGTGGCCCTCGGCTAACGGCCTTCGGCTAGCGCGAGCAACTCCCTCGCTAATTCCCCGAAGGTATATAGTCAGGGTACCCAGGCGAGCCAGTGTCAAAAATAAGTGGCACGGTCTGACGAGAAATAGTATAGAGAAGTGATTCACTACCGACCTAAAGGTGACCACCATTAAAAATGATATTAATTCCGTCCTTAGGAATAGCGGTATCCTTATCCTTATTAATAATATTAGCTATATTTGATCTGGCAATCACCTCGTCACTATTAAGTGGCTGGCTAGATTCTGAGATGGCGTCAATTCTCTGTCAGACTGTGCCATTGTTTTCTTCTGGAGGCTTGCCAGGCAAGCAGGATCCTGTACTCTGTAGAATTCATCTATTCCTCCATTTAATCACAGTCCGACGTCTGCATCAATGAACTCTGCCACAGCAACGATCTGGCCGCTTGGTATGAGGTGGAGGTGCAAAACCCCATCCTCGAGGAGCCCAACTTTCTCTAGCTAGCCACAGAATCAGAGACATCGCTGCTTCCTGCCAAGACTTTGCTCTCGCTGGCATCTGCTCCGCCCGGTAAGCAGCCTCGTCCCCGGAAAAGGATAGCCGAGTGTTCCTCGACCCCAGACCCTCAAAGTCATGCTTCTCAATGGCGTGAAATGCCTTGTCTCTGAACTTGAGGCTCAATCGCTCATGACCACCAGCTGCAGGCGTCCTCTTGGCACTGCACTCCAGGTTAGCATCTGCCGGGGAAAAGCTAGGGAGTTGGGGTATGGGTCTGCCTGGTATTGGCCAGGTTGCTGGCAGTGCTGGTCCGCATAGGCCACGCTATCCGCCTCGAACGATGCACGACTCTTTTGCAACCGTGTCCGCCTGGTCGGGTGTTGCGCTCCGAGATCAACGATGTTGTTCGTCTCGTTGAGAGAAAGACGTTCCGGTATCTCGGCTGATGTACCTGAGGTCCGAGATTGTCAGTGGTTTCGACCTTTGACTACGGAGGTATATCCTTGGAACATCTCGTCTTCTTCCTCGCGAACACTTTCTCCAGCCACTTTGAAACCCGCCTTCCAACTGATCTTTCATCCTAGTGCTGTGTATCCAAGTGTTGTTTGGTTGTCTCCAAAGCCATAATGCTCTTCTTTTCAAAAGCCACTTTGCTCGCTACCGCGGCGCTATCTGCGGTCGCCGGCGCATGGCCATTGACATCCCGCGCCACTGAGGCTCAGAATACCATGTCGCTTCTGGCCGCACGAGACCAGATCTCCAATGCCTTGTCAGACTACGCCTTCTTCGTCGATTCCAAGCAATTTGACAACCTGACGCAAGTCTTCGCACCCAACGGCAGTTGCTACTTTCCCAAGCCCTACCCACAGATGAAGGGATCTGCCGAGATCATCGAGGTCCTCCGAAACGCCACCGTCGATGTCCACAGCCAGCATCTCATGGGTTCTTTCTACATCGATATCATGAACATGACTGCAGCCACCAGCCACTCATAGTGAGTAAAATATGTGTGTGCGGCTGATCTATCTAACACGAGACCAGTTATTCTGCCACTTTTCTGAATGCGACGCCTGCCGATGATGTCTACCATCACGGTCAGTACTACGACACATGGGTCAACCTAGGCAGCGCATCCGAGATGGAGTGGCGGATCACGAACAGAACTCTGCTTTCTTGGGATTGATGTACAGGGTCTACCTCCAAAGCCACTACGTTCGATGGAGAGGCCGTTGTATATTGCGAAGATGGTATCAAACCTTTAGAATCTCGAAATAGGACGCGAAATCACTTGGAAGATGGGCTCCGGGGACCTGTGCTCACCACGTGCGTTCCAAGAGCTGGAAAGTCAGGCGAATAGAGCTGCTATGAATAGCCCTATCGCATGAATCGAGCAATAATGTCATATAGACGGCGATATGGCTCACTCACACACCAATTCATCGATTCAATCTTTAAACCGCTACGGCGAATTATAGTCCAGGGCATGCCCGGAGTGGATGTTAATTGTGTAAGATAACGGAGTTTTGCTTTGTGAATACGAGGTATCTAAATCGAACCAAACAATTCGTCAGTGTTAGGGATGACTCCCCAAACACAACAAACCGGCCAAGCACCTTTAAGGCTTCGAGTCTCTACATAGGGCTAGAGCTATCAATACTAGGTGTTATTACTTTTATTGACCTGTCTATCTACCGCTTCCCTCTATCGGCGGAGTACGCCTCGCCTTTGTCGTCCCTAGACAAGAACCGTTTCTGGAGCTGGAGAGTGTCGCAAGAGCCACGGCAGAGCACGGGGGAGCGCAGCCTATGTTGCAAGGGAGCGATCGTCACGTATAGCCACCGTCAACATTAATGACCTATATAGATAGAAAATGTGAGTGCGTCTCCAACTATTCACAAACCTGCTGGAGACTTACCGTGCCCGTTACGTAGCTGGCCTCCTGGCTTAAGAGGAAGACAATCAACCGCGCGACTTCTTCGGGCTCGCCGATACGCTTCAAGGCCGTCCTGACCCCCATCGCGTCGTGTAGCTCCTGGTCGGTCCCGATCGCCTGCGTCAAAGGCGTCCGGATCATGCCCCTGTCCAACGTTATTTTCCTTTCTCCCTTTGGGGGGTGGAGCCCAACTCACGGTGCGACCGCATTAACTCGAATGCCCCGAGCCCCAGCTTCCTGCGCGGCGATCCTGCTCAGGCTGAGCACCCCAGCCTTGCTGACGCAGTAGGGCCCCAGGAAGGGCCAGGCCTGCTGGCCCGCGATGCTTCCGGCGTTGACGATCGCGCCCCCGTCCTCCAACGCCTTCAGTTCGGCGCGGAGGCAGTTTTTGACCCCGGCGAGGTTGACGGCCAGGATCGTGTCCCAGTCCTCGTCGGGCAGGACGTCCAGGGCGTGGCCCTTGCCCTTGATGCCCTGATTCCCCACGATCCCGGCCATGTTGGCCGCCCCGTGCAGCGCCCCGAAGTGCGCCCGCGCCTGCGCCACGGCGCCCTCCACCGCCGCGGCGTCCCGCACGTCGCAGGCCACGGCGAGCCCGCGCACCCCCCACGCCTCGACTTCGGCGAGGGTGGCATCCGGGGCGCGCAGGTCGAGCAGCGCGAGATTCGCGCCTTGTTGGGCCAGCAGGTTGGCCGTCTTGCGGCCCATGCCCGAGGCGGCGCCGGTGACAATGAATGTCTTCGCTTTCAAATCGCTGTACGACATGTTTTTTTTTCTCGCCAGGCAGTGCTGATATTTCTCTATGGTGTGTGTGTGGTAACAACCCCCTTCCCTCCCTCCCGCTCGCTGTCAGGAAGAGTCGCCCCCAGCAGTTTTGTTTCGGAGATTCAATCCAGACCACAATCCCTCGGATCTCGCCCACGCATTTCCGAATCGATGAACACGCCAAAAAACCGACGACCCTCGGAGATGGCATCAAAATTTACCTAGGTACCTACGTTAGAGCGAAGTACCCCCCTGACTTATCCCCCGTGCCACGGGTTGTAAAGATGCCGGGGTAGTCTGGCAAGTACGTCGCCAACTTAGGAGATCCCATCGACGGCAACTACACATGTTTTTAAATTGCTTCAAACTTGAAGCTCCTCCAGACGTGCACAGGGGCAATATTATATGATGTCCCCATCCTGAACATCCATTTTTACGGGACGTTACAACAACGGCGTGGATCAAACTCCAGATCGGATGAAGCCAGGTTCAGGCATTGAAGGATAAGACGGGTAGCAGTGACGGGCTCAATATTTTCGTGCTCAAAGCGCCACTCAACACCCCTCAAATTGTCCGGGATGAGAACTTCAGTGGAACAATACTACAAAAAATGAGACGCGCCCACAATGGTGTCGTTCGGATCGCTTCTAGTGTAGCCGTTGAAGTTCACCGCCGAGGCGCTTCCTCCCCGAGTCGCGAAACATTTGATCCTGCCAATCTCGCCGCAGGGACAAAATGATCTCGAGAGCCCGCGTGCTCATGTTGAAGTGGGACATTTCGCCCAAGGCCTGGAAGCAGATCGACAGCTGTTTGTGCGCCTGGACCCCTTTGGAGCTGGAGAAGACGCAGCAATTGTGGACATGGATGAGCGCCGCCGTGAGGATGATGGCGACGATTTGGGCGTGGACACGGCGCAGGTCCCACTGCCGCCGATAGATGACAACAAGGCGACAGATGGCGTTCGCAGAGGCATCGCAGATGCTTCCACTGTCCTCGGCCTGGTCGGCCTTGAACATGTTCGTGCCCGGCGCCTCGGGCGCCGATATGAAGGGCCGTTGCAGGAAAATGACTGCTTCGTGGAACTGCAGACTGTCCCGAGATCAGCAACCGTCGGTGACGAGGGACGCCATCTCAAACGTACTGTAACATGATCACTGCCGGCGCTATGGGCGTGTCGGCGTCGTCGTCAGAATCCAAAGGCACCTGCATCGCGGCAGGGAGAGACTTCCGCCAGTGCCGGAGGTCTTGCATCATGTTTCTGGCGAAGGTCTTTGCTTCGGCCATGGCAACTTGTGGCCCGGTATAGCTAATCAACCATCATCAGCACGCCCCAACTTTGACAAACAAAAAGGGGCAGATTGTCAACCAACAGAAATCTTGATATCTTCCGGATTTTGGTGGTCAACTGCGCCATGTAAACGTGGGTTTGGCCGATGACAGTCACATCCAGGCCGGCTGAGATCTGTGCCTGGCCACCCTCATCCACATACGGTCGCCAGGTTTCGGAGTTGAGTGGTGCAGGAAATGGTATTCTCTGATCATCGTATCGGATTGACGAGGGTCTGCCACTGTAGGCGCTCCATAAGCTGTAGAAATGGGCTCAAGTTAACTCCACACTATCGACTTGACAGAGGCTGCACATTCCGACGAGTAGAAGGGAATTCTTGAAGTATAATACTCACATGTCCAATCCTTGCGTAGCCCAGAAGACTGTTCGACGTAAATTGGTGATGTCTGGAGTGTCGCGGTCTGAGACGCGCGCATGGTCGAGCTCCAGATGTAATCCCAAATCCGAAAGGAGTTGTACCGCCATCCCTAAATCTCCATATGAGACGCTGAGATCGAAACGTGACATTTGAACTTAGATACCTGCGCAGAGCCATCCTGCGCATCCAGTCAGTGCCTGTGAACGGTCACCGTAGCCAGGAGAACAGCTCTCACCTCTGGAGTCCCTTGCATAGGCCGCTTCGTGGGCCGATAGAGTTACTAGTGCTTGAATTGTTGCCACGCTCGGGCTGTCCATCTCGATGTCCAGCAGCACCTTCGCGCGATGGGCGAAGAATTCAGCTGGGTCGTCTTTGATCGCCGGGTGTTTACGAGTTGCATACGCGGCACCAATTCCCAGTCTGGCTCACATGTCAGTGGCATGAACACCAGATTGAGAAAACGCCATGGGTGGTGGCGGGGATGGCTTACATTGCGTTCTCCAGCGTTGGAGAAAAGTAAATGGTGGTGTTGCCGGCGCGGTATAATTGTCGATGGTGGTAATAAGCAGCCTCATCCACGACACCGAGGAACGTGTTGTGCCAGGTGAAAAACAAGGTGGTGAGATGGTCTTCGTATCGAGGGTCCGGAGGCCAGTGTAGACCGGCACGGCCAAGGGCATCCTGACCATGAGTGCGAATTGTGCGAATAGAGGGCTGGAAGCAATGCTGGAAGCCATTGCGGATCAGATGCAGATTGCTGGTAGCACCATAGTATCTCAAATGGCCATCCTCGGCGATGCGCAGACAACCTAGCCGACTGGCCAGCTGTTCGGTGGGCTCGTCTACCCGAACCTGACAGCTATCTGCTTCGTTGGCACCCGTCTGACGAGCATTGGGTCGGTCAGGATCATTCGATACAGAGAATGCATCCGGTTCGTGGCTGAACAATGGGTCGATATCATGTGCTGTACTGACAGTCGTGTAGTCGGGATTGTCCTGTCTGAATCCGCCGCGGGTGTCCTTGGGCAGGTCAGCATTGGAAATGGGTGAAAGATGGGCCGTATCGATCGTGGCTAGGTCCAGCAGATCGAGCTCATCGCTCGCTTCTGCGAAGCCTTCCTGTCCAGCGATTTCGATCCAATAGTCAACCCCGGCGTCTGCAAATTGCGACCTCGTGCGTTGTCCGTCGTGCGGTAGAGGGTTGAAAGGGTTGAATATGGGCTCTCCTGTAGGCGATGGCGTCGAATAGGAGACACTTCCCACATTTGAAGCTCCTGGACCCGTCGTCGGCCACTTGTATGTTCCCGGGCCTTTGGAGCCATACGGCGACATGATCGAAGAGTTGCTCGTGGGGATATCTTCGAGGTTGGCTCCGTTGTTCTTGGGATTCTTGCTGATGCTGGAGGCAGGTCTGGTTACGCAAATGTTATTCTTTCTTCGCTTTCATGGCTGGGGCCCAGTGCAGCCCGACTCGACTTTGATGGACAGACTCACTTTCGACGATCTTCGCCAAGTAAACAATCGACATCGCGGTAGACGCAGTTGGAACAACGGGGTTTCTTGTTGTCGCACTGTGGCAGTCAGAGCCGCGCTCCCATCTTTGCTCGACGCTGTCCAACTTGTAGAGAGAAGACTAACTCTGATTTTGGCTCTCCTGCATGTCATGCATGCGTTGGACGAGTATCGCCGCTTCGCTTGTCCTTCACCTTCTGGCGGCATATTTCCCTTATTTGTTCCAGTTTCTTCGTCTATAGTCGGTTGAATGCGCCCTCAGTGAGACAACTCGAATGAGGCGGGAGAGGTCAAAGACGCCTAGGATCAGCGGACAAAGCACCCCAAGCTAAGGACCCTCCATTCAGGCCACTGAAGGGTCCCTCGGTAAAGACTAACCTACTGTAAGTGAGACTGGTGAATTCCGTGGTCTTTTCCGATATCCGGTCTGGGCAGTGACCTGCAAGGGACAGCTGGACCCCCATTGCTGAGCCTTGACGACGCTGTGGGGGAAACGGAGAAGCCAAAGAACAATCAATAATCATAATCATGCCATTGCGGGGAGACTCGCTGGGCGAAGGAGATGGAGGGAATGGGCGAGTCCAGTCCATGGCTGAATGGTCGCCGCCGCCCCCTCTCAGGCTCGGTTCCCAAACTGTTAGCCGACAATGCCTCCACACCACCAGTAACTACCCAGTAACTACCCCAGGTTGATGGAGCCTATTCTGGAGCTGAGCCTCTGGACATATTGGCCATGTTTTGACTTGGTTCGGCCCCTTCTTCTCCCAAACAGTTTGCTGTTGGGTTTTCAGCGCGCAACATGCACCAAAGCCATGACATGATGGAGATACGAGAGCTCTCTGAAGGCCCTCTTTCGGCCACGACCGTGATGAAACGAAAGCGCAGAGCGATCCGGGCCTGCAAATCTTGCCGTGAAAGAAAAGTCCGGTGCGACCAGCAGCAGCAAGGCATACCATGTACAAACTGCAAGCTCGACTCGAAGCCTTGCATTGTGCTTGATCGCAAGGCCGCCGCGCAGCCCATCATCTCCTCGTCTCAGTGTGGAGTGCAGCTCGAAGCCAGCCGTCCGATGCTCTGTATGTGTTGACTCTTGCCTGTAACGAGATTCCTCTGAGGACTAACAACCAGACAACTGCGCAGCGGGAGGTAGTCCAATTTATTCTTCCGAATCGCGGAGACAAATCGACAGTAACGACGGAAGCATGTCTTTATCCCGACAGCCAGCCTCCGATTCTTGCAATGCATCCGCGATGGCAGGGAACGGGCCATTCATACTGGATTCTGCAATCCTAGGGACGCAGGAGTTCAACTGCAGTACCATCCGTGGCAAATATGCACCAGCGGGGCCCCTGTCCCAGACGACCAAACGGCAGACCGGTGGCGTACCATCGTTCATTGCAGCCTTACCTAGGCATCTTGAACCAGCCACCATTGAATTTCTTGCCAGCAAAGGTGTATTCGAAGTTCCATCGAGGACGGTTGTGAGACAGTTTTACTCGGTATATTGGAACACCATCCACCCAATTTTCCCCGTCCTGCATCCAGAGGGCGTTGCGCTGGCTTCACCTCCTGCTGCAGTCCCGAATAATAAGGGAAACCCCCGTCCCAGCTTGTTGGAGGTACATACCATCATGATGGCTGTTTGTCCCGTAAGTTACCGAATCGAAAGCTTACAAGAATGTCACGACTCCGACTGCTGACATCGACTTAGTTTGCGCCGGCCTCTCTTCTACAGAAGCTTGGACACAATAACGCCCAAGATGCTCAGCAGCTTTGCTATGAGCGCGTCAGGCATCTCCTACATTGCGATGTTGAATCTGATCCCATCGCCCGTTTACAGGCCCTCTTACTTATGACGCAAAGTACTGAGGTAAGAGATGGTGCAAGAGATTGCTGCTTCTGGTCCGGGACTGCACTCGCCTATGCCGAGTCCCTCGACCTCTTGAAAATGGCGCGTGCTACAAAAGATGCCAAAGACAAGGGATTTTTGCACAGCTTATGGTGTTGCTGCTTCGTCAGCGAGACCATTTTCGCCTTCAGTCGGCGGCGGGCGCCCAAAATGCGAATGGATCTCGAGTGTGAGCAAGCTCTGCGATCACCTGAGTTCAACGACCAGAGATTACCAGTTGCGAGCGTGGAATCATCGCCATGCAATCCCGCCGGTGCTACAGCGCATCCCATGGAACCCTTTGGGAATCTCGTGCGCTTAATGTCTCATATCAATTACATGCTCTCAATAAAGCACGCTGCTCCATATCCGTCAAGTCACCACGATACTATCGCACTTGGGAGTGAGACGGGCTCTTTCATGGCTCTCACGAGTCCTGAACTGGAAAACTGTCGCAGTCAATTGCAGAAGAACGCAAAAATCTTGTCTGAGAAGCTCAGACAATCACCAGATGAACGTTCCCCGTCGGATGCTGGACCACGTGCAGCATCTGAGAGCCTTTTCTTGCGGATGCTCATGGCGGCTGCAGACTGCGTGTTTTACTTTGACCCAAGGTGCACATTGCGGTGCCGTCATACAGCAAATGAGAGAGTGAATTGCAGGAAGCTTAGAAAGAGAGCCTGCGATGCTGCACATCAGAGTTCTCAACTAGCCAAAGATGCGTTGGGTTCACAATGTCCGTATTTTATGCCGGCTTGGAGGTGAGTTTGGAATCGCGCAGAATGCTATCGCCCGCTAATGCATGAAGCCTCCATTTTCTCTTGCCTCCCGTGACAATCTTAATCCTTGAGGCCAAATCATCCAACGGAGAGGCACACGACCTAGCGATCCAAAGGTTGGTATCTCTGACGGGACTTCTGCAAATGCTCGGAAAGAGATTTACGGCTGTTCAACGGGCTGTTACATTGTTGGAGGCTGCTATCAAGAGTGCTGGCGGGCCTTTACAAACACTGGGAATCCCTCCACGAGACGGTACGTCACATCATATCTCTGGAGAAGCCCGCAACATCAACTCTTTTGCCAACGGTTTTTCAGTCTTTCCGACACACCTGGAGTCCCTTAGCCCGGTCACTGAAGACGGAAAGAATTCCAGGCAAGGGAGGGCGATAGGCGGGGAACAATTTAGCCCCAACCATTTTGAGTGGATTCGAGCAGCCAATGTCTCGACATCACCTGCAGTGGCAGGGAGTCCAGTACGAAAGGCCGCAGGCCAGGACATCGAAGGCCTCTCATCGTCTTATCTCTTCGAGCTCGAGGACCGCTATGTCGAGCAACTCAACGTCGCCAGTGACACGGTGTTTGGAAGTTGGTCGTCCCCTTCATCGGCTGACCCTTACACCCAGCAGTGTCTCCAGCCGACCCTTAAAGAATTCACCGCAGCTGACGACATCACATCACCTTGGCTAGGTGGATGGGAAGACCTTTTGCAGAGCCAAACCTAGAGAATTGATATCCTTTTGCAGACCGGCAGACGCTTCACATAATTTACAGTCGCATGCTTTTATACATCGAATAAGGAAACACCTACGGAACTATCCATGGCGTGAGACAGGTCTGATCACGCCTTTCCACATGCCGATGTTGCGTCTCTTAGGAAACGCCGTGCTTGCCGAGTTGACGATCGGTTTCGTGCTCGGGATTGTAATCTCGGTCCTTGGGAACTCGCGCACACGCTTCCCCAGGCAGCATGGGTCCCTGCTCCCGCAGACATTTCCAGAGCACAGGCCCTGGCATTGACTCCATAATGGTCTAGTCATTCTACGAAGCGCCTTCTCTGGGGTTACCCCAGATGCACCAGCCATCGATTGCCCAATCAACAAATCCAAAAAACCGGGGCGGCTGGAATTCCTCGGTCGGAGATTGGTGAATTCGGAGATCTTTCTCCTCGGCATCTGGGGCATCGACCAGGTCCCCCTGACCCAGAGCGTTGGGTATATACCTGGAGCGTGCTCCAGCTACGCCCATGGACCATTGGCTATTGTGTACTCCTTGATGGGGCAGACGCATCAGTTTGGTGGTGCCCAGTATAATTCCAAGATCGAAGTGCAAACCTGTCGACAGTTCCGCAACCCTCTGGCTTCATCATACTATTTGTGAGGATGGGGAACTTTCACGTTGGCTATTGGAGCTCGCTCCAAGGCGGGTGGCTCCAAGCCAGCATCATGCTCTCGTCCGCCATGGCCTTTCTGCTGTTTGGCTACGACCAGGGAGTCTTCGGGGGTCTGATCGCGACGCCGCAGCTGCTGAACGGGCTCGGGATCGCGCCCACTGACGCCAACCTTCAAGGGACGGTGGTGGCCATCTACGACATCGGGTGTCTGGTCGGCTGCATCGGGACCGCCATCTTCGGCATGAAGGTCGGCCGCCGCGTCCTGGTGATGATCGGGTGCTGTCTTCTCATTCTCGGTGCTGGGCTTCAAGGCGGAGCAACATCGGTCGCCATGATGATTGCCGGCCGCGTCGTGGGCGGATTCGGCACGGGCATCAACTCCTCCATCATCCCCGTGTGGGTGTCGGAATGCGCTCACGCCTCGCGCCGCGGCGCCCTCGTCTCGGTCCAGATCTCGATCGTCATTCTCGGCCTGGTCATTGCCTACTGGTTCGACTACGGGACCGTCAAAAACATGACCGGGGGGATCGTTTGGCGCCTTCCACTCTACTTCCAGATGGTCTTCTGCGTTCTGACGCTCGGGACCATTCTGTTGCTGCCCGAATCGCCACGGTATCTGTACAGCAAGGGACATCTCGAAGAGGCAGACTCGGTGATTGCTCGCATCTTCAGCGTGGCCATCGACCACCCCACCGTCCTACAGCACCGTCGCGAGGTCATGCAGGCGTTGGAGGTTGAACACGAAGTCAAATTCCGGATTTCCGACATCATCTTCGACCGGTCGCCCGTCAACGCAACATGGCGCATCTGGATCTGCATCCTGATCCAGTTCTTTCAACAGCTGGGAGGCATCTGCCTGATAGCGTACTACGCCTCATACCTCTTCATCAACAATCTCGGCATGACGCAGAACCAGGCCGGCATCACTTCGGGAGGCCTGTCCCTCGTCTTCTGGGGTGGCACGCTGACCGCCATCTGGTCTGTCGAGGTCCTGGGCCGGCGGCCGGTCCTGCTCTGGGGAGCCGTGGGTTGCTCCATCTGCATGATCTGCTACACCATCGGGCTGGGGGTGTACAACGACTCGTCCTTGACGGCATCGGTGGTCTTTATCTTCCTGTTCGAATTCTGCTACGGCTGTTCGTGGTGCGGCTTGCCTTTCCTCTACGCCGCTGAAGTGACGCCGCTGCATCTGCGCCATGCAGGCTCGGCACTGTCCGTGGGGATGGAGTGGCTCATGACGTTTGTGGTCGTCAAGGTAAGTCGTCCCCCATTCGCTGGTCCGATCCAGCAACCATCAATGGGATGGTCATGATTAGTCTAACCAATTCTCTGTCTCTCTCCCGCAGGTTGGCCCCATCGGCATCACGCACGCGGGGTGGAAATTCTACCTCCTCTTCTGCATCGGCAACGTCCTGCAGGTCGCGTTCATCTACCTGTTCGTCAAGGAGACCAAGGGCCTGACCCTGGAGGAAATCGACTACCTCTACGCCAAACCCGAGCACCGCGCCGAACTGGAGGAGAAGCTGCACCACCACAGGATTAACAAGGCGGACGGGGAGGCGGTCCTGAACGACCAAAAAGACGAAAAGGATCCCGGTGACCCCTCACACACACAGTACGAGTATTCCCCTAAATGATCTTTTCACCCTTCCTAGAAATGCTGGGGTGTGCTCTCGAGATGGAGATTTGGGCCATCGGCCACAAAGTTGACAACCACGCTCTCTGTCCAGACCTATGTAAACCAGAACAGAAACAAATATCATAAATATCCAGGCCACTCTCTCTGTTTTTTTCCCTCTTGCTTTCCTCGATGTAAACAAACAGCCGTACGAGGGTCGAACTTTGACCATCACTTCGCTTGCCGATATTCCTTTTGGGTTGGTTGCATTGCACGGTCGGCTGGGCTGCTGGGTCTCTACCGTAGCCGCCGAAGCAGTTCAGGCACACACGCCAACTCCATCAGCCCCGAGAGGGTTCGAACAGAGCAGTGATGATTTGCAGATTGGTTTCAATACGATATACTAAGTCGTCTCACTGATCTAACCAGACAAAAGTCGGGTGTCTTGTTGCGTAACGAGCAGTTTCTTGAGTCGATGTCGACGGACGGATTTTAGAAGCGTTGGAACCATCACCAGGGTCAAACACCACGGGCAGGTATAGAAACGGGGAGGTTTGTTCTACCGCCCATAAACCTGTAAAGTATTTCCTACGGTAAGAAGTGCCCATCAGTGTATACTCCGCCGGCTTCACTATCTGCGCCCAAAGTTAGCAAGTCCGTCTGGGCGGGACAAATCCACGCTTCTCCGACCATGGCCGCCTTGCGGGACGTTGTCTGCAAGACAATATGTATATGTGTCGCAGAGTCAGACTCCAGGGCCAAGCCTCCGTGGCAATCATTCGTCCCATTCATGGACCCCCTCCACGATCGGCGGTGGAACGTCCTGGTCGACCAGGTACGCGGTGGTGTCCTGCCCCCCGATCTGAGCCACGGTGGTTCCGTTGCCCAGCCAAGCCATGGTGTTGGCGCCCAGGGCGTCGAGGTACTCGTATTCGAAATCCTCGAAGCGCGGCGTCTCCAGGGCCTTCTGGGTGTGGATCGAGGCGCCGGGCCACAGCGCGGTGACGCGGCCGTTCTGCTTGTTGCGCTTGAACCAGGATTTGCACTGTTTGGTGGCGTTAGCTGGCGGCGGTACAAACGAGAGCGACCAGGACGGGGGGAGAGGATGGAGGGAGAAAACGACGGAGGGAAACAATAACGAAAATCGAGTCTTTCAAACGTACGGTTTCGGTGAAGACTGTCTTGGAAAAATATTCGTCGACGTGTCTGACGAAGTCGTTGGTGGCTCTCTCTCTGATCAAAGCAACAAGGTCAGCCAATATGTACTGAGGTCCAACGCATGTTTCATGTTAAGAAAAGGGGGTAACGAGAGGCTTTCCACGTACGTCACGACCATGGACTTTATGTACTCTCGCTGGATCTTCTGCACCAGCTTGACGAGATAGAGCGTCACCGACTCGAGGAAGAAGATTGCCGACCCGGACCCGGCGCCGCCGTTGGGGCCAAAGTAGAGGAAGAAGTTGGGCATTTTCGGGACACAGATCGAAAGGTAGGCTCGAGGGTCGGGATTCCACATATCCGCGAGAGTTACCCCGTCGAGGCCCACGATGGGCGGCTCGTTTTCCATGGACCTGCACACCCCCGTCAGTCGGTCAGCGCAGAGAATTGGAGGGCCAACGACGACATACGTGTCGTAGCCGGTGGCGCAGATGATGACGTCCACCTCGCGCACCCGTCCGTCGTTCGCCCTGATGCCGTTCTCCACCACGGTGTCGATGCCACAGCCGATGAAGTCGACGTTGTCCTCGACGAGCGCCTCCAGGAAGCCCGGCCCGGGCGTGAGCCGGCGGCAGAAGGGCGAAAAGTCTGGCCGCAGGCTCTCGTAGATGTGTGGCTTCTTGGAGAGCTTCTGCCTCATCGATTCGTCGTTCAGCGCGAAGAAGGCCTTTTGCTCCTCGGTGCCCTTGAACAGGATCTCGGGTTTGGCGTTCATGATGCGTTCGATTTCCCGGCGGTATCTGAGATACTCTTCGGGCTTCTCGCGGTACATCCTGAGCTCGTCGGCCGAATATTTGTCTGTAGGTTGAATCAATATTTACCCAGTCTGGCCCGAGAGAGACATACAGTTATCCGTCACTCCGCGGTTGGAGTTGTCGGCTCCGTAGCCCACTGGTGACACCCATGTCTTCCCCTTCATGTAATGGTCAATTCGGGCTGCGGTGGGCTGGAGCTGAGGCACAATCTGGATTCCTGATGAGCCACCTCCGATGACAGCGATTCTTTTCCCTTTGGGATCCAGCGGGGTCTCCCAGCTCTTTCGATCCGCCGAGTGTAGGAGAGTCCCCTTGAAATCGCGAAGGCCTGGAATGTCTGGCCACTCCCACCTGTTGAGAATCCCGGTGGCTTTGATCAAGATGTCTGCCCGATCAGTAAATTTCTGGGGTTCCCGTCAGCACATGTGAAAGTTATGTGTATTGCTGTATCGTCTGGCAGAAGAAAATGGTCTGCATACTCTTCCAGTCTCGAGATCTTCAATCTCCACCTCCCATTTCCCGTCCGACGCCTGCCACTGGGCTCCAAGGAAAAGATGTCGCAGTTTGACATAGCGCTCGACATCGTATCGCCGAGCTACATTCTTCAGGTAGCGGTGGATTTCTGGGCCCGCGGCATAGAAAGAACTCCAGTTGAGGTTGTTCGCAAAGGTGAATTGGTAGCTGTGAGCAGGAATGTCGCAGGCTACACCAGGGTAGCTGGAACACATGTTTTAGCACCTGTGGCGTGGAAATGTGTATAGCGCTATGGCTGGGGAATTATACCGATTCTCGTGCCACGTTCCACCAATGTCGTCCGATTTGTCGTAGATGACCAGCTCCAGATTCTTGATCTTCTGGGGGAACCGGATGGCTGTCAGCATGCCAGAGATACCCGCTCCTATACAAATCACTTTGATCGGGCGATCATCGTCGATGGGCTTTTGGCTGGGTGCAGACCAGTCAGTCTGCGTTTCGTTGGCGGCAATCATCGCGCTGGTAGAGTCTGGCAATATTCGTGGTTGGGAATCAAGACTTAACAATCCAAACACATTTACAGCCCCTACAAGCGTATCTTCAACAATCCATAACCTCACCTTCTCCGTTCCTCGGTTTCTACGGACCTACATACATAGACAGGAATTCACTTTCGTGTCGGATTTGTGGGGGGAAATGCTTCAATTGGACTGTCCGAGGTACACACAGCCTCGACTAGTCATCAATTCCGAAGTCATTGGAGAATTCGTCGACATCTCCGCCACAAAGCCTCAGTTGCTGGTGTGCTAGCCTACATTGTCTTTACTGGTCCCTGTCTGTTTACTTGTACCATCCTTCTCCGAGAGGGACGCTGAACTAAGTCGGGGCATTGAAGCGCTAGCTCCGAGGTCAGCGGGTTTCAACGGAGATGTGGCATCCTTGAAATTCCCCAAATAGACACTTCGCTACTTGGATGTACGCGTCGATCAACATAGCATTAACTGAACGCTGAAGCTGAGAAGCGTCCTGAGCTGTCCTAGAAGGATACAATGTAGGCCAATCTACCTCTTGACGCGGTCATCGTTGGTGCCGTATCCGCAGGCATTTATCTTCTTGACAACTCTGAGAACTTGGAATATAGGGGGTGTCTGGCGTTGGGACTGTTATCTAGGTATAGATATAGACACTAATGTCCTGCTCTACGAATACTCTACACCGGACCTGTGGAAGCGTTGGATAGAGCCAAGCAAATGCAGACAATTCATTGCACATTCAAGTGGCAACAGATAGTTACGTTAAAAAGAGTTTCGTAACCCTACTAGTCATAGGAGTATGGATACTACTGCAAGACCCTCTGAGGCACTGATAGGACCTTACCTCGTACATACCTCTTGCGCCCCTATTACGATAGTACCACCACGGCCATTCAGCACTCTTAATTTCATCCAGTTCCCGCTCAAAACGTGTCAGCTAGCGACATACCAGACATGCCAGACATACCGCCAACCGCGAATACCAGCCCACCCACCTTCAACTCCTTCATCATCACCCAGTCCTTAAAGGAACGGAATAAAAGCGGCAGGACAGTGGCGAGCGACGAATCCCAGCATCGTTGCAAAAGCAACCGCCAAAGCTGATACTCCAATTTCAGGTGGAAGCCTGTTCGACCCGGCCGAGATAAGCATGGGACCCCAGTCGCGTTCAGGCAGCGAACATGATAGACCCGATGCGGACGCAGAGATCCTGCAGGCGGTCCAGAGGGCCACGAGAGAATTTGCCTTCTGTCCGAATCGTGTTTGGGGAGTGGCCAAGTGTCTTCCGGATGGAAAACACAATTTATCCCGCTTGTTTCCACCCAACCACGACATTACTCGGTTTCTTCAGCAGCGGGACCAAGACCTTGCCGAGCACAGTCAGTGTACCTTTGATCTCTGCGAACAATCACAACGGGACTTTACCTCTGTTCACCAGCGCCATGAGATTTCTTCGGGGGAACATCACTGCAGGCAGCTCGAGGACCATTTCCCCCGGGATTTGCTCGACAATGCGGCCAAGGCAGGTCGTCTGACTGCCTGGGCATTAAATGGCAAGTCCATAATCAGCTTCCCTCAAAGCTACATGGCCATCTCTCACGTCTGGTTGGACGGGACCGGCTGCGGGACCTGGCCTGAGAGAGGAGTCAATCACTGTCTATGGAACTTCTTCCTGAAGATCGCGCAGGACTTCCAAGTCGACGCCATCTGGTAGGACACAATCAGTATTCCGACGAATAAAGCCGCCCGCAGCATCGCTATCAGTAGGATGCACAGAAACTACGAGGACGCACGATTGACATTGGTACACGACTGCTTTATACGGAAAGTGTTCTGGGACGACCACGATGTGAAGGCCTCAGCCGAAGCTGCTTCTCTCGCGATTGTCATGTCACCCTGGTTTAGTCGAGGCTGGACCGCGCTCGAGCTGGCACGATCTCGCAAGGTAAAGGTGCTCCTCAGTAGAGCCAGTGGTTATGTGGTGAAAGACCTAGACACTGATATCCTCGCAAGCGCGACCGACTTCTCGGTAAGCAGCTGTCACAAAACCGCGACCCAAGCAATTATCAAGCTCCGAAATTTCAAGATCACGTCGATAGACGACCTCATCACTGTCCTCAGTCCGCGATATACCTCTTGGGGGGGTAGAGACATGGCAGTCATCGCCGGTCTCTTGACTGATGTTGAGATAGCGGGCAAAGAGTCGCAGCAAGAGATCTACCAGAAGATACTCAGACAAATCGGCCGAGTTCGGCACGGGCACCTGTTTCACAACTCGAGCACCATGTCTCGGGGGTTTGGATGGTGTCCCACGAGCCTTCTTCACCTGCCACTGTCTTTATCCGAGACCAGTCTACGCCTTGAGAAGGACGGCAGTGTCATTGGCAAGTGGAAGGTTCTCAATCTGAGTCGCATCCCAAAAGAAGCTTTTGTATGGAACGGCATCCACCCACTGACGGAAGCAGCACTTCGCCTGGCTTCCAGACAGCCTCGGAAGCATGTCCTACTCATTGAGCCTGAGACTGAACAGGTAAGAAGGGCTCTCTTGGTTCAACTGATGGGGCGGGACCGACCCCCATCGACTCTCTGCTGCAAATTTGTTGTCTGTGTCCACCTTCACCCCCCGCAAGATTTTCAGGACAAGACCTGCACCGAAACTGAAATCAGGATTGGAGATACTGACGGCATGGAGGAGATTAGTATTAAAGATTTGGAAATGACGATCAGATGGTCGGATGCCGCTGTGTCAACAACGGTAGACTATGCGGGATGTGTGGAAGATGGGCAAAGTACGGGTGCATCTGCCCCTTGTCTCTTCAAGTCGGGGTCTGTTACAACATCAGTGGCTTCAGCAGAAGACGGCTCGACCCTGTTGCGGGCTGCTGAAAGAGGTGCCGAATTCGACGTCCAACTATTGTTGGATGCCGGGACCCATCCTGACTGTCGAGACAAACACATGCGGACGCCTCTGCACCGTGCAGTGTGGAAAGGTCACTACTCGATAGTGGAAGAGCTCATCCGGCACAATGCCACTCCGGGGTTGAAGGACGAGGTTGGACAACTTCCAATACACCTGGCAGCGGAGCGCGGCGACGCCCGAATGTTTGAGATGCTCCTATGCGCGAAGACGAGTTCAAGTGCGGATTTCAATGTCCAAAGCGACAACGACGGACAAAGCGTCTTGCATCGTGCGGCTTGGGGCGGTTCAACAGCCGTGATCTCACTCCTGAAGGAGAAGTCCAATTGGGAGACCCGCGACAAGCACGGAAAAACAGCCTTGCACATAGCGGCGGAGAAAGGCCACACCGCGATTCTGAGGCAACTCCTCGACTGGAAGGTCGACACGAACCTCCGGGACAGCTACGATCGAACGGCGTTGATCAATGCGGCACAACACGGCCACGAGTCCGTGGTCAGCCTGCTTCTCGGCCAGCAGGACATCAAGGTCAACCCTGCCGACACCCTAGGGCGGACAGCACTCTTATGGGCAGCGCGGCGCGGACATGGGCCGGTCCTACAGCTTTTGCTCGAACGCAAGGATATCGAGATCAACGTGAGAGATCATCTCGGACGTGGTGCATTGATGTGGGCAGCATTACATGGCCACGACCACATAATCCGAGTTTTCCTCGAGCAAGAGAGCCTTGACATCGGAGTTCTCGATGGATTCGGACGCCCACCGTTGTGGTATGCAGCCGTCTTTGGCCATGCGGAGTTGGTGCCACTGATTCATGGGAAAGACGTCGACGGGTCCACGGGACTGGAGGACTGGGTACGTCTATCCCAAGCCTCGCATCGCGGCTATGAGACATTGTTAGACCTCCTGGTGGCCGAGCATGACTACCACAGATGGGACAAGGGATATGACCAAGATCCGGTGCTGTGGGCGGTCAAACACAGAAACTACGAGCTGACCGAGCTACTACTGCTCCGCTTTGGCCTGCGGGCGGACCTGGGAGACCGGGAAAACCGAACGCCACTGTCGTTTGCGGCAGAGGATGGATTCGACGCCGGCCTGGATCTTTTACTGGATGCCGACGAGGTTGATGTCGCTGCCAGGGATTACCGAGGACGATCACCACTTCTGTACGCCGCTGCAGCTGGACACGAGGGGGTGGTTCGAAAACTATTGCTGACCAACCAAGTCGCCGTCGACGCCAAAGACGAACGCGGTCTCACAGCCTTTTCATGTGCTGTTGGTGGGGGTCATATGGCTGTTGCCAGACTGCTCCTGGCGACCGGTAAAGTCGATGTCAACTCCAGGAGCAATGAGGGTCGCACTCCGCTCTCGTTCGCCGCCGGCTTCGGAGAAGACGATCTGGTTCGGGAGCTTCTTGCCAGAGCCGATGTGGACGTCGACGCAAGAGACCAGCAAAACCGGACGGCATTGTCGTATGCGATCCAACACGGCCATGAAGCGGTGGTCCACCAACTCCTTACCAAGACGGAGGTCGATCTCGACCTGTCGACTAACTTTCTACGCACTCCTCTCTCCTACGCTGCCGAACAAGGAAACGAAAGTCTGGTTCGAAAGCTCCTCACCACGGGCAAGGTCGGTGTCGATCAGAAGGATTCCAATGGCCGAACGCCCTTGTCGTATGCTTCTGAGAACGGTCACGAATGCATTGTCACACAGCTCCTCGCCACTGGCACCGTTGAGATCGATTCAGTCGACAAGGAAGGATCCACCCCTTTGATGTATGCTGCTCTGAGTGGAAATGAGAACGTCTTCGATCTCCTGTTGTCGACGGGGAAACCTATCCTCGATAGGAGGGACCGCAGAAATTGGACACCACTGATGTATGCAGCCAGAATGGGGTACGTGACCTTGGTAGAACGACTTCTCGCGACGAAGGAGGTTGATATCAATGCGAAGAGTCAAGATAATATGACGGCGTTGGCCCATGCCGCCCACCGTGGACATTTGGCCGTCATTCTACGCCTTCTAGCCACCGAAGTGATTGAGGTCGATACAAGGGATGGCAGCGGCCAGACCGTGCTCAGTTTGGCAGCTCAGGGCGGCCATGATGTGATTGTCCGACATCTCCTTGGCACCAAGGAGGTCGACCCGAACTCGGAAGATTCTTATGGCCACACACCTCTGTGGTATGCATCGGTCAATGGGCACCATCGCGTGGTCAAAACGCTCCTCGACACGCATGCAGTCGATGTGAACGCGAGATTTCGGGAAGGCATGTCGGTCTTATCCCATGCGAGTCGCAAGGGCCATGACGCCGTGATCGACGCGTTGCTGGCCGCCGACGACATCGATCCTGACCAGAGGGATGAAAACGGACGGACAGCGTTGTGGCATGCGGCAAGCTTTGGGCACGCCCCGGCGATCCGGCAGCTGCTCCTTTCACAACGAGTGGATGTCAACGTCAAAGGCCTCGAGAACCGAACCGCGCTCTCACTTGCCGCGCAATTGGGACATGAGAATGCCGTGAAGGAACTTCTCACCGCAGAGCATGTCGACCTCAATTTACCAGACGACACAGGTATGACGGCGCTGGCTTATGCCGCTGGGGCGGGAAACCCCGCCATCGTGAGAATGCTTCTGGCCACCCAGAGGGCGGTGGTCGATTGCCGGAGCGCCAGCGGACAGACCCCCCTCTTCCATGCGGCCGCGAGTGGAAGCACGGATATCGTCGAACAGCTGCTCGCCACCGGAGAGGTCGACATCGACGCCAAAACAAGTCACGACGGCTCGACGCCGTTATACTGGGCCGCCTTCTACGGCCGAGACGAAATCGTGGCGCTCCTCCTGGGCTCCGGCAAGGTCGACCCGAACTGGGAGGGGAGGAACCTGTTCTCGCCGGTGTGGCAGGCCGCTGTCCATGGGCATGTCAACGTCGTCAAACAGCTCCTGAGCACAGGTCAAGTCAGTATCGACCGGCTGGTCGACAAGATGGGTCGGACGCTCCTGTCCCACGTAGCTGCGGAAGGGCACGTCGCAGTGGCGGAGCTCCTGCTCAAGACAGGAACCTATGAAGTCGACTCCCGCGACGACAGGGGTCGGACCGCCTTGTCTTATACGGCCAGTTACGGACAAATGGCCATGATCAAGATGCTGGTCGCGACGGGGGATGCTCATGCTGATTCAAAGTGCAATGCCGGCTTGACACCGCTGCAATATGCTGCCAAAGATTTCACTGGGGGCGGCAGACGAGACCTGTTGGTGCAAATGGAACGGATTTTGAACTCAGGCTACTAAGTCAACAACACAATTGGAGAACGCTTTTGATACAGCAACGTCCCACGCCCGGCTTCAATCCGCTATTTTGGCCCCTCAATCAGCACCTTGATCGCCTTCCCGGCCTTCACATCCTCAAAGGCCTGCTCTGCGTCATCAAAGTTGACTTTTCGGCTGATCAGCCTCTTCACGTCGATCTTCCCACTGCCCGCCAGGTCCACGGCCATCGCATAGTCGCCGGGACCGTATCGGAAGCTGCCCTTGACGGTGAGTTCTTTGGTGCACGCGGCCATGATCGGGAAGGTCATCTCGTCGCGGCCCATCCCACCTTGCACGTAGCTGCCGCCCATGCGGAGGACGTGGATGGCCGTCTGAACGCTGGGTTCGGCTCCGCTGGCATCGATCGCGACATCTGCGCCTGCGGGGAGGTCATTCTCGTCCTTTAGTCTCTGTGCGTTTTCCGCCGCCGAGACTTTGGAGGGCACGAAGGTTGACGTCGCCGCAAAGGATTTGGCGAACTCAAGGCGCTCGGTGTTGATGTCCACCGCCACGACCTTGCTGGCACCCAGCGCCTTAGCCACAGCGCAGCAGAGAAGTCCTACCGGGCCGGCGCCAAAAACCACTGCCGTGTCGCCCTGCTTGAGACCCGATTGTTTAGTGATATGTACCCCCACAGCCAGGGGCTCCATCAAAGCCCCCTCTTCCAGTGTCATGTTGTCGGGCAGCTTGTAGCAGAAGTCCTCTGGCAGGATGTAGTATTTTGCCAATGTGCCATCGTACGGCGGTGTCGCCGCGAAGGCCATGTCGGGGCATAGATTGTATTTCCCTTCCTTACATCGCACGCAGTGTCGGCAGGGGATCCCGGGCTCCATCGCGACGCGATCTCCCTTTTTCAAGCTCTTGACACCAGACCCCACTTCCAGCACGGTGCCTGCGGACTCATGGCCAAGGACCATGGGCTCCTTGACCACAAAGTGTCCTATCCTGCCATGTTGCCAATAGTGGACGTCTGAGCCACAGATGCCGGTATAATTGACTTGCAGGAGGACGTCCCGGGGGCCGGTAAGCTTGGGTACGGGTCGATCTTCAAAGCACACGTCTTTGATTCCGCGGAGGACGAAGGAGTTGTTCTCCTGCGCGTTTGTCAATACTGCGATCCCAGACACACAACACCAGCGGCCTACCTTCGTTTGCGTTTCTGTGGCCATGGTCTAAGAGGTGAGAAATCAACAAGGGGCACGGTCAACTCGAAGCAAGTGCGGGGTGCGCAGGGAGATATAGAGAAAGTTTTCACAGGTCTGAGATTGTTGCTGTGGAAATCAGCTATAAAGGTGGCGGATGTTTAACCAGCGCCGCCGCCGCCGCTGCCGCCTGCGGACCGCCTTCCACTGTAAGTAAGAAGAGCCCATAATTCCAGGGTCAGTCCATCCCAAATGGCGCGCCGATACTGACCACCGGAGGCACACATGCAGCCAGAATGGTTGAGAAATTTAGCCTAAAGAGCGCGAGCTCAACAGCAGGAGGCGGTGCGGGGCATTGAATCTTGAATCTGCGAGTTTGGCGGGCATCATCATGACGAGGCGGGCATCGGAACAATGCCGTCCGAAGCTTGCAGGAGCTGCTCGGGCGTCGGTATAGGGTATCCCGGGCTAGAGGCTCAATGGCCGGCTTCGATCTGGACAATCTTGTCGCAGTTGAGCAGCCCCAGAGGGTCGAATGCTTGCTTGAGCTGGTCGGACATTAGTTTCAATCACTCTGATGACATGGAATGGCTCCAGACTGACCTTGCGCATGGCATCGACGGTTTCATCTCCCAGCTCTTCTCGCAGGTACTCTCGTTTTTTCAACCCAACACCATGTTCACCAGTGACCGTTCCCTCCATAGCGATGGCACGTCGGATCATTCGATGGACCAGCTCTTCAGCGATCTTCTTCTCGGTGTCGTTGTAAAGGAGAATTGCTGGAAAAGGTCAGCTCTTGAAGCGAATGGTGGAGCGCGGGTTTCTTACTGTGGAAGTTCCCATCTCCCACATGGCCACAGATACCACCGATCAAGCCGCTCTTGGCCACATCATCATGGGTCTCTTGAATGATGTCTGCCAGTCGGCTGATGGGGACAGCCTGTTCTGTGTCAGTTTTGTATAGGACCGTGGACATGGCACAACTCACCACATCGGTAGTCCAAACGTGGTCACTGCTGTTCTTCCGCATCGCCATCACACTCCACAGGGCCTCTTTCCTCGCACTCCAAAGTTCTGCGGCCTCGTCGTCATTCTTTGCGAATTCGAAACTCTGGTTGTGAGTCCCTTTGGCGATGTTCCGGATGATCTTGATCTGTTCCTTTACGCCTTCAGTTGTCCCAGCAAACTTGAAGAAGAGGGTAGGAGCTTCCTGCCACGGCCTGCTGGTCATGCCACTTTTGTTGATGCAGCGCATTTGCACATCGTCTAGAATCTCCATTCCGGCAAGCTGAATGCCTTCTCCGACAACTCTCGCAACACACTCCGCTGCGGCATGGATGGTGGGAAAGGTCGCAACAGCGACCGACTGGCTTTTAGGGAGAACCGTGATCTTCAAAGTGGCCTCAGTGACAATGCCCAGCGTACCTTCACTCCCGATGAACATCTGCGTCAGATTGTAGCCGGCGCTTGATTTGCGGGGCCTCCTTCTTGTCTTGATGATGGTGCCGTCGGCGAGAACGACAGTCAGAGAGACAACCCAGTCGCGCATGGTGCCATATCTGTAAGCGTTTGTACCCGAGCAGCCAGTGCCAACCATGCCTCCGATTTTGGCTCCTGGGCCTGGATCCGGTGGGAAGAACATGCCATGTCCTTTGAGTTCTTCATTGAGGTCTTCCCAGCCGAGCGCAGGTTGTACAACGATGTCCAAATCTTGGGGTCGCAATTCCAATATCTTGTCCATTCTTGCCATGTCGATGCATATTCCTCCTCTTGTGGGCGCAAAGTGGCCTTCGAGACTGGTTCCGCCTGAGAGCGCTGTGACGGGGATCCTTCGTTCGTGGCACACCTTCATAATCTTGGACACTTCTTCCGTAGTTGCAGGGTATACAATGGCGAACGGTCGTTCATTGGGTTTGGTCGCGTAAGAGGACCATTCGGAACCGGAGTGCGCTTCGAGGTCGTCGGGAATCGTCGACACGTTGTCCTTTCCCACAATTTGGGCGAAGTCTACCCAAGCGGCTTGCAAATTAGAGGTTCTCGTATCGTGCTGGGGCGGGTGTGCTCGAGATAGAGGGGTGGTGGAAGAGGCATCCAACGGTCGCTCTCCCCTTTTGCCCAGGTAGTAGGCTGCGGCGGCGACGGACAGAATCACTTGTGTTGTTAGCAGAGAATAAACCAGCGACAGATGAGAGCAGTACCGAAACTGAGACTGAGCGTTCTACCCCCAGCACCTCCTCCCCGAGTGGTGGCGGCCCTAATATATTGTTCCTCCGAAGCTCTTTCACGCTTTAACCTGTCCGCGGTGCTCTGGTACAGCTGTCCTCGGAAAGATAGGTTTTCTTTCGCGTCGCCTTTGCCTTTCTCTTCGAGCTTTGTGGGCGAGCTATGGAATGACCGTGTGGCCCATGGAGTAAAGCAGGATGACCGTTCGCGCTCGGCGCATCGTAGGAGGGAGCCGACTGGGCGACTGAGTCGGGCAATTGACTTCATCGTGGATCGCAGTCGAGATGATCAGAGGGTTTCTGCTGCTGGTGTCTAACGCATCTTCGAAGGCATCTCGACAGATATAAACACACAGCCAAGCTCGTCGTCCAGGAGAAAGTGGCGGCACGACAGCGGACCGCCGGTATGAATTGCGGAGAAGGTGGTGGGAGGAGTAAAGAGCGCCAACTTAGATGCGGTTCGTGTCAATGCATCGACAAGCAAATGACGATGTTTTCCCGAGGCCGCAGGACTCCAGGAAATGAGAAGTCCGGTCACCCCCTTCGCCCAGCACCCTCTCACAGGCTTCATCCCCTAAGCCACTGTGTACTTTTGCTGCTTATGTATGGGAGCTGGCACGCTTAATTTTCGGTGCTGCTGTCGCACACAAGTCCGCTGTCCACGTCCAAGACCTGCCCTGTGCACGCCTAACTGCGACATCTCAATAGGCACCTCGTATGACCGCCGGAGTCGTCATATTCTCCCCGGGCGCCGCCATGAGCTCAAGTGATAGCTGAACAACAGAGATGATGTTTCTTCCATCTCACCGATCAGAGACCTCGGAGAGAAGCCATGATGCTCAGGTATTCAGACTTCACACTGCTACTACCTCGACCGGGAAGAGACGCAATTCAGGCATTCAAAATTCCGAACGAGCGCCCGTGCGCTTGAGAAGGCCGTGGCCATGGATACCTGAAACTGTCTGCTCTCAGCCATACATCACGGCTATGCCATAGGAAGAAGTCACGCCATTTTCTACAACAATACGGATAAGTACAGCAAGGAGTCAATGGCAGGATGAAGCCACTGGTTCATTTGCGCCAGGCTGTTGAGTTGCCAGGAAGCACAACCAGCATTTACATCTGTTTTAGGCGCGGTTATTCATAACAGGAGGTAAAGGCACGACTATCCTTGGATACGCTAGACCAGTGATGAGTCGTGCTGGCAGGCAGAGATGCTGCACTTTCTCTATAATTGAGAAGCCTTCTCTCACGATGTGCCTGATTGCGAAGTTGCGCTCCGGACCCTGTTGGTACCCTGAACGTAGCTTGATGGTGTCAATCTTCCACTTTCAATCCAATTTGGTACACGTCTCGGTTGGGAGAAACACTCATGGTACATAGAAGATCGGCGAGGCAGCATCGGGCGCATGAGATGTCGACAAGTCGTGAATGTGCACCAGCTCCGACATTTACGAAAGACCAGACTGAGCTCTTGTTCATGTATTGGATCGGTGGACAGCCATATACGCCGTCCCCAATGGAAATGCAGTGTTCGCAGATTGCCAACAACCGGTACAGGGTCCAAGCCCATCGAAGGGCGCAAGTCGAACCGTGGCGAGACGAACAGCACCAGACTTTACCAATACACATCAATTAGGAGCTCCCCGCCATCCTGGAAAGTCAGCTTATGGCGTGATCCGATGCGCCGATCCGCGCCCAATATAACATATTTTCCCGAGGTACAGCGCTCTTTCTACACTCTATGCTCCTTTTATTCATACGCTAGATCTTCGAAGGCAGTTAATTCGCGACGTGAAAGACTTCCAGGGATTCTGCACCGCCATAATGTCGTTCTCCAGCATCCCGATCCTGGATCTCTCGCTGGCGCGGGACCCGGCCACGAAACCGCAATTCCTCGTCGATCTCCGCCATGCGCTGCTCGAGGTCGGCTTCTTGTACATCAAAAACACGGGGATCCCGCCCGCCCTGATCGACGAGGTCATGACGCTGGGCAAGTCCTTCTTCGACCTCCCCGAGGAGAAGAAGCTGGAGATCGAGATGAAGAACGCACCCTCGTTTCTCGGCTACAACAAGCTCGGCATGGAGATCACGCGCTTCAAGACCGACTGGCGCGAGCAGATCGACTTGTCGACGCCGCACCCGGTCCCAGGCCCCGATGATCCCTTATACAGGAACTTGTTGGCGCCCAACCAGTGGCCTGATCCCAGCGCCTTGCCGCGGTTCAGGGAAGTGTACGAGGACTACATGGCGCGCATGGGCGATATGAGCATGGAATTCACCAGTCTGATAGCCGAAGCCATCGGTCTGCCGTCAGACGCGTTTGCGCAGTTCTTCGACGAAGCACAGCAGCATAAATTGAAGATCGTCAAGTATCCCGATTTAGCGGAGCTGGGCGTCGAAGGGGAAGCGCAAGGCGTGGGACCCCACAAGGATAGCATGCTCACGAGTTACCTCCTACAAGCGAGTCATCACCGGGGACTGCAGGTACAGAATGCCGAAGGGCAGTGGGTGGATTGTCCGCCCATTGATGGGACGTTTGTGGTTGCGATCGGACAGGGGATGGAAGCGCTGACACAGGGCGTGTGTCAGTCGACGACACATAGAGTGCAGAGTCCGCCCCGAGGTTCCGGCGCGCGGTACAGTATCCCATTCTTCCAGGGCGTCAGTTACGACGCAACGTTCGAGAGCATGGACGTGCCAGACTCGGTGAAACAGCTGAGAGCAGACATTCTGGCGAAGAGGGGCGGGCAGAGGCTGGACGATATCGAGTTTACATTTATCAAGGGCATGTGGAGTCGACTGGGCGAGGCGACCCTGATGAACAGGATCAAGAGCCACCCGGACGTGGGCGAGAGATGGGTAAGTCTGAGACTTCCACATCATAAGATCCGCGCTTCGCATACTGACTTTTGCCGCAAATAGTATCCTGAGCTGTTGAAGAAGATCCGCGCAGACCAGGCGGACGAAGCAGCCAAGTTTGCCGCCGCCGAGGCTGCAGCGAGCAAGTCGACGTCGATCCCAGCGCAGCCGCAATCTATACAAGCGCATTAGCGGGACAGAGTAGAGACAAATAAAAATGTAGAATTGGAAGGAGCCAAGATTGAGTTGTATCCCCTGCCTCTCGCAACTATCACTTCTTGATAAACCCGCGACACATCAGCGGAAGTCTTGACCCCAGGTAGTGATACTCAAGTCACAACTAGCTCGAATATTTATATCTCATCTCGACGAAGCCTGTGTGCGAGTGCTGCAGCCAACAATCCAGGGTTGATAGGAAGAAGTCGAGACATCGAGGTGTGAGTAGATGCATCACAGCAGTACCCGGGGAACTCAGTTGTGCGGGAGCCTTTCACGTAGTGAGCTGCTCCTGCAAGCCATCCTCTAGAGCTCTGTGTCGAGGTGAATGATGGCCACAAGAGCACAGGCTCGGACTGGCCACTCAGACCGGTGTTCATTGTATTCCTCATATCAATTGCAAGTACAATAGTCCTTCTATGACAATAGTCTCGTGCCCCCTCACCATCTGACGCCAAGCCAATTCAAGTAATTTACCCCACTTGTAACGTACCCCACTTCTCGCTTTCACGTGATTGGAGTGGATTCCACAAGACCCACGTTCCCAATTCTATACGAAGAAAAAGCTGCAGAGCAGTGCAAATCTCGCCTTTCGGCTTCAGCTTCTTCTCAACGGCAAAAGCAGAACAACGAAAAAAATAGTTAAATCGGTGCCAGCGTGACTCACACCTCCCAATCTGGCTTATCTCCGCGCAGGATACCTCGACACACAAAACCCAGAGACCAAAAAGAAAAACTCTCCCGTAACAAAAAGAGCTCCTCGAACATGATACGACCGCGGGAAGATTCGAACTCCCAATCTTTGGTGCACGTGATCACCGAAAACCAACGCCTTAACCATTAGGCCACGCGGCCCAGAGTCTCTGGGTCATTTTGTGAGAGAAAATTGGTGGGTTGTGTATAAGGCCTTGTGTTTATTGGGCGGAGGAGGGGGCGGTGAAAGGAGGGTACAGGAGGGGCAGGCGGGCCGAGGGACAGTGAAGTGAGCTGCCTGAGGAGTTGAGCGCCTGGCTACTTACTTGGTTATTCGTGCAAAGAACCGAGAGCGGAGTAAGCTACGTTCTATGAGTGGCGAATGGGATGCCCGGACGAAACCTTCAGTTGCGGATAGTTGCAGGGCCCGTGCCACAGGAGACTCTGTGGTACGGGCATCTGCTGGCACGACCAAAGGATTTTGGCGCATGCCCTTGCGAGGCATTACGTTTGGAGACGTGGTGTAAGGCGCCGTCTATTCTCTGCTGAAGGCACAATTCGACCTCGCCGCCGGCCTCGGAGTCTAATGGGAAAAATTATAGAGACAGCCTCCGGCGAGGGCAGAGCATATGAAAACTATTTGAGACAGCTGCAGCAAGAGCCTGATGGGGAGCGCGGCAGCGAGGTCGAATTGTGCCTTTATCAAGAATAGAATAGACAGCGCCTTACACCATGTCTCCAAACGTAATGCCTCGTAAGATCAATCATCGGTTTTCTCTCGTGCGAAGGTCTGATTCCCAAACCCCACACAAAGCATAATCACACTTTCAAGCTTGCGTGGAGGTTGAGCAAGCGTACATTGAGCAAGTTGTAATGATGACTCGTGAGAGGACGAAGACCTAGCGCAAACTAGAGAATACCTCAGGATATCATGAGAACCCATGATATCCTTTGGTCTCCCCCACCCCCGACCAAAATGCGTCTCGGTGGATACCATTATACTCAGCGGCGAATCTTAACCTGTCCCAAATCCGTTTCCGCTTTCAGACCTGAGCATGAAAACCATTAATACACGATGTCAATTGCCTCCCCCTCGAGGGAGTGATAAACTTGTTCGCGGTGCCTTCGGCACTTAGCCCCCAAGAACGACAAGAGGCAACGCGTATTTCCAGGGAGGAAAATCACCGGCACGAGCCTTATTGCAACCAGGACATGTCTTTCAACAAAAGGGCGGTGATATTCCATAGTTCTGTCGGCAGAAAAACTTGGTCGTAACACGTCTCCCTTTGCTCCTCTGCGCCTCCGTCAGCCCGTCCGCAAAGGTGGCAAACAAGTCGCTGCGGCATATTGGGTCCTTGATCTCTCGCAACTTCTGCACCGCCCATAATGTGTCTTCCTTGCGCATTGACTCGATTGCATACAGAAACAGCGGACGCAAGTAGCCAGCACTCAAATGTCCTTGATCATTGTACATATTCCACTCATCTGCCGCTTCGACCATCTTTCTGATCTCTGCCATCGCCGACTTGGCTTCGGAGGACGCCAGAGGAGGATCGGACAGCGTTCGACCAGTCTCTATGATCTCAGTGTAATACGCGGCGTTCGCAATGCCGATGGCCGTGATCAATGGTCGAGCAATTTCTTCTGCAAAGTATGCGTGAATGTTGGTGGGAGCCAGACGGCAGATATCAGGTCGGTGAACCCATAGCTGGTACAGCCGAGTCTTCAGAGATTGCATCTCGAGAGCCACTTCGTCCTGATCCGCGGGGGTGATGCGAGAGCGATGATAGTGGCTGAGGTCTGCCACTTGAGTTGAAATTGTTTCTAGATGTACGTGGAAGTCGAACAAAGGTGCTTCGAGGTATCTCAACAGCGACTCCCGTGGCTTTCGATCGGTGTGTGGTGTTGATGGTATCATTGCATGGTCTGGAAGATTTCGGAGAACGCTCTCTGAGAGGAGACCAGGATTGCCGCCACGGCGTCCAGATGCATGCAGTAATCTAAGCCACGCCGATATCCTAAGATCCTGCGGCTCAAGTAGATTGTGAGTTGCTTGCAATTTCTCCACGAAAGGCAACGACACTTCCGAGTCTGTCAGTGTCAAGCCCGTCTCGTCGAACACGAGCATTTCAAACAGGCTTAATAGCAAGGCTACATGAAGTGTCTGCGTGACCGGTTCTGCTTCATTACTTAGCATGGTCCGAAAAGCAGCCCTAGCTGCATCGTGCAGGCTATAGACCGCTTTCGACACCGGCACCCCCAGTTTCAGCGCCTTGTAGAGTGCTTGCACCGCTAAGATGGCAGCCGCGATCGTCCTGTGATGGTTTCCAAGACATGTAGTTTGGGTTTTGAATTCTTGCCAGTTCAGATCATCTATCACAGAAATGGTGGCCGCCGATACATGGTCGAGGAAATAGTCGAACGAAGGTTGTGCATAAGCTTCGGTGGCTGCAAGTCGGTCAATGGTGGTGCACAGATAGATGTCCTGCGATGTCATTAGAGACAATGCTTGGGGTGAGTTCAGTATGTCGAGATCCAGCGCAGCGATCCCAGGATTTCGCGCAAGGGATGCGGGTATGACGGCATAGTCGGGTAGGAGTAATGATGGTGAGGCTACCGAGTGGCTTGTGCTTGCAGGAGACACCGCTAGCCTGGGAGTGTGCTGTAGAGACAGTGTTGCATAAGTCTGAGGAGTTCCATAGCAGTGTCTAGGTGTCGAACGAGGCACGTAGGAACACGTTCGCTGTAGCCTCTGACATCGCCGGCATATGGGCTTATCCTCGTCACATTTCAGCTTGCTTCGTCGGCACGCCAGACATCCTGTGCGAGTACGACCTCTGGCAAGAGTTGGGTGCAATTTTCTGCTCGGTTCACATCTCGTGTCTGTCATGGATACCTTGCAGGTAACGAGTCTGTGGGCTGCGATGCTAAGCTGAGGCGCAGCTATGGGAGCATTGGGCTTTCCATTATTCGTACGTTGCGAGATGGAAGGAGACGAAGATGAGTGACGAGGCGAGGTTACCAGTGGCATTCAAGGGACGTGGCCGATTGGTGGGCGCCGATTGGGCGGGGAGAGTTTCAGGTCACATGACACGGGCTTGCCTTCGTGTGGCTCAATGGAGGAACATGGTGAATGCTACTACTTGTAGGTCCTGGGGACCGTCAGACTATATACCTTCAAGTAATCTACACAGGGCTACTAGCGCCGTTCCGAGGCCTTCGGAGTTCCTTCGCTGACCGTCATTACATGGTCCCGGCTTTGCCAGCAGTCACATTCCGCGTCATGATCTTTGCATTGGGCAGTCGAAGAACAGGTCAAACACCACGCCACACAATGATCGTGATTCTTTCCAACGCTCGACTGCATGACTACTGATCTGCGCCAAGGTAGAATTCCTGCTTGAATGCATACATATCATGGAAAGTACAATACTCTGGAGCCCCGAGCTCGACGTCTCTTGGTAACCTCAACAGCCAACCATCAAGATATGATGTGATGCGAGTTTTATCCTCCAGGCCCAGCAAGCGCAAGCTATATGCAATGCTGATGTGAAAAGAGTATGTCGCATGGCCGGGGTGCTGCATCGCCAGCTGTCCAGCAATGTTGTCTCGCAGGTCTTGCAATCCTGTCTCTTCTTCTTTGGTCTTGGGGGTCATTTTGAGAGCTATACCGTCATCGAGCGCCTCCCATCCTGCCACATACATCCTATATGGCGGTCCATGCGGAAGTGCAAAGCTCGCCATCCTCTTGCGAACATGCTCGTTGCACGCCTCGAGGCTGCAATCCAAGGACAAATCACCAGGCCACGATTCTCTTTTGCGGATTTGATCAGAGACGCCCTCAAATATCGTCATGTGCCAGCTTGATGACGGTAGAAAGGCAAAGAGTTTGGCGAAGTCTTGTTGCTTCACGTCTTCCTCGAAATCCAGCAGTGATCGGTACAGCGGGGCCTGAAGGGGCAGATGGCAGATAACGGTATTGCCAGGAAATGGTAGAACAGTGCCATCGGGCTTGAACTTGTGGCCAATCCATCGCGGATAGTCTGCGTGTGGGAAGTCTTGCTTCGGAACTGGCTCAATCCGGTCGTTGCAAGGGGAGTCAGATTCAACGGCGATGCTCCTGAGGGCGGTCCTGATTGACATATTCAGTGATTAACGCGGTTCTTGCTGTGCTTAGATCGGCTGCTACGCTGAGTACGATCGACGACAATGGCTATGGCAATCTCCCCTCTTTATAGCCACCGGGGCAACTTGCGCCTACGTGGCGCGAGCATGAGACAATAAGCGAGTATCCTGCAACCACGGACACTCCCTTGCCATATGGCGAACGCTACCACTGAATAGGGTGATAGACTATGTCCCGATGCAAAGAGCCCGTGGCGCTTCCATCTGGGCCAAGCGTACTCCACCGCCGGCTGGAGATAGCTAAGAGATACGCAAATTAGGTATAGTTCGAACGTCTCCTCCGCAACAAGTTTGGCGTCACCGCTTAGAGATAACTGACCGGCACGCGATAAGAGGAGACATCTACCACCGAGACTCCGAGTTTCCATTCTTATACACACTCCAATGGTGACTTGGTGCTCGAGCACGCCTCTTGTATTAGATGTGGAATGTCCCCGAAGCCTCCTTGGGCTTGAGGTACGATGCTGATGGCCCCCCAAGCTATATTAACATGGCCTTGAGCCACCCAGGATCGTGGCTGCCGCGTCAGAGCTAAACACGACAAAACCCAGCAGTCGCAATGGAAAAGCAGAGTTGTCATGAGAAGTTTATCGAGCAGGGCCAGCCGTTGATGGCCGAGGTGGAAGATGCTACAAATCACGAACATGAGCTGAAGCTTCTGGAAGCCGTTAGGCTGTATCCCAAGGCTGTTGCGTGGAGCGTCATGATGTCGACAGCGCTAGTCATGGACGGCTACGACCTCAAGGTTAAGTCCGAACCACGCTGCCCATGTCTCTTTCTGACTTGTGTGCAGTTGATTGGGTCCTTGTTCGCACAACCGGCCTTCAACGAGGCATACGGCGAACTGCGAACGAATGGCAAATACCAGATATCTGCACCGTGGCAGTCTGGCCTCAACAATGGCTCGAATGTTGGCCAAATCATTGGGCTCATGCTATCGGGCTATGTGGTCGAGAGGATTGGCTTTCGATTCACCATGATGATTGCGCTTTCCGTCGTCATACCTCTCATCTTCATCCAATTCTTCGCCTCGAGTCTCGGAGTTCTCGCAGTGGGACAAGTCTTGATCGGTATTCCTCTTGGCATGTTTCAGACCGTCACCTGTGTCTACGCCATGGAAGTCATGCCAACCTGTCTTCGCGCATATCTCACGAGCTACGTCAATTTGTGCTGGCTCTTCGGACAACTGATTGCAAGCGGCGTTCTTCGTGGAACCTTGCAGCTGTCTGCACCTTGGGCATACCGAGCACCATTTGCTGTACAGTTTTTTTGGCCACTTCCGCTGCTGATCGGTGCCTTTCTTGCGCCTGAGAGCCCTTGGTGGCTTGTTCGACAACGGCGCATCGATGAAGCCAAGCTTTCAGTAAAACGCCTGACATCAAAGACATCAGTCAACTTCGATCTTGACAAGCATGTGGCCTTGATCCGCGCCACGACCGAACATGAAAGACGACTCAAGGACGAGACGCACTTCGCCACATGTTTCAAGAGCACAGACCTTCGCAGGACTATCATTGTGATTGGATGCTACTGCATGCAAGTCATTTCGGGCAGTACACTGCGAGCATACGCAACCTATTTCTTCCAGCAAGCTGGGCTGGCCACGAATCAGGCCTTCAATATGTCGATGGTGGTGTATGCTATCGGAATCGCAGGAGTTGTATCATCGGTGAGTCTAAGATTGTCACGTAAGCGACGACCGACTGACCGCATAGTGGTTTTTTATGTTCCGCGTCGGCAGACGGACGCTTTTTCTGATCGGCCTGAGCTGTTTGACTGTTGTGTACTGCATCATCGGCGCACTGGGGATTGCTCAAGCTTCGCATCCATCACCCGGACAAGCTTGGGGCATTGGAGCGCTGCTGCTCTTGTCGTCGTATGTCGCCAATTCGACGATTGGAGCAGTGTCGTACACCTTGGTATCGGAGATGCCTTCGTCATTACTGCGTAGCAAGACGGTGGCAATAGCGAGAGGCAGTTACGCGGTCATCAACATTGGTGCTAATGTCATTACACCGTACATGCTCAACTCGACGGCTTGGAACTGGCAGGCTCAGGCCGGCTGGTTCTGGGGAGGTGCTTGTGGGCTCGGCCTGGTTTTCAGCTATTTCGTTATCCCAGAGTCCAAAAATAGGACGGTTGCCGAGCTTGATCTGTTGTTTGAGAGGAAGATATCAGCTCGAAAATTCGCTAGTACACAGATATCGATCGCCGGATTGACAGGGCATCGTGATTAAGTATACTAGGCTGGAACCAAGTTTGGGGAATTGTGCTCATGGGACGACTTAGGTCAGCGTTGCCGTCAATCGATAAAATGTGGATGCACCCACCCTATATCTGGATGAATACTGGAAGGCGCGAAGCGAGTATGAGTGCAGAGTGTCTCTAGATAATGAATACGGCTGTGATAACCGTTTGGCGGGCGTAGTTGCAAAGAGACGAGGCTTTCAAGCAAAGGATGATGGAGCAATCTGGGAGGACAGTTCGACGCTGTAGCCATTCCAGGACCATTCTGGATACCTCAGTACACTTTCAGCTCCTCTTCTCTTGCTGAATGCCAGACGGGCCAACAGTCAAAAGGCATTGCAAGGGTTACGTGTGTGTGAGCGGTGCTGGGGAGGCTGTAAAGAGAACAGATCTCACCAACATACTGCTCGAGCCGACCAACATGGTACTGGAGAATGGCCACTGTAAATTCTAGAGAGCTCCCATATCTCTCTCTCATCTGAAGCCCGAACCTGCTGCAAGTACAGCAACGAGGTGACCATCCTTTCGCTATAATCTGCTGCCCTCGCCGAGTTCCAGGTCCGGTCGGGCCTGGTCGCCGCCCGCGAGGCTGCGAGAGCTGTACACCCAATTTCGTCCCGAGAGTATTTGTCTCTATCGCATCGTCATCAAGAAGTCCATCGCCGCACATAAGCTGTAGTTCACTCGGGGGGGGCTACACGGTGGAAAGTGATCTTACTCTCAGGGCCGAGGTGGCCGACGCCGTCGCGAAAGTTCGAGAAGGACAGGCTGCTGGTGGTGGTGGTGCCGGTGGCATCGGACAGGAGCTGCGGGCTCTACGAGAAGAAGCGGAAACATGGTCTAACAGAATGAAGCAGGCGTCGGAGGACTACACCGCCGCCTGCAGTAAAGGCATCATGTCTATGGCTTTGTTCACGCTCGACAATGAGAACTGGACCACATTGACGGCCGATGAAAAGCGCCGGATCACCAGGATTCATGGATTGGAGTTGAAAACGACGGAACGTGATCCTGCTGCTGGACAGGTTGGCTCTTCTGGCCGCGCTGTGGTTGCAGCTGCACCGTCGACGGCAGAGTAAACAACAGCGATGGTTACGAGCGGTCAAAACGTGACAGGAAAAAACAGGGGAAACATCGTGGAAAATTGAAGGCATGAGAGCTTGGGTGCTGTATGGGTCTGCAATATCGAGGCTCGTTCGCGAAGGGGAGACGGGCGGTCACAGTGGTCAAGGCTTTGACTTGGTGAAAATCCAAACCCTCGGCGTGCCGCGGCACGCAAGAAGTCGAAAATTTGACCAAGTCAAAGGATGGGCATTGAGGGTCACTTTGTACCTAGGTGTAGCAGTACTACCAATTCAGCCAGTCGGACATGAAGTCGGTCCAAAAGTCTTCCTCGCCTCTCTGCCGCGCGTGGTTCCTCAGCGCAGCTGCCTCCCCTGGATCGTGGTCCCGCACGCGTCCCTCGTCGTCGAGGAAGGAGTTGACGAGCTCGTAGGCCGACTCCTCATGGCGGTGGCCACTCTCGTTTTGACCAAGATGTTGAAATGTTTGCGATGAGCTGGCCTGCTGCGTCGCTGCAGTCAAGATCTTGTCGAGCCAGCTCATGAGATGGGGAGCCTCGGAGGTCGCGTCTGTCCCGGCCTGCATCGCCAACTTCGCCATCAGGGCTCGGAAACGACCGACATGTTGGTGCGTGAGTGGTGGACGACCTAGGGAGACTGCTCCGCCCAGTTCATGCGTCTTCGACCGATCCAGACGAGCGAGCAGAAAGAACGTGGTGATCAGATGTGCCCACTCGACGATGCCCAGCCGAACGATATAGTTGAGTCTTTGGTCCAGGATGTTGGATAGGAGTGCCTCAAAGTGCTCTACGCACAGGACCATGTCCTCGGCCGACATGGCCTTCGAACTCAGGGACTTTAGGACGCTGTATGCCGCGACGAAGTGGTAACTCGACCTCAAGGTCACCGACGTCTCGGACTGTAGGTTTGTAGCTCTCCACTGGGCGAGACCTTCCGATGGAATAAAACGATGATCAGGCGGATTCCCATCGCCGCGGTGCAGGCTGACAAGGTGCATCAGCTCGACCACCGCAGGGGCCTCCTTGTCGAGAGACCCTGGCGACAGCTCGACCAGCAATTTCGCGGCGTTCCTCAAGCTCTCAATGCATCGCATGTTCTCGGGCCGATCGTACCCCAGCACACCCCCGCCGCAGTTGAGGTAGAAGCACAGCAAGAACGCTCGAATGGCGTTCACGTCTTCGTCCGCGCGGGTGGAGAAATCCCCGTCTCTGGCAAATCTCCTGGGCAGCCCGAGATCGGCGACCATGCCATTCGCGAGCTGTAGGAGCTGGTAGTATTGGAGGGTCTCGGGGTCGAAGCGGTGGTGATACCACAACATGTAGGTCAGCAGGCTCTGGAGGAGCTCCATGCTCTTCTGTCCTCTGACGATGACCCGGTGGGCGAGCACGTGGCGATATACCTCGCCCGCCTGCTTTTCAAACTCCGGGTCAGAGCTGCTGCCTGTGAGGATGGCGGCGAGGAGGAGGATGGGGGAGGACGACAGAAGATCATCCAGCGGAACCGGCGGTAGCTGGATGGCAAAGGGCACCACTTCGACCATGTCTCTGTAGCGGTCCAGAAACATCGAGCATTGATGAGCACATGCAGATCTCAATGCAACCCAGCAGCCAGGCGAAGGCTCTCTGGCGTCCAACGCGGTGAGCAGAATACAGCCCAAAGTATTCGAAGCATCTCGGACGCCAGGCGACGGTGACTGTATTGTTCCCGACGTTGAGGGACCGCCGAGGCGGTGGCCTTGATCACCGTCCTCCTTCAACGCCGTTACGCCCCAAGCCCGTACTGGGATATTGCCATTGCCGCTAGCAAACCGCCCTCTCACCCTGATGCCGCATCAGCCAAGTCCCCTGCTCTTCGCGGTGTCCCATCCTCCTTACCTCTTCTGCGGGGCTGTCCGCCTGATGGCTTCATGAGGCACACATACGACTCCAGAGATCTCGCACCTGAGAGGTCAGCGACGCTGAAAGGGCCTCTCCAGTAGGACCAAGGGGGAGAAAAGGGCCGTCACGGGCGTGGACCAACCTCTTGCAAGTCTCGTCGCTTGAGCCCGGGAGACAGCGCGACTTGCGCGCCCGACACGCCTCGCACGCTTGTCTGCATCGGGCTCTCATTCCCGGTCCGCGGACTTGATGCGGCAGTGTAGATACTGGCGACACATGTACCCCGTACACTGAGCGCACAGGTGAGGGAGGGAAAAGCAGCAGAGAGAAAGTGGAGTGTCGGAGCCACGGTCGGAAGGTCAAGGATTCGCTGCGCAGGCGGCAGAGTTTGCGGCGCGGCCTCACTAGCCCTTGATTGGAACATGGTGGCGAGGCTGGCGCAGTATTCCCCCCACACGAGCAGAATGGCACCACATCCGAGGAACCAGGGCTGGGTACAGATACATAAGAGCTTCGTCTCTGACTATACCGTTATCAACACTATTCTATTCTCGCTACCTAAAGTCCCAGAGCCCCAGAACGACCGCGATGTTAGGTCCAAAGTCCCTCCGAACCCTGATGTCTGGTCGTCAATGCATATCGAGTAAGTGCCGAGTATCCTGTCCGTGCGGGCAATGATGATCCTATTGCGTCTCGGCCGATTCACGCCTGACAGAACCCGCAGGAGTGGGCGTTGTGAGCCCGAGGGCTCTGAACACAACTCCCTCCCATCCTGCCATCTTCGCATTGAGCCCGCCTAGACCTGTACAGATGACCAAAAGGTATACCATTCCTCTCCCGCAAAGACCGAACCAAACACTAAACGGCCCTCTCCTGTCCAGACAAACAAGCACAACATCCAAGACCACCCTTCAAATCAAACCTCTCACTCCGTCACAACACGCCGCACACCTGGCGTCCCAGCGGCTCTCCCGGCCCGTGAGCCCTCACCTGTCAATCTACCAGCCGCAGATAACGTGGTACTCGGGCGCGCTGATGCGGAACTGCGCCATGCTCCTCACCGCGCCGATCTACATCTTCGGGGCCGCGTACGTCGTCGCGCCGGTCGTAGGCTGGCACCTGGACACGGACAGCGTGGTGGCGTGGTTCGGGGCGCTGCCCGCCGGCGTGAGGGTGGCGATCAAGGGAGTGTGGGGGTTTGCATTCTGCTTTCACCTCGTACACGGGCTGAGGCACTTGATTTGGGACACGGGGATGATGCTGTCGAATAGGCAGGTGTGGGTCAGTGGGTGGATAGGGTTGGGGGTCAGTGTGCTGGGAACGGTGGGATTGATCTTTTGGTAGGATAGACGGCAAGGAAAGAAAGGCGAAATCAATTCCAGAACATGGCAGCAACAATTGCGACGGCTTTTCGTTTCACACTCACTCGCTACTTAATCCTCCCCCGCAGCCTTCTCCTCCGCGCTTGGTCGAGGCGTGTCGACTTTGTGCTTCCTCTCCCGGGTGTCGCACCCCAACCACAACAGGTCCGGCCGACTGTAGTGGCCACAAATGTCCAGGAAGCTGCGCGCCATGATGGCCATGCTGGGGTCGAGGTCCGCAATCACCAGTCCCTCAGATTTGGCGTCTAGCGGCTCTGAGAGAATCCGCCCGTCGGGCCCAACAACGCACGAGTAGCCTCCACCAGGGCTGTTCATGAGCATGGCCTGGCCGGTCCCCATCAGTTCGATCCCCTTGGGTCCCAACACGGTGGTCGCATGGAGAACAAACGTCTGTGTCTCAATGGCGTATGTTTGGGAGAGATTCTGGCAGCCTGTGTGCGAGATGGATCAGCTAAGCGCGCCGTATCCTGGCTAGGTCGAACGCTGACTTACCTTCCTTCGACATGGACCACAGCTCCGGCCCTGCGTGCGGGCTCAAGGGCGGCCACCCTGCAACGTGAATGTCCTCGCGCTGTGTCGCGGTGTGATACTTCAACAAGGGCTGACAGTGCTCCCAGCAAGCCAAACTGCCCACTCGCTTCCCGGCCTTGGTGGCCACCACATTCATCAAGCTGTTCCCAGACGCGTCGCCAAAGATGGTGCGCTCCATGTGCGTAGGCTTCAGCTTGCGACGGTGCATCAGCATTTTCCCGTCTGAGTCGATGATGGCTTGGGCGATGTAGACGGAGTTGTTGTCATTCTCAGAAAAGCCCAGTGCCACGACGACGCCGTTCTTTGCCGCACAATTCTGGATCGTGCGCATCTCGTCAGAGTCTACGGCGAGGGAGTTCTGGATGTATCTTGTCGACAGAGCCGGGTCCACCGGCCGATGCCTATGTAATACAAGCTGTTACGGACATGTGCTGTGATGATGGGGTTCGTTGAGTACGTGAGTAGAAATCTCACCATATCCATGCTGGATAGCCAGGGATGAATGCCTCTGAGAAGCCCACGATCTTTGCACCTTTCTTTGCGGCTTCGGCGATGATGGAACATGTTTTGGCGACTGAGGCTGGCAAGTCGAGCCATTCCGGTTCGTACTGGGCCACGGCCACTCGCAGAGTCGGAGGAGCTGCACTTCCCATGTCTGTTGTTTCCGATTGTCGACAGTTCTATCACGTTCTGGAGATGGACGTCCTCGATTCAGTCGGTAGCAAAGATGTGAGAAGCTCGCAACTCCGTGGTGATGGCGGGAACGTTCCGCTTTGAGAAGGTATACCAAGTCAATTTGAGGACAGTGCTGACAGCGGGAGCCTGATGGACGCCGGGAGAGTTTCATGCTAAGGCCTTTATCTTCGCGGCATCGTCTGGTGGCAGGCCCAGACTAGGCGTTCTGGGAGAGGAGGGGTAGCTCGTGTTCGCAGCTGGGTGCTCTCAGCGCTGGGTCCATTCACGGGCGGGGTTATCTATAAAGCATGTACGATTGGCGGCCTCGCTTTGCTAGATCGCGATCCAGACGGTTCTATTTCCGAGGGGTCATAGTGGCGGAGCAATCGGTAGAGGCAACATGGAAGCGATTGTTGATTACTGAGAGATATGGCAGAATCCAGCATGCACGACATGTCGCTGCGACACCTTCATTACACATTCTCCAGGACCATCAGACCCGTGCCTTCTCTGCACCCAACGTACTCCGCGTCCATGTCGCCCGATTTCAAGATACAAAGCTCAACCCAGATCGAGAGCTTGCCATTCTGGCTATGCGCCCCCCCTGGCCCATACATTTCAAACGTCGTCTGTCGCAGCTTGACGTGGTCTTTGAAAGAGCGTCCGGCCAACTCGAAATGAGCGAGGTCAAGCAAGTACATCAACTGGTTCGTCTCGGCAATTGCATCGGTGTCCACCTCCAGGTCTGTGCCGGGGTCCAAGGTAGGCTTGGGGTTGAGGTGTGCAATATTGAACGTGAAGGAGACAACTCCGTTCTTGTTGCGCTCCGTGTCCAGGTGATTCATCCAGGAGACGGCGTGCGGCGCCAGCTTTTGTTTCCACGTTTCAAGCTCTTCTGGAGGCAGATTCGGCTGTCTCTGGCCTTCGCGGCAATAGCACAAATTGTCCGGGATCTTGCTGATCGTGACCCTTCCCAGTCTAATCTTGTCGGACAACGACGATTTCGACAGATCCACGACTTTCTTGCTCGGATCAGGCTTGGCTTTGGAGCTGGTGGCAAGCGGCGACGTAAAAGTATCATCCGGATCGGTATACTCGTCGGGATTGGCGCTGAGCCGATGGCGATAGACACCCCAGTACGCCTCGTCCGTGCTGGCTTTGAGACCCAGCATCGTGGCCAGGCCAGATGTCTCGTGTTGGTTTGCCGCAAACATGTAACGAGACTTCGGGACAGTCATCACCTCCCGCCAAACACCCGCATCTTCAGGCAGACCGTCCCAAAATTGTTTCACTTCGTCCGTTTCCTTCCACTTCTCGTAGTCGCCGGATTTCAGCCAGTATCCCACGAAAGTGGTGCACTTCGGGCCCTCACGCGGGACGCCGTGGCTCTCATCCTGTAAGTGATCAACTCGGTCGGCAGATTGACTCAACAGGGAGTACAAGGTGGAAATGACTTTCTTCTTTTCGGCCGTGAGTTCGTCATGTTGCACGCCGAAAAGACCATAAGTGAAGACGAGGCCTTGGCCGTCCAAGTTTGCGAGATATACCACCATTCTCCTAGCGTTGATTTGGACGAAGCTATCTGTAGCTGATATTTTGGGCGATGTGAAGAGACAAGGAAGAGAGTAGAAATGGCGGGGGAGGAGTTCGTATGTCAACGAACGGCCCGCGGAAAGTTACTTGCCTCGTATTAATCTGGGCGCCAATTCAAATCTTTCAAACGTCCTGCAACATGGGAGCCAGAACGGGGTCGAAATGCAACTGGGCGCAAACATTGCATAGGTGGAGCATCTGCATGATAAGCTGGCGAGCATCGGATTCGTTACTCGGTTTCCCGTCGTGCCAGGTTTTTTGAGGGATTCGTAATGCTTCTCTGCGTTATTGGGCGCAACCGGTGAGGCTGAAACGGACATTTTGGGCCAATTGATCTTCTACAACAACATGCCGACACCATCGCGCAGGACTCACGTCGTTGCCGTGTGGCGTGACTCAGGCATTAGAGTGCTGTTACGAGTCGAATCATTTCCCTCCGTCTCAGGCATTGAAGATCAGGCCGATGGCGGCGGATTTGTGCCGGGAACACGTCCAACATAAAACAGGAAGCGGAGGAAAAGACTTTGAGGATCAGGCTGTGTCTCCGGCATTAGGTGTTGGACGACTTGAGGCATGTATCCCAAATGTACTATATTCGCAATTTCTGATTCTCCTGGTGGGCAGGTCGCGTGACTTTGCTCATTTTGGGAGGGCGTGCCCCCTCTTGGATGGAATCGTATGCCGAGTCGAGGTTCTTTCAGGCGGCTATCAAACAGACAGATGTGATTGCGTTGTATGATTTCGAAAACGTCTTCTAATCAGAAAAGTCAAGGAGCGGATGCGAGCTCATTTACCTGTAGCCTCACCTGGGCTCATATGGGCGGGATTGAGCGTGAAATGCGTCTGTGAGATCCAAGTAGGAATGGCCAGGTCACCAATAGGTCTCATTTTCCCCAGGCTTCGACGCAAGAGCAGAAGGATTGAATGAGAGCGCGCTGATGGTTGCGAGTGCTGGGGAGGAGGAAAACAACGGCGTCCGGAATGGGAAGTTTTCCCGAAGCACCGCTTCGGAACGGGTCAATATACTGACGAAATATCGCGAATTCGATCTTGCGACGCGGCAGAGCCTGCATTCTCGTCTTCATGTCCAACCTCAATCTTCTCATGGCCCTCATTGCGGACACCACGGACTGACCAAGAAGAAAGCAGCTTCAATACTGCGACAGATGCCCAGCCAGAACCTTAAAGGACGAGCCATGCTCAATCGGTCCAGTCGGATCTGGGTTCTTGAGGTCATGGAGGAGATGGAACACGTCAGTTCAAAGGCTGATTCACATGTAGGTATACTTCCATCCAGGGTTCCCAATCGATTTCTCTTCACATTGTATCTGTGGCCCTCTATCAGAGAGATATCGACACAGCACGGAACTGCCCTGTACATATCCACCTTTCGTCGCTATCTGCTCTTGCTCCATCCACTTAACTGATTTGATTCCCGTCGACCCACGATCTATCGCTAAACAATGGCTGGCCAAAAACGACTCAATGACGCCGCAATCGCATCAAACCCATCGGCCCTGGGCGATCCGGTCTCCCTGAAAGCCGAGCAGTCCGACACCTCGCCCACGGAGCAGGAGAAGGGCGCCCAGAGCCAGGCACTGCAGCCCCACCAGCAGGAGAAGACCGATAAGAAGAGCCTCAAGGAGTGCGCGGAGCAGGACCTGAACGAGGCTAAGAAAGGGAACCGTTCGCTGTTGGGGGATCCTGTGAGCCTCAAGGCCGAGAAGTCCGAGAACGATCCGGCCAGGGACGCAGACGAGAACGAGGACGGGACAGGGAGGAGTGGCGTCAGGAAAGGGCGGGGGAGGTATTCGAAGTTGTGATCTTACCGTCAGACTCATGTTTCCAAGGGCCAGCTACCCGGGACTTACGACCGTCTAGAGGTTAACGGAAGCACGCATTGGAAATGATCACTCTGGGTCTAATTCTTGTTTGGGCTCAAAAGGTATCTTGTCTGTCTAATACAGGTCGTCCCACTACCCACTCTCCTCATCAGGGGCTTTCTACGAGTTGTTCTTGAACGTTGTAATGGCCTTGACATTGGCATACGCCAAAATACCCAAGGTGCCAAACTCGGTGCCGATGCCGCTCTCCTTGACACCGCCAAATTGAGCCTGGGGACCCGCGGCAGGGAAGCTGTTGATCCAAACGGAGCCAGCCTCCAACTTGTCGGCAACCTCCTGGAGCTTCTGGGCGTCCTTGCCGAAGACGGTGGCACCCAGCCCGGCCTTGGAGTTGTTGGCACGCTTGATAACGTCCTCGATGTCGTCGTACTTTTGCACCGGCACGATGGGTCCAAAGGGCTCCTCCTGCACGATCATACTGTCCTCGGGTGGGTTGTCGATGATGGTAGGCTCGATAAAGAAGCCCTTGGTCTCGGGCACGTCGCCAGACCCCAGGGCGAATTTGTAGCCATGGTCCTTGGTGTCCTTGAAGAAGGTCTTGACCTTTTCGTACTGCATGCTGTTCTGGATGGGGCCCAGCATGACGCCTTCTTCGTTGGAGGCGCCCACCTTCAGTGACTTGGCGACATTGACGAGCGCGGCCAGGAATTCGTCGTACATGGACGAGTGCACATAGATGCGTTTCGAGGCGATGCAGACTTGCGAGGTGTTAAAGAATGCGCCCTACACCGAGTCAGTCATGAACCAAACTGAAGAACGAATCCCTTACCATGGCCACCATAGGAGCCACCTTGGCAATGTCGGCGTCAGGGAGGACGATTGCAGGGTCGTTGCCGCCCATCTCCAGGGTTACTCGCTTGACGGTCTTCGCTGCTGCAGCCATAACCTTCTTGCCAGTTGCGATCGAACCAGTGAAGCTGATCTTGTGGATGTCAGGGTGGTCGACGAGAGCTGGGCCGAGTTTGTCATCGCCACCCAACGCCTGAACAAGCCCCGGTGGGAAGACTTGGTTGGCGATCTCAACCATCTTCAGTGCAGTGTATCTGTCCCCTAACCGTCAGTACACGGCGCAATACTCTCGATGGGTAGACGTACGGAGTGAAAGGACTCGGCTTCACGATGATAGCGTTTCCCATCTGCACGGCCGGCAAGACCTTGCCCAAACTCAACAACAGAGGGAAGTTCCAGGGGCAAATGGCGGCGGCAACACCCAGCGGGACAAACTTGTTGACAATAGTCCTATCGTCAAGGTCGTATGATTCACCCTTAGGCTCCTTCAACCCCATATGCCACTCCATAAACTTGGAGCACGACTGCACCTCGGTGGCTCCAAAGTTACGTGGCTTACCTGTCTCCTTGAGGAGCAGGTCGGTCATCTCCTCCTGGTACGCCTCGAGGGCCTCCTTGAAGCGGGCAATGCGTTCGGTGCGGTATTCCCAGGTCGTGGTCTTCCACTCGGCAAAGGCCTTGTTAGCGGCGGCGACGGCATCTTCAACATCCTCAGCAGTAGCCACGGGGACATCCCAGTTGGGTTGTTTGGAGGTGGGGTCGATTCCGTGGTATTTTGTCTTCGAGCTGCGGGATTCGCCGTTGACGATGTTGGTGAAAGAAGTGAAGGAGACGGTATCCAATCTCGAGGGAGCCATGGCTGGCGATGATTATGCTGTGATCTTGATCTTCTTGTCTTCTTGTATGTAGACGGGGGCAGGACACAGAGCGAGAGGCAGAAGCAGAGGCTGTTGTCCCCTCCCGGTCATAATCTACCTTTTTATACCCGCGATCAACAAGCTCTTATCTGTGTCTCGTAGGTCTTCGAGCGGATCTAGTGTCGCAGAAGGTTCCCCTGCTGACCCTCCCAGAGCCCGTTCGTGCCCGTTCTGGCGTGCCAAATCTCATCAATGCCGAACTGGCTGCCCCGCACTTGGTCGCTGGTCGATGGGTACGTGCGAGTTTGCACCTACCCAGCCAGGGAAGATGCCACGGGATGCCTAGATGTGCAGGGTGTGCAGTGCGCACGGGAACGAGAATCTCGCCGGCTCCGTGCTCGTTTTGAGTGGACGAACTGCCGATGCAGGGTGTAAGCAAAGGACTGGTGAGGGCTGGCTGGTCCTCGGTTTTGCCCCTCTGGGTTCGTTAGCAGCGTTCTTCGCTTTCCATTCGGGGGGACAGCGTCTTGAAAGGGAACGTATCCTAGTCTCTGACCTTACACATGGCAATGCACGCTAGCGAAGACGTGATGAGATATGCTGACCTTTGAATGACTGGCACTGCATTGATTAGAACTGCGCGACATCCACGTCAAGAGCCGCGAACGAGGGGTTTGTTGCTCGTATCCCCGGAAGAGTAAGCTGCCTTTCCCATCCACGGGGCAGAGAGATGAGATGGAGGTGGGTAGCTGGACACGTTGCGCGTCCAGGATTCTTCGTGCGCCTAAACTAAGATCTTACTGTTGCGATCAACCACCAGGAGGCAGGATGAAATTCATCTGGGACAAGGACAATCCTACAACGCCGTCCATGTCTCCATCGGAACAGGCCCTGTATCCTCCCAAGCTATTCTCCTCACTACTCGAGTTTGGCTCAAGACGTCTTATCGGTGCATACACGAACCAGCACCCCAAATGCTGACCAACCCAGGAACGTTCCGATGGTTGAAAGCGAACAGTGGCTGATACCATTTACCCATGCTTCGTGTTCATTCTGTTCGCATATCTGCCACATTACCCGCAGCCTCCAAATTCCTGTTTTCTGATGCATACCATAGAAGTAACAATCCATAGCTTACCGACTCCTCCTTTCATGGTGCTCAGGTCAGCGATGTCATATGATGTTCTCGGCCAAGCGCCTCTTCGCGGGCTGCTTCCAACAGTGGCACTGTAACAGGAGACGCATAGAAGATGCCACCGCGAATCGATCGTTGATAAGACACTGATGCACCCTTCCACCACGATACAATAACTGTTAAGACATGTTTGGAACAGACAATGCGCAGAATACTCGGTCGACCTCGCGAACAATCTCTCTTCTTGGAACCCAATCCGAACTTGGCCCTGTGTGACTCAAGCTCTCCTAAGCAGCGCCAGAAACACAGCCTTGCGTCCTTGGACGTGGTCGAGATACGCATCCAACTCATCATCTTCCTCGATGAGGCACGGAATCTCGTTGCCCACGGCATCCTTCTCAACCCCGTAGATTTGTTCCGCTCTTGCATTGGGATACCTGGCTGCGATCATTGCATGGAGCTCCCGAACAGTGCGGCCGGTCAACGACCCGAGCCAGAGTTTCGTAGTCGTGTAAATGCTCGAGTTAGGGTGTGGACGGACATACGCAGGTGTCACGCTCGAGATCTGTGGGGTGCCCAAATGATCCGCCACCTGCAACAGGTTGGGGTCGATTTGAAGGTCTGACAAATCGTTTTGCGGTGCCGCGGTTTGTACATCACCATATGGCATCGCAGGCAGAGCATCGCGGTACGCGCTGGTGGCAGGGGCCGGTGCGGGAGCGCCTGGCGGTGCAGGTGGTTGGAGCGCAGAGTCCGCCGCAAGGGTCAAAGGGTGAACGGGCTTTTTCCTAAAAGTGCCCTTCCTCTTCGCCCGGTCGTCTCGCACACGCTTCATCACATCCCGACACAAGAGTTCCATTGCGGCGAGCTTTCGGTTATGCGTGGGGTCGTTCTCGCCCGGTGCGAGGACGCTCTGGAGATATGCGTTGCCGGCAATCCAGCGATCTTTGAGTTCCTTCCACTTTGCCGGTCCCATCTCGAGTTTGCTGGTGTAATACTCCGATTCGAGGATCTCGTAGAATTCGCCGCGGACTTGTCGACTTTGATCCGGATTCAAGCCCAGCACCTTCTTGGACTCCAAGATGGTCAATCTACGACCTAGGGTCCGGATTCGCTTCGTGACATCAGTGCAGATAACGTCCAGTGCGAGCTCTTTGGATTGAAGATTCCTGGTGTCGTGCCACATCACAGCCTGTAACAGGGTATTTTCGCGAACCAGTCGATCCTTGACGGCTTGCCATTTCTCTATTCCAGCAACTGTCTTTTGCATAATTTGCTCCTCATCACAAATCGACTGGAACTGATCGCGAATAGCCCGATATTGTCTGGGATCAAGACCCAATATCTCCCTGCTTTCCTCAAGTGTGGTCTCAGAGGGGAAACGCGGTGGCATGCCTGCGGGATCGGGTGGAAGACCTGCATACCCTTTGGTTCGACGACGACGTTTCTTTTCTCTCCAGCGCTGGTCACTGATGGCTTGGAGTTCTTGAAGTCTCTCCTTTTGGCGCTCCACAAAATCCGGTGGCGGATCATCCGGCACTGGATGTTGTTCTGGTTGAGCGATGCTTTCGTCAGTGTTCGCACCCTCGATCAACTGCCCTTCGAGACGAGGTTCCGTCTCATCAGCGGCTGTTGGCTTGGCACCGTTGGGAATGCGCATGAGCCAGCGGTTCTTAGCACGCAGTCTCATTAGTTCGCGTTCCTTGATGTCATGGCCTTCGGCTTGAAGAGTATGAAGCATATCGCGTTGGCTGTAGTTTGCCTCCCATAGCTGTCTCACACGATCGACCAAGTCCTCATCGCGAAACGATGGTTTGCGTTTCGACGGAAATCCCCACCTCTTGAATTGTGTCTGGAAAGCGCGCTTGGAGGGGGTGAAGTTGGTAGCTTCTCGCATGTACTGCATAATCTCCTCGAGGGACTGATTCTGGTTAGCCGTGCGCGATCGGGGTTGCGGCCACCAACTGTGACGGTTGACATACCTTTCTGTCCTCGATGTAGAGCTTGTACAGCACATCTCGGTGAGGTTCCCAACTGTAAACCTGTTCGAGAGTCAAAAATCGTACACGAACTCTGAGATGGTGGGGAAGAATACCATGATGGCTTACGCGACTCGAAAAGCGCGGTTGATGCTGTAATGCGGTCGTGTACTGGAACTATGGTGAGGCGGGACATCTCGAAGGTGCAAAACTTGAAAGGAGTCACGGAATGCGGCGGGCGGTTGGCAGGCGCGGAACAACTGTTTTTCCGAACCCGACGACGCAGCCGCGGCAGTCCCAGCCACAAGGCTGGCGCCTTCTCGCAAGGCTGTCTCATCTGCCGAGCTCGACTCGATATCTGCTTCGTTCCAGAGAGATTCTCTATGTGACGGTCAATGCCTCTCTCGGACCAATCATCTTCTTCCATTCTTCATCAACACCAATCCTCTCACTCCTAGGCTTTTGGAGCCACCGCTGCTGCCATTCCTTCGTCATCTGCTCCCAGTGAGTTACTTCGGCAACTGCAAATGAGGCTGCGGCGTCAGCACACTCCTTGACCTTCAAAAAAGGGACCAAGTGACCACAATCTGCCAGAACCACCTCTTCACTCGGCCTTCAGACTGTCCCCCGCTCCCGCCCACTCCAACACCCGTACTCGCCATCTTCTTTCTCCTTAGCTCTGGTGTGGCGAGCTCAGACTGGTCTCCGAATATGTACAAGACAGGTGGCTTCAGCTCGGGAAGCCGGCGGAATATTTCGGCGGGCTCAGGGCGATAGAAGGGATACCCCTCCTCCACATCCTCCGGGTGCATATCCCCATACACGGCCCGATCCCTCTCAGGTGCAATACCCGGAGTACCGTTATATTTCGGTCTCAGATAAGAGAAGACCTCTTGAGACTTGGGGGTGGTTAACGTCACGCCCGGTTCCTCGCTCTCGTTCCTTTCTGGATAGAGTTCCGTGGGTAGATCCCGGAGACCATATTGCACCCACTTCTCAAAGACCCTCGGGTCCCAGGCCTGATAGAACTTGCTGCTCGCGAACTTTGCCCGGGCTTCTTGACGGGATGGCCAGATATCTCGACGATAGGTGGACGGTTTAGCGAATGTCTTGCTAGGATTCTCAGTCTGTATGACCGGGTCAATGAGAATTAATGCCTGCAACAGCCTAGGATGAAGAAGTGAGAGCTGCGCCCTAGAAAACAGTTAATGCTTTGCACAGTTCAGTGGTCGACTGGGGATGTACAATTGCGACGCTCCCATGCTATGCCCAATCCCTACAAGTGGCTGAGGCAACTCATCTTGCTTCTGGTTGATCAGAAAAAGAAAGTCTCTGGCACCATCCCACCAGTTTGCTGTCACCCGTCAGCAAGCTTCGGAATGTTCCACATATGCAGACGTACGATCATTGCCCAAAGCTTTTTCATTGAGGATATAGCTCTTCCCCTGGTGAGCAAGGTCGGCAATCCATATTGCGCGGATGCCGCCCCCGACAGCTCTTAGTTTGGTGTAGAGGTCGTCAAACAGCGGCTCATATAGCTCCTAAAGATGGTCTCAGGCATGGAACATGTCGAGCGCTGCTCTGAGCAGGCACAGAGTACTGACCTTGGGAAAGCCATTGGCATGTGCAGCGATAAAGGTGATGTCGCTTGGCACCGGATTCCTGCGTTCATGGGGAATATATTGCTTGACAGAGAGCCTCAAGGCGTTTTCACAGCCAACCTCTGTACCCCTCGGCCAGTGGCGCGTATGTTGAGTGCGCACTTCATGTTCGATCACGCGAAACTGGCTCAAGCTTCTTCGAAAGGTGTGGACCTTCACCTTCAAGCCATGTCCTCTGACGGAGAGATGGGCACTGCGACCCAGGGGCATATTCTCAAGCTTCTACTGCAGCCGAATTTCTCAACATCGTGACAGGACGTTGGCGTAGTGTATCATTATGGGCGAGTTGTTTGGGATGATGACAAAATCGGCTTCTGGATGGTGCTCGGTACGTGGCCGAGCCCACGGGAAACTCTCGGAAATCATTGTGTTCTCTGGCTCAACCCTCACCAGTTCTCCTTCTTGAAGTCTGCCCAGCAATTCTGAAGCCTGTGGATGGTATCCTCCGAGTGAGTGCCAGCATTCTGCCCCATGAAATGATGATACACCGATCTAGTCCGTTGAGAATGATGTCGATTTCCCAGCCGAATCGCCTTGCGACTGAAATGACTCACATTTGGCCCGAGGGCCTCGCCCAGCACAGAACAGTCGAAGGGACATGATCCTACGTCTCGTTCAGACCGCAATGAGCATTAATGTGTCTCCATAACCTCCCATCTATAGGAGAGCCTCAACACGCCAGGTGAGTCACTGCTCGGGAATCGGTGCTGCGCCACAGCAAGGCTGGCTCGACAACCACCAAGAACCAAATATATGAGGATTGCGTTCCATCATTCCCGTTCCCTTCCATTGACCATATAAATCTTCTAGATTGACAAATTGCTGCTAATGGCGGGAATCGACCACCTAAGGGATGCAGCTTTGAGCCTGCCTTCGGACTTGGTATGCCACTTGAGAGGAGTCGCGGAAAAGCACCTCAAAGACATTGATGAAGAAAGATTACAAGAAGAAAAGGACGAATTGAAGAGAACACAAGATCTCGAGCACTATGGAAAGCACAAGAAGCAGGGGAAGCAAGGGACAACCATGACGTCCATCGGGGTGCCAGTGCCAAAGATGAGACCAGCCCAAGGTACAGCACATACGCTCCCCACAAGACTGACCTGTTGACGAATGCCGTATAGATGTCCTAAAGCGACTCCAATGGGATACTGATCTTGACGTGTCAAAATATGTCATTGGATATTTAGAACGATTCGCTGGTATTAAAGAGCTTCCCGCAACGAAATGGATATCTGAATTTACCGAGGAGGAATGGATCCCCCAACATCGTATCAAATACTTCAAACGACTCTGTGAGAACGGGGAGGAAGAGATTGTCTGGGACCGTGAGAAGCGGATTGACAAGATCTTCGGCAGTGGCTTGAGGGTGAGCGGTCCGGAGGACGATGAGAAGATGGACATTCGTTCCGAAGATGGCGGTGTCAACCTCCTTCCACAATAGCCGAACAACTGAATTTGGATTTGCATTCCAGAGTGGAAGTGCGTATACTCTGAGCGGCGCAAGAGGAAACCCGACTTCATATACTACCAGCCTTGGGTTTCGTGGCGGAGGACAACGGAGAAGTAGAGACCATGAATCGGCGAATGAGTCTCAGGCATCGCTCCAACAATATGTAGCAACCTACGGCATGTGCCTCTCGTGCAGTGGTGGAGTAGGTCATTCCGGGGGGGAATGGTCTGGCGGGCAAAGAAGATGCGAATGCAAGCAAGAGGCTGCGCAGGAGGAGGCATGGCGTCTTGGCGTCTTTGCTGGAGTCTTGCGTGAGTGACTAAAAGCTTCACCGTAGTCTGCACTACCTCGAAGTATGTGACACTGAACCGTTATTCACTTTTTTTTTGGACTGCGGCACATCAATTGTTCTTCGCTGCACTCTCGTTCGCCTTTATGGCATCCTGACACTGATGGCCCTCTTTGACGTGTAATATGATGTTTCCTTAGCGTACCTCCCCTCCTTGGAGATTGCCCATGTCTAGGCCAGCCCTGCATTGGGTAGTGGACCTATACCAGCAGATCCAGAGACATATTTCTCCATTCAAAGTCATGGCACAAGCAACACCAACTGGCGCAAGCCACGGGTCTTCGCCGCCAAAGCTGACAGGCAGGGCCTTCTACGAGAGCATCGGCAGCCCCAAGTACATCGTCGCCCCCATGGTCGAACGCTCAGAATTCGTCCGTTCTCTCCCCGCCTTCGGCGTTTCACCAGATTTGTTGACTTGTTCTCCAGGCTTGGAGACTCCTCACTCGATCCTACCTGGATGAAGAGCGATCAAAGTCCTTTCTAGCCTATTCGCCCATGCTGCACGCGAGATTGTTCGGAGAAACGGCAAGGTTTCGAGACGAACACTTCCAGCCGACCAGAGACAGTTTGGTCTCGAAGGAGAAATCATTATCCTCACCCTGGTTAGATGGGAATCCAAATTTGGACCGACCGTTGTTTGTGCAGTTCTGCGCAAACAAACCTGAAGATCTCCTAGAGGCGGCACAATATGTGGCCCCTTACTGTGACGCGGTCGATTTGAATTTGGGATGTCCTCAGGGTATCGCCAGAAATGGTCACTACGGGGCGTTTCTGCAAGAAGATTGGGACACCATTTACAACATGATCAACAAGTTACACAAGGAGTTGAAAGTCCCTGTGACGGCCAAGATGAGAATACTGGACACCAGGGAGAAGACGCTGGAGTATGCCAAGATGATTCTATCCGCCGGCGCCAGCATATTGACAGTGCACGGGAGACGGAGAGAACAAAAGGGCCACAATACTGGTATTGCGGACTGGCAAATGATCAGGTACCTTCGAGAACAGCTACCGCCAGAAACGGTGATCTTTGCGAATGGGAACATTCTGAATTCGGGCGACCTAGAATCCTGCCTTGCCGCAACCGGAGCCGATGGTGTCATGAGTGCAGAGGGCAATCTAAGTGATCCTACAATTTTTGCCAATCCCCCAAGAGAACACAATCCCCGAGAGTACTGGTACGGAGCGGAGGGGAAAGGAGGATATCGTATGGACGCCGTGTTCAGAAGATACCTCGACATTATCCACCGATATGTTTTTGATAGAGAACCGCCGATGCGCACGCCCCTCTATGTCCCTGGGGATCCTGAAGAGGTACCTCAAATAATGGAAGCCTCCGGTGATGTGGCTCATGAAGAGGTTCGGCCAAGAAAAAGGCAAAAACGCTTCAGCAAACAACAGCTCGACCCAAACATCAGATCGATACAAGCGCACCTGTTCCAGCTCCTCCGACCCCTGGTTTCCAGACACACCGACATTCGAGACGCGCTGGCAACAACAAGATGCGGAGACATTAATGGCTTTGAGAGAGTTCTCACCATGGTAGAAGCGGCCGTCAAAAACGGACTCGACGATCACGCCGCCTCACCAAACGTCGAGTCCAAATTGATAACTGAAGACGGTGTGGATGAGGAGTCCGAACTTGAAGTGACGCCTAGACAGACAACCACATTGAAATATCAGAGGCCGTGGTGGGTATGTCAACCCTACATCCGACCCTTGCCGGACGAAGCTATCAAGCTTGGTGCAATGCAACCGCGCAAGTGGAATGCGTCCAAGGTGGATTCGAGGGAGGCGGCAGGTAACAATGGCGATGCAGGCCGGAGACTGGATGTCTTTGAGACACAAGATCAATCTCTGTACCACGTCGCAAAGGAAGAACTCCCAAAGCCTACCCTGGTCTTCGGCTGAAAATGATTGAACAGTGCAAAGGGCTACCTGCGCTCGCTACTGCAATCATCATGTGTACAACAAATGAATCGTCCCTTTCTACGCCATCGTCGCCCTGATCGAGGTGCCTGCAAAAAGATCTTGTGCGCGAAGAGCAATCAGCATTCTCAAGTAAATCAATATAAACACAAGCCCAAAGTTTTCACACGAAACAACTACCAAACCAGCAAACAGCCGTGACATCAACAGACGAGTTATCCTTGTCATCCTTTCAATTCCTCGGGCGGTGTGAATCGTCAACATCCAAACAAGGCTTTCTCGTCATGAAACTGCATCTGTGCCTGACAAAGTCGGCTTTCCTAGTCGCTAATCCCTAGCTTAGTCTGAAAGATCCATGGGAGCGTCCCCTTCATCGTCGTCTGACGAGATATCCATTGGAACGTCTTCCTCCTCGGGGTCGTCCTCGCCATGGGTGGCCACGTGGGACTGGTCTGCGTCTTCGTCGTCAGAAAGGTCCGAGCGCTTGCGCTTCTGGCCAGCCTTCTGCTTCAGTTTCGCAAGGTATTTGTTGTCTGGCTTGACGTGAAACCGGTCGACCAGCTCCTGGATGCGGCTTCTCCGTTGCATGATGGCCCCTACTGTCCGGTCAGTGCGCGGCGCCTTCGAATCTGCCTGGATCGTGCCAGTGAATGTCTTGTTGAACGCCTCAGCCCACTCCTCTTTCTTCGCGTTGCTGACTAGCAATTTCTTGCTCTTGGGGGGCTTCGACGATTTACGCTTTTCTTCCAAGAGGTCCTCGGACAATTTGATCAAATAATCGTCCTCCTCCTTGCACCATGGTTGACCGGGCTCGTTCCTGGAGCTTTTGATTGTTCTGCCAATCGCTTGTCGACGCCAATTGTTCAGCAACTGGACGTGCGACCCGTCCTCAAAGTCAAACAAGTCTTGACCTGACTGAGGCACTGAGGCCTTTCCCTTGGTAAGGCCTGGCCATTGGAACCTTGCGCTCTGTTTGAAGCGTTTGAAGGTGTATTTCCCCCTGGAGATGTGCTCGACGAGGAATTTGGCTGGATTCGGACAACCTACGTGAGCTCTTTCATTTACATCACCGTCGATGTTGATGAGAAAACCTTCAGCACCGCGCTTGTCGGGCTTTTTGACCTTTTGGGGTTTTTTGCCTCTTTTGCTCTTCTTACCGGTGTCTTCTGTGTCGGCAGCGTCATCAGGGGTGTATTGATCCGGTTCCACACCCCAACCGTCGTCCATGAAAACCTCCGGAGGCACTTCACACTGCTTCGCCGTTGGCCATTTCATTGATTTCTCGTTGATGTTGACACGGATGCCGAAGTCGAATTTCTTCCCGTCAGGATCCTCCTTGGTGGATTTTTGAACCTCTCTCGTGGGGGGTCGAACGGGAGGCACCCCACGAAAGAACCAGAATGAGACAGCCTCAATCAAATTCCAATTATGATCCTGCAGCACCGCACGCAGGGAGTACCAGTCAGGCCGTGCAGTGATGTTTACGAACTCTGCCAGCCGTTCATCTTGTTCTCTCATGATGTCGACCTCGTCAGGGTCGATTTCCATTGGCAGGCTCGTACGCATCCGGTCAAAGTCGCTAAGCTGGAGTCGAATGTCCTCCAATGTTGTGAAACTGTCGATGGCCTCGCCAAGATCCCACATGTTGACATGGAGAAGAAGTATTGCCTCTGAAGGACTCAAGGTTGTTGAGTCTTCTGTTTCGGATTCGTAATGCAGGCGAAGTGCGAGGGCCGCGTCCCGACGCTCTTGTTCTAAGTTGGCATTGAAACGGCGGCTGACTTGGTTTCCGCGCATAGCCCCCAACGTTTTACTTTCTTCTTCTTCCTCTTCCTCTTCCCCGTCTTTTTCATCTTTTTCATCATCGTCATCTTCTCCGGCAGCAGCAGCAGCAGGAGCACGGGGTATATCACTTAAGGAACTCGAGGAGCTTGAAGAACTTGAGGAGCCTGCGCCGTCTTGTTCTTCCTCTTCCTCTCTCTCTTCGCCTTCGTCTTCAGAGTCTGATTCCGTGCTGGAGCTGGAGTCTTGCGCATCGTCGCGGCCAGCAAGGATCCTAGCTCTGTCCACCTGCCACAAGTTATAGGCGTCCTCGATATTCCAGTCTGTGGAAGCGAGGTATGTCTCCAGCAACGTGCGGTCGGTGACGTTGGGTCGGAGCCGGTCTCGCAGGGCGTTGATTGCCTTCCTGCGTTCGATGGCTGTCAATAGACGCGGGGCGCCAGGCCCAGGGGGACCTCCGGGAGCTGACATTCCTTTGAATGTTATATGTATGTATATGACGGTAAGTTGGTTCGGTGGAGTGGTTGACTATGTTGAAGAGCTCGAGGGTGGGAGGAAAATCCTTTGAAGGGTTTTAAGCACCCTGTTCGGAACCGCCCCTTCGACATGGTCTTTATGCGGCTGGTCTTTTGGCAAGTATCTTTGTGCCCAATGCCTTTGTGTCTTCTGCTTCCTTGAGAACTGCTTCCTGGAGGACGACCAATCTATGGATGCCAGAAGGCACGGCAAAAATGCAACAATATCCAGAATCTTGCAATGTGGCTTTGCGTGGTCAGGGGACGAATCTCGGCGGAGCACAAGCCCGGCATCTTCTAGACATGTTTGAGACGTACCAAATGGCATCTCGTGGAAGAGAGGCTTGCCATCGTCGGTTCGGGCGATCGAGGGCTGCACTCGGACTCCTTCGCTTTCTTCTGACCCAGCATTGTTGATCTTTTTCTGGACTCGTCGCGCCGACGGATCTTTGTCTCGAGATTCGACGAAATTCTTTGTGTTTTGTCGCCCAATGCGGCGACACGTTCTGCTGCTGCTGGGGCTCCATTGTTCTTCTGTGCGGAACGTGGCTGTGGTTGCTGGAGGAGTGGGCATTCATTTCCTCCGCTGCGCACGCCAGATGTGCTCGGCTCGCCCATCTCGAGACGCCTCCCCATGCAAGGTTCGTGTTGGGTGCAGACGATGCTTCGAGCATCGATTGCGACAATATGCTGAGGCAGACTCCAATGATGAGCTAATAATGCTTCTGATGCCCATCTATTTCAGCACCATCATATAGATAGATATATATAAGAACTGCTCTGCGGTAGATTCAAGAGCAGACGTGCTCAACTCCATTGTTGAGCTTTGCCATGGATCGACGAGGCTGAAAGCCCCTAATTGCGGTGCCAAGCATGGCCCCCCAGCCTCGTCAATCGTTTATTTTTCGTATATCGATACGAGCTTGTTCTCTTCTCTGATGCTTACCACTGGCGCCAGGCATCATATGAGACGAAAGGGAGGCCACGTATTCCCAGGCAGCTGGAGTGCTCGAAGGACGCCATCACCAATGTTCCCCGTCCCGTCCGTCCAGCTTCCGACCCAATCTGAAGCACTGGAACATAGTACACGAGACATTTGACTACTGCACTAAGCTCTGGAAGTCGAACAAAATGCATATCCTCTCTCTCCTCTATCCTCCCATGCCTCTATACTGGCACGCCAAGCCAAGGCTCCGGCCCAGAGATCCCGACCGCCTTTTGCCCCCGCGGTCGGCAGGACAAAGGAAAATGACACAAACAAAGGGGGAAAAGCGGTCTGAGGTGAAAATTCCACTGGAGACCAGCAACCCATCCAATCCGTGGTGTGATGTGGCCTGAAGAGCGCATGATTGGACCTCTTCCATCAAGCCGAGAGAACGGGGTCTGCCTGCCCACGTAACATCTATCTAGGTTTATGAGTCGACGGATAGGAGTCTTGTGGATTGAATTTACAACGCCGCCTCAAGGTTCGCGGGGTCAACGTACGCTTTCAGCACTGGCCGTGAACAGACACCATCCACCTTGCGTTCTTTCACCGCTGAAAGCGTCCAGCCTGGACTGAAACCGGATGCGGATCCTTTTTGTCTTTGTGCTTGTTTCTTTGGTCTTCGTTGCTTGTCCTTGGAGAGGGACGAGATCAGCCCTGGCCGAACGCGGCGAGGGACATTTCTTTGCACCGGAACAGGCTGGCGCCCCAGTCCAGGGCTAGCTTCTGGTAGGAAAAGAGAGCTTGTGGGAGAGAGTGGGAAAAGGTGTCACGGGAAATGCTTTGATTGAGGTATACCCATGAAAGATGAGAATAGCAGACATGTTATTTGCATGAATAAATACAAATGACTACTCGTTTTTGTTTTTGTTTTTTTCCCTCCGACTTTGCTCTCTATTTCTATGGGGATACTGATTAGTTGTACGAATAGGAAACAAATGCAACATCATGACAAGCAACTTTAGGAAAAACATAGTAGCCCCAGCCCCTTGCATTGTAACCGCCTTTCCGACTTCCTTGTCAACATTCTGAAATCCTGGCACAGCGTAGTGCTTCGCAATCACCCATACAAGTCCGAGTCTTCGGCTTCGTCGTCGTCATTGCCACCCATTTCAACGTCATTGTCGTCCTGGGCCGCGGTGTTGGCACCCGGGGCCGCGCTGCTGGTAGTCTGACCCCCAGCAGCGTTGGCGTTCTGGGCCGCACCGGTGCCAGCTTGAGCTTGATTGCCAGGCTGAGACTGGACCTGGGGGGCACTGCTCACATTGGCCGCGGCGGGAGCCGCAGTGGCACCGCGGCCGCTCTCCTGCTCAAAGTCCGAGTCGACGTCGCTTACCAACTCGCTCTCGTCCTGGACATCCTTCCACTTGCTCTTATCATGCTTCAGCATGAAGTGCTTGGACAGGGCCGCGATCCGGCACCTGTGCTGTCTCAGTTCCGTCATCGTTCGCGCGGGTCGAGGCACGTCGCCTACTCGGCCCATGTCTATCCTTCTTCGCTGTATGACGAAGCTGCCAACACCACCAGAAGCTGGTTTGTACATCTCCTTGTCGTAGAATCGCTGGCCCGCGAAGACCTGGTTAAAACGGTTTGCGAGATCCCGCTGTTCTGCAAGCGGCAATGGGATAGGAAAATTGGCGAGGTTCTCGAATCGTTCTTGGGTCTGTATGTATTGCAGGGGATCGGTCCGACCAGGGTGGCCGTGGAGCTGGCCGGCTCTGTCGCAGAATTTCTCCTCGATCCGCATAGCTTCCTGTTCCACAAGCCATTGCTCCTCATATTTGTTGAAAGGCCCACCATTCGGTTCCTTTTTGCCGACGCCGGTAATCTGGACAAACCGGTCGTTCCTCCAGCGGTTCAATTTCGTAATGTGTTCTTTGTTGTGGCAATCAAATTCGACCTCTTTGACCGTATTATCGGGCAATTCGTTCCACCGGAAGGGCGCGTTGTTTTTCTTCCCGGTGCCGAATCGCCCTTGGAACCACTCGATGTGGTACTTGCCATTTTTGATATATTCGATATAGAACTTGGTCGGGTCTGGACAGTGGACGACGGCCGGAGAGCGATCAGGGTTGATGGGAGCGCCACGAGGAATGCCTGTGGCGCCGCGACCACTGCGGATATAGTCGCGACCCGGGATCTTTACCTTAATATCGACATCCATCTTGTTTGCCTCGTCGCTCTCTCCTTTGTTGGGGTCAACGTTTGCTACTCGACCTGAACTCCGGGTTCGGGCTTGACGCGCTCCTACCCCTCGACCTTGGCGCGAGTCTTCAGCGCCAGTTTGCGGCTCGTTCTGAGGTGCTGATCTAGACTCATCAGCGATGATTCTCCTTCGCTTTCTCATTGAAGAGGGAAAAGAGGCGAGCACCTGCTGAAGCTCATCAGCATGGCCTCCTGAGATGTCAGTCTCTGCATCGCTGCTCTCCGGGTCGCTGCCTGCCCTTCCCTTTCCGGCCTTCTTGCTCTTCTCGGTAACCCACTGATCGAATTTGTCGAGGTCATCATCAAAGAACTGGAACTGACCATTTCGCACCTGCGGAGGACGGTTGACATTGATCCCCCGGAGCCCATTATGCTCTTCTTGATCTTCAGATTCCTGAGGTGGGAAGATCACGTGCAACCCCCCGGCGGCCATCCAAGCTTCGGTGGCGGAGGCTAGATTCCAGTCGTGTTGTTCGAGCAGTTTTTGGGCAGAATACACACTGTTAGTGGCTGACATGTGCAAGAACTCAGCGAGTCTTTGGTCCAAGACCAACTGACTGTCCGCAGGCTGACTTAATCTTGCAGCCTCGAGTTCGAAATCGTCATAGTCCCCATTCCGCTTTGCAAGTTCTTCGTCAACAGCATCCGTGATAAAGTTGCAGGCATGATGTAAAAGCATCATTTCGACATTCCCTGTGCTCCTCTCCGGGAATTCTTTCCGAAGGGCAGTCTGCATGTCATGAACTTGTTGGAGTCGCTCCCTTTCAACAGTTGTACCACGACGAATAATTGGCGGAACGACGTTGTCGGGCAGGTTGATTGCTGACGGGTTATCCACGTACTGCCAGAATTCTGCTGCAGCACGGTTGACATCCCAATTGTTGCGTTGGAGATACCAGCGCAACCTGGCTCCCGGCAAGGCGTGAGGGTAGGCAAGCTGGTGTCTGAGCGCCGTTATACGCGCTTCTCGTTCCCCATCGTCGCGCGGCGGGGGAGGATCAGGAGGATTTTCCTGGTAGCCAAGTCTGCGGTTGACTGGTAGGATGATGTTGCTGGGATTGCCTAGATTGGGACCACCTTGACTTGTGGCGGGCTGGGTTGCGGCGGACTGGGTTGTGCCTGCTTGACTGGGACCGCCACTAGACAGGCCACTGGCAGTGGTTCCTCGACTAGGGCCACTTTGGCTACGAGCGCCTCGACTGGCACCACCCCGGCCACGGGCAACTCCTCTAGGAACACCTCGACCGGAGCCGCCTCGGCGAGGAGCGCCTCGATTGGACCCACGTCCGCTGGGATCCATTGTGTCAACAGCAAATCAGAGTTCTGAGTAGAGCCGATATGTTGAAGAGCAGACGGAAGGCTTCCTCAGGAGACCCGAGGCGGGTTCACTATTTAGCGTTTCTATCATATAAAGTTGTGTATCACCCAACATCCGCAAGCGGATATCGTGGGAAGTACTCTTGTAGGACTCTTTGTGCAAACAAAACGCACGAGGAGGCCGCTTGGAGAGAGGCCTGTGAGAGCAAAGGGGCTTTGACGAGATAGTATCGGCTCGAGAAAGCATGGGCTCCAAGCGACGATAACGCCTCCAAACAGCCATCGCGGTTGACAAGATCTCGGTGAGCATGTCACTTTGGTAAAGGTAGAGATCTTTGGCGTGCAGAGGCAGGATGTTCCTCTCGTAGCCACCTCCCTCTGTGTTTGCTTCTGGCACCTTCACCATCGACGGACAGTGTTAGACTCGCCCTGGAGAAGAAATACCCGTTCCCGGTCAAGGAGTCGGAAGAGACTAACTCAATTCGGCGGCTAGATGGTGAGGCATACCCATAGCCTGCGCTTTGGCCAGAGTAAGGTATGTGGGACTCGTCATCCATCCATGACTGAGCATCTCATCCCCCGACAAGCCTGAAGTTCTGACGAGTCCGGTCGGGCCATGCATTGCGCAACCGATTGCTTGGATTGCCATTTGATGCGTATCTATCCTCATCCTCTCACAAGGGGTGCGTGACGAGACTATGTGGAGGTTCCTGGGTTGTTTCATACCACCAGATACCGGTCCCGTCCATTGAAGACCGAGACGCCATCACGGGCACAGGACACAAGAGCCGTTCGCGTCGAGACAAAGGAAGTGCCGTGTCCGCAAAGAGAAAACAGACCGGCTCGCTCCGTAGCGATCGAGGCCAGCATAGGGGGCATTCTTTGCACAATACAGCCAGGAACAAGCCCGGTGACAATAATGCAAGGTCTAGCCGTCACAAGCCACAAGGCAAGGGTTATGAGTAGTAAAGGATTTGAGGTTGTTAATGGTTGGAATGTGCCAAGCTTCCCGCCCACGACGCGTGTCCCGTGACTCTCCCTGATATCTTGGCAGCCTTGTCTCCAGAGCCTCGTGAAGCCTGTGAGTTCATACACAGTACTGAGGTCGGCAACAGCCTGGCATCCAGCTTGCCAGTTGATTCGATGTGACTGTACAAACAAATGGCCGACGTTGGTATTGAATTGTATGACAAGCCAGGGTATAGACGCACATGTGTACCGATTATGCAGAGGGCATGGATATGCTATCAATAACCAACTACATAGTACTCCCTCGTCTCTCCGAGGTCAACGTCTCCCACTACTTGTCAGGCATTATCACTGCACCGCATGCCGTGTTGGCAATCTCTTACGCTGGAGGCACCCGGTTTCTGGACGTGATGACGCTGCGCCGAGTGGCATCATACCCAACTTTCTTCATCCACTCTTCTGCGCTTTTGATCCTGTTAGGCAAAATGCGGTCCAGCAAAGCATAGTCACGCTTAATCACCCCTTTGTTGTCCGCACTGTTCTGATACAAATGCCACCAATTGGTAAAGTTCTCACGAAACGTCATCAACAGAGCGTTTTCGTCTTTGACAGAGGTAATGCCAACTTTGGTGTCCGCACCCTTGGGCAAATGCCTGAAGTGTTTCTCAACGTTTTCCGTCACAGGCTCGTCGATATATTCAGCCTTCTTGCCAGTCGTGGCTGTAAACGCTTGGGCAAGTGCTGGGCCTGAAACATGGGCCACCGCAATACCCAGGACCTTGCCGTTCGCTTCGTCTTGATTGGCGTAGATCCATGCAGCATAGCGCCCAAAGTCGTCCAGGTGGACGAAGGGAATAGCCCCTTGCCCCAGTGGCAGCTTGAATTTGTACACGTCGTCGTTGCCCCTTTCCGGGAGAAGGAGTTCCCAAAGCATTTCAATATAGGGTCCTGAGTTCTGCGCGTAACTTCGAGTCAGTCGCCCCAACAACGGCTTCTCTCGAGGAGAAAAAAGGCTAAGGAGAAGATGGGCTTACGATAACGGTCCAACCCATTGGACTAGTCGGCTGAGAACGCATCCATTCTAGCGCAAACGGTCAGCAAGTGACGTGGGAGAACTTGAACAGCGATTGCTTCATACCCGTGACTCTTGCTTTCCCTTCATAATGCCCCACGTAGAACTTTGGATCGTACCCGGTCTTCTTTCCGTTGTAATCGAGTCCACTCCAGATGAGATGTTTCACGCCAGCCCTGACAGACAACTCAAAAAGTCGAATCCCCCAGTATGTCTCTGCTTGCTCTCCAAGGGCAAAACCATCGGTGTTGATGAAGGCATAGTCGGATCGTTGAGCAGCTTCAAAGAATCGTTCAACATCATAACCGAAAGTGGCATTCGATTCGACAAGTTCGACATTGGGAAGGCTGCCGATGTCCTGGGCGGCTGACGAAGTAGTGCTGCGCGTCAAGGCGAGAATTTTGTATTGATTTGTGGAAGAGAGAGTCTTGATAATGGCACTCCCTTGGGCGCCGGTGCCCCCAATAAACACAATAGTCTTCATTTCCAGAGAGAAGAACGTTAGGTGAAATATGTGAATCAGTAAATCTGCAAATGGGTACTGGGTACTGAGCTGAGATACAGGGGCATTGACCGGGTTATAAGTACATGAGCAATCTGTTTGCCGGCGGCGTCATTGATCCGAAGCCCGTATGTGAAATTTGGCCATCGTAGATCATTAATTGTTCTCGTACCAAAGATAGTCATGTTGGAGTAAATCGACGCGAGCATAGACAAAAGTGTTGGAGACTGGCATCATATCAGCAAGAGTATGTTGGAAGTCGTACCAAAGGCTTTCAGATTCTCCGTAAGTCTGTGTCGAGCAGAAAGAGTCGGATTCCCGCTTGGCCAGACAGGGACTCAGCTGACGAATGAAGAATATCATCTCATGATTCCACCACTGGTGATCTCGATGAAATTGGAGTTCCATATCCCGAGAGTCAAATCGGCTTCATAAATGGACGTGTTACAACTGGAGCCGTTAAGTAATCAGGGCAAAGGAATCACCAAACGAGCCAAAAGAATAATCACATCGTACTTTCGTACTCGAGGGACACCAAATCATTCCAATTCTTTGTGACTTCGGGGACCAGCTCTTTCATCGAATAAGCCTCAGGGAGCAAGGTGTGCGCTTGGGTTTGAAGGTGGATTTCCAAGTTGCTTCTCTTATTCAGCCGAAGGAAGGGATAGACGCAAGACACAGAAGTTGTCGATTGGTAGGCTGGGCATCAGGGAGTCGGGGACTCTCCATCTTGGACTTGTGGAACTACTGCGAAAAGGGGAAACAACTCGTACCGGATGGAGAAATGGTGGATGAGAGACAAGCGATGGGCTGAAGCCTGAAGAGGCGCAGCTGCGGATGAGCGCATTCGCTGACTCATCCATATCATGTGACTTCGCGTGTCCCGCGGCGCGTCTCCTGCGCTCATCGTGTTTGCGGGGCAGATGCAATTTGTTGTCTGTGCGGCGGATGAACCATCCTATCCCACAACCGCTATCATCGCCCATCCCGATCCTACCCCACTGAACGATGGCTTGAACGCACAACAGACAGGACGTACATCTGGCTCAAACAAGGAGCCATGGTGAACACAAAGCAACCGCCTTGGGAAGGCGTGATGGATGCGTTGGGTGGAAACAGTGAGATCCCCAACCCTATTGTGACAAACAACTCCCAAAACCCGCCTTCTGTTCTCTTACTCACCCTTGTCCCTACGTCACTGTTGATTGCAGATCCTCGTTCCTCTGATTCGGCCATTGACAGACGCCATGCTGATCAAAAGTGATGGAAAAGCGCTGCAGCGTCCGGTCCTGTCGCCGGACGGCAAATCGTTGGCAGTTATAGCCCCGGATGAACGAATACACCTCATCGACCTTTGCGAAGCCGCCAAAGGACGGAGGTTCATCAACGGGCTTAAGATTCCGAAATCGGCACGTGCTTTCCTTCGAACCTGCACCATCCTCCGCTGGTCCCCAGAGACCATGATAAGCCCTGAACGGGAGGCTGCCGAAGAAGTCTTGTCCGCCACATCGTCTGAGTGCGACTTTGGACAATCCTGGCTACTTCTATCAGACAGCAAACGTCTGATTGCACTAAGCACAGATATCAGAACGCCCAAGATGATGTCGCAGGTGGATGACGAGACAGGCGTGAAGTCCAACATCCTTGCTGATTACGACGTCGGGGGCCAGCTGGGGAAACTCAGCCTTGTCGAGTTTGTCTTCAACCATAGACACGCGCTGGTCATGTTTGAGTTTGGCTCAGTCGCAGCTATACTCTCTTTGACCAGGCCTCAGCGAAACGATATCGCCCACATCAAGTTTTCAGACGCTAGAAGTCTTGCGAAATCTCCAGATTCCAAATATTTTGCCTTGCTCCGCCGCGACAAAGCCCAAGACCGAGTGACGGTATTTGAACTGGGGGACAACAATCAGGTGACATACAAGTCCTTTGATTGCAATACCTCAGATGCCCAGGATGTGACGTGGTGCCCGACCGGCCAGCCACTGCTGGCCGTATGGGACTCGCCCGCGCATGGCGTCAAAGTCTCATTTATGACGGCACAAGGCCATACACTCAGACAATTGGAAATCAAATCTTCGGCATTTCAATGGGATCTCAACCTTGCAATCGCCGACGAAGCAGAGGGCGTGGGTCTTACCTTCTGGAGTTGGACCAGGGCAAATCGATACAACAACGCTCTGACACTCCAAGCACTGGCCAATGGACAGAAGCAGGTGCTTGTGAGGTACCAGTCCACCAACAGCACGGGTGCTCGCGCCCGGACGAGACTCATCCATCCAGATCTGGTTGATGGTGCCACGACATTTGTGTGGCTGGAGTCTAGCAAGTCGACGATCGAAAAGGCACCGACGTTCGCACGACAATCCGGTTCTTTCGAGGTGACGAGCACATCCTCTACCGTCGACTCAACCTCACAACCCCGTTCTGCACCTCATTCTCAACCCTCCTCACAAGAACTCGACCAAGTTGACCTGATTGAATTGAACTCAACCCACACACTGCTTGCCACGCGCCTGCGGTGCGCCCCTCGAACGTTGTTTCTCTGGAATGCGCACAGGACATCGAATCCAGTTAGCGTCCTGATTTTTGCGCATGCTATCCGCCAGGTTCACTTCCATCCTTACCTTCCGCATGTCCTTGTCATCGTGACAGCCTCCAAACTCCCGAGATTATATGCTTGGTACCACCATACACTTCCTCCCTCGGCCGGCCTGTTGCCGATTGACACAAGCAGAGCGACAGACTTTTCGGGGACCTGGTTGCCCGAGTGTATTGCCCACAATGGCGGTAATGACCGGTGTCCTTTTCTCCTGACCTCGAGTACTGCGTTCGAAGCTGGATATTTGTCCAGTCACGAAGGAGCAGTAGTTTTCGAAAGCATTTTGCATCAACCACCACAATTCTCCGGGGATGTGACATTTGACCTAGATGGTGACGAGTCGACGACGGGGATGATTGAGACGCCTAGTCGCCCGAGCAGGCCGAAGCCCGACGAGGGCGGAAACGGCACCGCGAAGAAAAAGAGGGCCCGGTTTGATGTGCCGCCAAATCCAAAGACAGACTGGGCGGATGATCCGATCCATGCACAGGCTGGGTATGCGTATGCTTGGTGAAGCTACGAGACAGCGTTCGACCTCCTTGCCTGCACAGAACAGGGACATTTACCTTCGCAATCACAAGCAAACCTCAAATGCAAAATGACGACGGCCATGTGCGATAATGACCAAAGTGAGCTGGGACTTTCGTGTTAGGAGCAGGTACACGGGCGCAATGGCGAATAGAGATGGATTATGGAACAAATGTGACTCGAGCAGTCAGCGGATACGTTGTGTGAAATGTACGAAGAGATGGGACGAGGTTCGAGTATCTCTATCATCATGGCGAATGAGCGGGCGTTTGACAGCACAGGCACATGGAGAACAATAGATGGTCTTGAAACAGTAAACCAACATCGAGCTGGCAAGGGAGGATGCATGGATGGATGGATGCGAGGTACAGTAGCTTAGCTTAACTTTGTATTCTCAATGCATTTACATTGTACATCATGTAGGGGCTAGGTAGGGCATGTCAATTGCTCCCCTCGCAAGAATACGGCAACACCGACTGAACAGTAAGTCTCAGCCTCGTCCCAGAAGGGGGGCAGCAGGCAGGCAGGCAGGATTGATTTCCATTCCTCGTGCCCCACATCCCAGCTCGTCGACCCATCCCCGTCTCGGGCTCACCCAACCGAGCTCGTCTCACACACACGAACCGGTCCTACTCGAACGGGGCGTCCAATGCAAGAGGGAATCGACGTGTGAGAGGGAGAGGAAGGGGGAGGTGCAAGTCTAATACTGTCCGTCGATGGTGAAGGTGCCGGTCTTGGAGATCAGGTACTCGTTGACGGCGACGTCCTTGCCAGACTCCTTGCCGTAGCCGCTCTCCTTGATGCCGCCGAAGGGCGACTCCGCGGCGGACGAGTTGCCGGTGTTCTGTGTTTGGGGGGATGGTTAGCGGGGGATTCGTACAGGAGGGGGTGAGTATAGAAAGTCTTTTCGGCTTTCTTTCTTCCGTGTCTTTCTCCTCCCTCGCACTCTCTCTCTCGCTCTGTCTTTCCATTGCTTGGGGCGGGAATAAACTCATATACTGGCACTGGGGGAGAGGTGGAAAGCAAAGGAAAGGGAATAAAAAAAAAGGGAAAGAAGCTCACCAGTCCAATCATGCCGGCCTCGAGGTTCTCCAGCATCCGCCACAGGCGGTCCACGTTCTTGGTGAAGGCGTAGCTGGCCAGGCCCATGGAGGTGTCGTTGGCCCACCGGACGGCCTCCTCCTCCTTCTCGAACTTGAAGATGCCCGTGACGGGGGCGAAGGTCTCCTCCTTGGCCAGCAGCATCTGCTCGTTCATGTCGGCCAGGATGGTCGGGTCCATGAAGTAGCCGCCCACGCCCTTGCCGGCGCCGGCGCCTTCGTCCGCGGTCGAGCCCTTGTGCGCCTTGCCGGAGCCCAGCAACAGCCGGGCGCCGTGCTTGACGGCGTCGGCGGCCTGCTCCTCGGCCTTGGCCAGCCCGCGCGGCGTCGTCACGGGGCCCATGGTGGTGCCCTTCTCGGCGCCGTGGCCGACCTTGAGCGACTTGGTCTTGTCCACCAGCATCTGCGTGAACTTCTCGTACACGCCCGCCTGCACGTACAGCCGGTTGGCCGAGATGCAGGCCTGGCCCGCGTGCCGCCACTTCAGGGCCATGAACTGCGCCAGCGCCTGCTCGAGGTCGGCGTCGTCGAAGACGATGAAGGGGCAGTTGCCCCCCAGCTCGAGCGTGCACTTCTTGAGGTTCTTGGCGCACAGCCCGGCCACGATCTTGCCCACGCGCGTCGACCCCGTGAACGTGACCTTCTTGACCAGCGGGTGCAGGCACATGGCCTCGCTGAGCGACGGCGTGTTCTCGAGGCTGGTGGTCAGGACGTTGAAGACGCCCGGAGCGAAGCCCGCCTTGGTGGCCAGGTACGCCAGGCTCAAGCACGTCAGCGGCGTCTCCGGGCTGGGCTTGACGACCATGGTGCAGCCGGCTGCGAACGCCGCGCCGGCCTTGCGCAGGATCATGGCGATGGGGAAGTTCCAGGGCACCAGGGCGACGGCGACGCCGATGGGCTGCTTGACGACAAACGTCCGTCGGTTCGGGGCCGACGGGGTGAAGACGGAGCCCTGGATGCGCTCCGCCTCGCCGGCGAACCACCAGGTGAAGCCCAGCGAGTAGTCGAGCTCGCCGACGGCCTCGGCCAGCGGCTTGCCCGTCTCGTAGGTGAGGATCTGGGCCAGGTCGTCCTTGGCGGCCGTGATGAGCTCGTGCCATTTCATCAGCAGCTGGGACCGTTTACGCGGGTTCAGGATGCGGTATTCCTGGAAGGCCTTGTACGACGACTGGATGGCGGCGTCGACGTCCTCGACGGCATTGTCTGGGCACGAGGCGAAGGTCTTGTCCGAGCCCGGGTCGACGATGTCGAAGCGCTTGCCGCTCTTTGCCTGAACCCATTCGCCGTGCACGTACGAGTCCTGGCGCAGCAGGTCCGGGTCCTTGAGTTGGAAGGGGAGAGAGGGTGCCATTGTTGACGTCGTGGAGGGGGATGAGATTCTCTGTTGGGGGGCTACGAGATGGAACGGTGACGATCAAGGTCCAGGTCAGGTCGATGCCGTTGAATCACAAGGAATGGGAAGGGAATAATCGAACTTTGCGGGATGTGGTTATTTTGTAATAATATCATCAATCAGCGGGAACCCCGAGGGCCAAACACTTCGACCACTTCGTCCGCCTCGTCATTAATGGGCGTCAACCCCGCAGTTGCTGCTCGTTTTGCCTCTTTGGCTGGTGTCTCTATCTCACTCGCCCACTGCTGGCCCTTGGCCCTCAACGCTCGGAAGAAAAAACCCCTCTTCCGAGATTGGAGAAGGTGTGACGAGCGGCTTTCTCGCAACCCCGAAATGGAGGCATCAAGACCGAAACATCTTCGTCCAAGGTCCTCTCAGCCTAGCGTCTCGACATCGCCGGCCGCAATGCGAACGCTGGGTTGGCTGTGCTTCTCCAAATCCCGGCCATGGTCGAGCCCTCGGATCCGATACCGGACGGAATGTACCACATAGGCTTTTCCATGGGAACCTAATCCCCCTCGCTGAGATAAACCCCCCCCCCTCCAAGGCTGTCGTCGTGTCCTGGCAATGAATCCGGGCCGACAGCTGATGTGGTCTGTCCCTCCTGCTCGCATCTCAGTCGGTTCCAGTTCTACTTCTTCCATAGACGCCGCCAGCAAGCACGGGTTTGGCTGGATCCCAGGGCCCAATCACCACGTTCTTGTATCGCTGGAGTCCAATCAGCCACCAGGAACATCCGCCCATGACAAATGCGGTGCTAAGTCCGCCGACAACAAACCCGATCGTGCTCCGCAGAATCACATGCCAGATCCAGCCCCAACACAGCCCGCAGTTGCCATATGTATGTGTGTAGGATTTAGAGAGGATCAGTCCCAGGCCGCAGGTGGACATGGTGACCAGCGCGAAAGTAAGAAGCAGATGCAGCTTAAGTGAATTGTAATGGAGATGCCGCCGGAACACCGGGAACAGGCCAAACACTTGGATCGAAAATAGAGTCAGGCTGAACACCGCCGTGGTGGTCAGGAGTCGTGAAGCAAGCACCGTGCTAGCCATCAGCGCAGCATTGGTCGACAGCGAGGATGGAAATGGGGGCGGCCGGAAAGTATTACTCAGTTGAGGTGGTGACGGGTCCGTGGGTGTCGCGTTGGCTATCCCAGGTGCTCGCCCTGCATGCTCTGGCTTTTTGGGCAGGTAGAGACTCCCATAGTCGAAGAAGAAGATGTTGATGATCAGAAGCCATGTCGCCAACGCCCAGATGGAGTCCGACGAGGTCGATTTCGTGAGAGATTTGAGGATGGGCGAAAGACCCAACAGTGCAAAATAGATCAAGGAGGCAGATTTGAGCGTTTTGAGCCGCGCTTGGTTTCGGGGGGATATCGTGGCCGGTAACGTCGTTGGACTATACACGATGCTGGGCGACTGAGGCACTTGTGGTCGAGACGTCGTCGGTCGTAGGTCGGGGAATGGTTCCACTGAGCCATCGCCCAATGGGTCGATGGGAGAAATGGACTGGAAGGATGACTTGGACAGCGACTGGGCATGCTTCCCCGGGAACTTCGACTCGTGATCCTTGACCCCAAGGTTCGCGGTCGAGAGTTTCAAGCCCACGCCTCTTCCTCCCAGTGTGCCGTTCACATGTCCATTGCCAACATGTCCATTACCGTTCATCTGGATCTTGGAAGAACCTCCAGAGCTGGTACTCGAGCCGTCGTCAACGTCGACCGAAAGCCGGTTTGCCTTGTGCAGCACCGCCAACTCTTCTGCTTCTTGCTGACCCATCCAATGATCCCACACAATCCATCCACCGACCGTCAAAATCGTGCCACAAGTCACCACCGAGACCGGCGACAGGCGGCCCTGGTAGATTCCGGCATAGGCGCAGATGAAGATGGCCACGGAGCATACATGCTGCACGATGACCGCCGAGTCTGCCACCAGCGGCCAGAAATCATACGGTCTCAGCCGAGGATTCCTCTGCAGGTGGTCTAGAAAGGTTTCGGTATCCGTATAGTTGTCTGGGAATCCATGCTGTTTAATCCACAACAATTTCTTCCAAATGTGGGGTTGCTTCCGTCTCCTGCTGGCTGCCCGTCGTCTTTCTTCGGCTATTCGAGCAGCGACCGGAGGGATCGCTGGCGGTGCTCGTAGGGACGCAACTGCTGGTCGGAGAGCGGCAGCGGCAGCGTTTGCGGCCGCAGAACCACTGATCTCTGGGACCGGTCGCAGTCGTGGCGGCGAAAAAGTCTTGTACGCATCTTCAGGAGCAAGGCGATTCGGATCGGGGGCGATGCGATTGACCTGTGGTTTGCCTCGATTGGGGTGAGTCTCGACGGGTACGGGAGGAGGTATAGGTGAGGGTGCGGGTGAGGGCGTCGGGGTGGACGCAGCACTCGAGGTGTTGGGAGTGGACGAGGATTGTGGCGCCATGTTGCGCCTCCTTTGGTTATCTTGGGATCATTTTGAGCGATCACTGGGAGTCGAGGTCGTCTAATTCGACCGCGATTGGCGTATCATGGGTGTGAGCCGCCAAAAACCATCTCAGGTCGAAGTCCAAGGCGAAAGATCTCCCTTGGGTCCTTTTCCGGGGAATATGAATTCTTCGCATCAGGAAACTTAGCCGACAGTTTCGTCACCTGTTGAGGCTGCGCGAGGCTGCGCGAGGCTGCGTTTCCAACGACATCAAGGGCAGTCAAGTTGAGAATGTGGCACAGGTGCCGGGCGTTGGTGGCAAAGTAAAACATAGTCCTCAATAGGTCAAGCTGGCCTTCATTAGAAGTCGGTATTTCATCTACCATGAAAAGAGCGGCGCTCCGTCGATATAACCGCTCTCTTCTCTTCGCCTCCTCAACTCTTGCCCAGTGAGCAGCTGCTCCTTGGAATACAAATATGTTTGCTCGAAATTTGTTCAGCCTTGACCCTGTACTCTTCTAAACTGACCAGGGCACGCCGAGACGCCTTCATCGTGACTGACAAGTGCAGTGAATTGTCAGGGGAATAGCAGCGTCGGTCAGCGAAGTATTTCCATGTAGCTTTCGGATCCTCAAGATCGCGTTGAATTTCTTCCCACAATAGTATGCCCTGTCGACAGTGATGGGGAGTTGGATTCCGTGGGACACCATGAGTCGTCCACCCTCGGCACACTTGCTGATTTTTTTGGACTTTTGCTCTTCACTGTAAGTCTAGCATGAGTCTCCGAAGAACGCTTCTTCACACCGCTCTCACACCATTCTCACACTTAGGCTACTCTCACTGTGATAACCGTGGACATATCTACACTTTTGCCTCTCGGCTTAAAAAAGAACGCATTAATAAGGAATCACGGTGCTAGTAAAAGACAGTATGCCCACGGACATTACCAATTGGCGCGAAGCTGGACACAACATCTGGGGCTTCCAGAACGTTGACAAAATCGTTCCGACTGACCCGATCAGTAAGGGTTCCGAAATATCCAGTCTGAAGTCTAAACCATGCAATTTCGAAGACTTCAGACTCAACGTCCCAAAGGACATGCCTATGGACCTGCCATCGTTTCTCTCGCAGACCGAAACCGATGGGCTTGTCGTGCTCAAGGATGGCTTTGTCGTTTTTGAGCATTACGGTCGGAGCAACACCAAATCGTCCGTTCACGCAACATTCTCGCTATCAAAATCATTCCTCGGTCTTCTCTGTGGCGTCCTCGTGGAGCAGGGCAAATTGGCTACCACCAATCTAGTCTCATCGTACATCCCAGAGGTTAAAGGGTCTGCCTACGAAACCGTGACGGTCCGACAGTTGCTGGATATGCGATCAGGCGTCAATCACAACGACGCGTCTCCCCGTTATCGCAGTGCTACAGGCCTATATCCTCTGGAGCCGCACGAGCAACCAACGGATCTGCACACTTACATTCCCACAATCCAGTCTTCGCGGTCTGCGGCTGTCGATGGGCTGGATGGTCCGCCATTTGAATATATCTCCGCCAACGCTGACCTCATGGGTTGGGTCATTGAGCGAGCCTCTGGCCAAAAATTCGCAAAAGTGCTCAGTGAAACCATTTGGCAACGTATGGGAGCTGAAAGCGACGCTTATGTCACTGTGGACCGCAGTGGCAATGCCAGGGCCGCGGCCGGAATATGCGCTACTGTTCGCGACATTGCTCGTCTTGGTCAAGTCATCCTTCGGAGTGGCACGGGCATTGTGCCCGAGACCTGGATCCAGGATATTCTGCACGGTGGAAGTGAGGCCGCTTTTGCCGCTGGCTCGGAGAAGGGCGAATATGACCGGTTTTTCGACAATGTGGCGTACCGTTCCTATTGGATTGTGGACCGAAGCAGTCAAGTCTTGATGGCCTCCGGGACAAATGGGCAGCTTCTCCTTGTTGATTGCAAGAATGACATTGTGATGGCGAAGACAAGCTCGCAGCCAAAGAGGACGGACTGGGGAAAGATCCACCTTACCGTGCAAGCTTTCAAGGAATTCAGGAGACTCATAGATGGACAAGATCTGAGAGTTTAGTGAGAGAACTGACGGTTCAGAGCGGTGACAACGCCGAAAATTCTAGTTTCAGACCATGCATGCCAGCAATATTTGCAGGGTATTGCCTAAATCATCAATTCAAGGTTTTATCTTAGGGTGCAAAATACCTAGTATTGACATCATGCCCTGTTGTCCAAGATCCTCAGGTCTCAACAAAATCTTTCAAGTCGTTTTGAGGGATGTACATGACACACGCTGCACCTTCGTTCTTGCGATCCCAAGCCCATTTCTCTGCTTGTTCAGATGTCAATTCGCCTTTGAGCATCCTTGTGACGTACTTTCCGATCGTGGGGAGGAATTTCCAACTATGGAATGAGCCCCCTCCGGCAATGTACAACCCTTTGCACGCAGGATGAGGGCTGATAATCCAGTCCTGATTGGGTGTGACAGCATCCCTGCAAATACATGAATGAGATGTTCGCTAAATTAAGCCAGGAGATCCTGCACGTACCAACACATCCGATACGATTCAACAGTCAAACCGGGAGCATTCTTGCCGTAGACATGGTCCACTACCTTCCTCACACTTTGTTTCAATTGCTCGGGTACGTCGTGGCTCCACGTCGACTGCGTAATTCGTACAGGAGGAACAGAGATCATTTGGCCAGATGCCTCGTGATATTCCATGTTCGTGAAGCTGACTTCAAAGTTGAACTTCAACTTTCCGTCGGCCGTTGCCGGAATGCTCTCCCCTGCAGGCTAAGTCAGCGGAGTGGGATTTTTTCAGAGGGGAGTTCAATATCTAATACTCACCGTGTGTATGTGGCATGCCGAGAAAGTGTACTGGGGCGTCTCTGTACAAAGACAGATGCTCCGGGTCGCACTGAACTATGCAAGACGCTGCCGCTGCCGCCACCATTCGACCGTTTACTTGGATATCTTTCCTGCAAGGATCGCTGTCAGCAACCAGTTGAGCTGTCCAAGCGCCAGAACAGAGCAGTATGCTTCGAGCTCTGATCTCGTCACCGTCGACGGTCTTGATACCAATGCATGCTCCCTGATCGTCAAAAACCAATCTTTCCACTGTCGTCTGCACATATTTCACACCAGCTGCCAATGCTGCTTCAATGACCGCCCGCACTGCTGGATCGGCTTCTCCCCAACCACTACAGGGATTGTAGTAATTGTCTTTCACATCTGTCCAGTTGGCGTTCTTGAAGACAGGAAACCTCTCGCGCGCCTGACCCGGTGTAAGAATCTCCGCTCCCGGATCAATGCCGATCAGTTTGTAGTTATTAAAGCTGGAATCCCCCATACCCAAGTCCTCGGCGAACAGCATACCGGTCTTATGAAAGTAGGGCTCGTATAGAGGATCTGTGTTCCACTTTTCGAGGGCCTCTAGCGCTAGACGCATGTAGAAGATGTCGTCGTAATCAGCTCGAATGATTTTATTGAGATCGGACGAAGCTGCAGATGGGTAAGGGCACCTGGCGCGGTCAATGAGAAGGATATTGGCATCGGGGTCGCTTGTTGCAAGATATAATGCGGCAGAAACCCCGAACACACCCGCGCCGACGATAATATAGTCTGCCATAGCGCAAAATTGAAGATGAACAGCTTCAAAAGGGGTCTCGAAGTCTTCCAACCTTTTCAAGAGCCGTCCTTGACATTTTCAAAGCGATCGGGAGACAAACGCGCACATTTATACACGATCAAGCAAGATCTCCTCAACGATGCGCTGGCTTCAGTCACGTGACCTGCGGAATTACCCTGCGGAAAGCCGAACGAACGGAAACCGTCGGCGGTGGCTTTCAGGTGGCAAGATCGTAAGAGTTTGCATGTATGATAAAGTGGGTAGAGCGTGGTCTCATCATCCGTTGTCAGAACCGAAGGGAAGAGCGAGCAGAGAAAAGAGAAAAGAGAAAAGAGAGAAGAGAGAAGAGACAACAACACTAATCACATTGCGGGGGATAGCCCAGGCCCGAGCCGGGCTAGATGGGTCGTGCTGGTAAAAATAAACGAAAAGAAGCGACCAACGCCAGACGCCAGGCCTGCCACCTGCTGGTTTCCACGCCTTTTCCACCTGTAGCCCATGTACGAGTGTTTTGGGACCCCACGATGCCCAGTTCCAGACAAGAATTTCAACTACCAACGCCACTTTTACAGCCCGACCTGCATACCCCCGTCCGCCTTCAGCTACCCTTCGTGCTTCGGGGAAGCGGCAGCTGATCGTTTACAGCTTCCAGTCGTTTTTTCCGTTCAAGTGTCGTGCTTGAGAAGTCAGTCAAAAGTCTCACTTCTGGCTGAGGACATGACTGGCTGTGCTCACCTTCGGAATGACATCCAGTTTCAGCCCAGGCGCCGACAAATGAAAGGTCTCTATCCACCACTTTGATGGCTGCATCGTGGGTCTCACGCATGGAATTGATCTGCGTCGCTTGCTCCAGGAGCCTAGCGTCGGCGACGTCGGAGGGTTTTCCATTCTTACAGTTTCCGCTGTATACAATCCGCTCGTATGAGGATGGAAATTCGTTGATTTCGGATTCCCATGAGTCGATAGCTGTTGGAGTACGGCGAGCAGCGTACTGGTCTTCGAGATGACGAAGCCCATATTGAACAAGAGGTTTCACTGGACGAGAAGAAGAAGCCTTGATCTGTTTGTTTTGTCCATTTCCTGTGCAGAGCGATGTTGATGAATGTTTGGCTCCTGGGCCATGGCAGTTGCTGCTCGCCGACATGTTTCAGCAGCAACTTGCGGTACAATTGTAGCAACCAGCAGGTGGGTGTAATGTGAATCGGAAGTGTTGGATGATCTGACGAGTGTGAGGTGGGCTGATGTGGTAACAAGTTTGTATTTATACCCAAAGCTTCTTGGTGGACATGGACAATATGAGGAAAAGGAATTATAAGTTGCCTAAGCTACTCCACGAGTGAAGACCTGAGAAATACCAGATTGCCCCGGGCGACGTCTAAAAGTGGTAGAGATAATTCTAGAGAATTTTGCGGGCAACAAGAAGCCGTACCTTCATGGACTCCCAACCACATATATTCGTATTCAATCCAGTTTTGAGTCAATGATCGTTGTTTGAGGTCGTAGCAACGGCAAGCTTTGGGGGCTTTTCGTCCTATGGATGTGTTCGTTTGCCATCACTTCTCGCACAATGTTATCTCTTTTCCTACAAACATCAGCAAGGCCACGGACTTTGTTCCCGCCTTAATCGCTAGCAGTCCTGGAGCCGCTGCGAGCAATTCTTAGTAGTTGATGAATGCCAGCGGTTATTACTATTTCTCCAAGACGTTCTCGCTTTTCGCACGAGATCAGCGGCTGTGAAAAGTGTAACTTCAACTTTCGACCGAGCAATCAACAAGGCTGCGTGGCTTTAGCTCCTAGAGTAGCCTCAGCGAATCGGAGGTCGTAATGAAGGAGGAAACGGTCGTATAAGATTGCGAACTTGAAATCCGCAGCCGGTTGACCACACCCGCTGCGTAGCCGATCATCGCACGTCAAGGGGCAAGCGGGTCAATTGGCAGACTTACAATCATGCTTGTGACCCCCATGACATAGCTCGGAGAGGTTGACCTGACAGATCCTAGAGCGAACTATCCGGAGCCTACAATCGGATAGTAGGAACTGATGAACTATGCAGCCGAATGCCTTCTTGTACCTATAGTCCTATGTGACAACGACTCAGCGCTTGAGAAAGGAAGAGTCTTCTCCTGCCCGAGGCTCTCCGCCTTTGTCACGTGCAGCTTGGGCGTCATGGTATGGGAGCCGACAGCCTTGTGCCCCTTTGCCTCCCTTTCCACCCTTCGCGTTCCTTGGGTCTTCCATCCGATTCAGGTCGGGGACCCAACAGCCCTGGACGTAACGGTATGTTCGTGACACGAACGCCTAATTCCATGCCTTTATTAAGGTTTGTATATGGTCTCACGAGCCTGAGACTCGCCAGCCGAAACCTAAAGGGATGTAGAGTCTATAATGAGCTGCTTGAGCGAACCCGGTGAATGGTGGTCCATAAAGGAGATGTAGGATGTTCAGATCAATATAGATTGGGTACTGTGCTAAGATGATCTCGTGCTGTGAACTTCTGTGGAACATGCAAATGCACCCATGAGAACGACCAAGCTCACATGAAACCGCCATCAATCTGTGTTCCGTAGCCCGGCCGGAGCGTTGTGCGGTACGTCAGTTTGATGTCGATGCAGCATATCTAGTCGTGAGAAACCGGTCTTGTTTGAACAACCCGGAAGATTACACTTGTGTAGTTTAAGGTGCTTCTCTAAATGCGCTCTGCATTCATCAATTAGAAATCAGCCATCGATGGTCTCCAGTGTTGGATACATACTTGAAAGCAGAGTTCCTCTCGAATAGGACCAAAGACTTATCCTCGGAAACACCGCCTTTGGTACAAGCTGGTCCATAGGGACAATGATGCATGCCTTTACCTCGATGATTTACCTCGTCAAGCAATCTCTCTGCGACCGAATCCAAAGAATCAGTCGTCTCAGGTAATGTCTCGTTGTGATTTGTAGCTTCTGCTGTTGGCGATTGTGCGCGCAGAGATGGTCGTGCAGCCGGGTTGAAAGTGGCCGCAACCGAAGATGGCGCAATACCAGGCCTCGTGTCGACCCCGATAGGTCTGGTAGTGCATTTTCCAAAGGTCTTTTGGCTTCTTGATGCGCTGTGCGATGCTGCTGTACGCCCTTGCCAAGCTAGACATATATCTTTACTTGCGCATTCGAGCTTCTCCGCCAAGGCCCTAGCACCGGTCAGCAAGTGTGTTGAGATGATTTGGCAAGACTAAACTTCAGGGTTGAATGCTTGGCGGTCATGCCATCCAAGAGTCCAAGTTCGGACAGGTCTGTTTGACTGTTCATTTGATTGACGTTGAGCTGTGCATATGTATGAATATGATTGCCGTTCGTCATCCTGTAGGCTAACTGGGCAATAATATCTGTCGCGTGGCACAAATACTCACCCATATCCGTGAGCAGACAACCTGAAGGTTGAAAATCGGGAAGCAGCATGTTGATTTCGACGAGTTCTTTCCGAATGATCATGCCAAGCCAGGAGTCTTTGCTGCTTCTTTCCCCGACTCTGAGCAGCTGTTCCGTGAAGGGAATGAGCGGGGAGTCCATGTGTGCTTCTGCGTATGTCAATTGCTTCCACGAGGGACACAGGGCTGTCGGCTGTGGAAAGAGTAATATATTCTCGTACGCATTTCGTGAAGATGAAACCCAATGAATACGAGAGAGTGCGAGAACAAGGGCGAGAACTACGCTATCGTGCGCAGTTGCAGGGTCGTGGTGGGGCAACGAAGGACAAAGAACCGCTAAGGCACGGGCCCGTCCAGAAGGCCTGGATCGTTCCGTCGACCCACCATAGACGCCTCTACTCCCGCTGAACGGGGGATCAGAGCAGGGGTCCGGCATGGGGCGCTGTATTGGGTCTGTCATGCGACAAGAAGCTAAAACCCTGGAAGGTGCCTCCATGGCTCTCCACCGCCATAAAGAAACATCCTCCTAGCCACGGGAGCGGACTCGATTCACCTGTTGTGGGCCCTTTCCTAGGACTAAGCCAGACGCTGAGCGCTCATATTCTCCATAGCTTTCCTCGCAAAGATAGAAGTCTGTCCACTCTTTCGCCGGCTTCCAGTTCCCAGACCTGTTTCGCCACAAGCAGTTGCTCTTAGGGCATGGCCTCCGATGGCGGAAACTACGCAGCTGAGAGAGAAGAGTTTGAGTGTTGGTGGTATCTTGCGTGAACATGTAGACGATGCAGAGCTGGATGAATGGGGCCATAACGTTTCCGAAAACCTCCTCGCCCAGACCTCGTTGTTCTCGCTGACACAACCGCACCAACCTGAACCATCATGCAGCTTCGGTACTTGCACAGGTCATGGTGCGCCGAGGGGCAGCAGGAAAAGACGCTCGTCTACCCTTTCCATCTTGAAGTCGTACACAGGCTGACTCTCGGGTAGCACGCGACAGTGACGATGCGGCTACTTGGCCACCGCCTGTTATTGGCTCGGATGAGCAATCCAAGATGCTTCGGGAGCTCTTTCCTGAGCTATTCCCACAATCACCATCTATTGAGGGTCGGCATCCGTTTCAAGCCAGAGAAAACCCTTATCTTGAGGGTCAATTGGCAGTCACGGAGAGGCACTCTTGCTTGAGGAGAGTGCGTCGACTCGACACCGGTGTCGTCAATGGCTATCTCAAATTCATCATGAGATCAACAGACCATACCGACTCTGAAGACTTTTCTCATCGTGTAACAAGCAGTTACAAGGATATGGCAGTCCACCATCGAAATCCCTACATGCCTGAGTTTCGGCCCGAAGATAATGTCACACGACTGCCTCAAGGATTCGGAAGCAATGCGAAAATTGACAAAACCGACCGGAAGATATTGAGGTTCTGTATGTGTTCCTGTGCCTGATTCTGTCTCTTCCAAAAATGCTCATGGATAACACCAGATACAGCGGCAATTTGTGGCGGCCGCACTCTGCTACCGAAGACGAATGCTTGGTTAGATCTTGGCAGTGTTATTGATAGCGATGAATGTGCAAGACATGCGGCCCTCGCCTTTTCTGCTGGCTATATGCTCGATTACATTCCGAGCGAAAGGCTTCGAGTCAGAGCGAATTTTCACTACAAGAAAGCCAGCGAGCTGCTCACCTTGGCTTTGGCCAATCCCAATATCTACGAAGTTGGCAAGGAAGACGGTGTCGTGACCGCCCTGCACCTTTTGTGGAGCGATGATGTGAGTAAATCTAGCCGCATATCCGCTTGAGTCTTGAGTCTTTACCTACACTGACATCATGGACAGATTGTGCAATGGGAACTTCGAAGACCCAAAGACAAGAAGCCTCGTTGGCGATGTGGAACACAGACCGCAAAGGCAATACTGGATGATACTGATCCCGGTTATCGATATTGGCATCCAGAGAATGTCCAAGTAACAAGTACTAGACGAAGCAACGCAAATATGTGCGCTTATGCAGAGATCTGTGCGCTTCCGATCACAGAACTTTGCATTGCAGATATCGACAAACTTTATCCCTGGCTTCTGGGTGGCTCAGAGGAAGATGTACGAGAGATCCACGGTGGTACTGGCGTTTGTCCAAAGATCTTGCATATATATGCGCAGATCACGCAGCTATCTGCGCGCATCATGGAGGTTAGTCCATCCATCCATACCGTGCCAACGTATTGCTTGATTGACAATATCTCGAGGACCCCGATTCGTCGATCCTTCCACATGCTGCTGACGCGATTATGACTCAGTTAACAAACTTCAGACAAGTCTCAGAACTTTCTAGGGGTTATGAGACGACAGATGAGCTCCTCAACGCATGCATACTCGATGATCGCGCGCTAGTGCAGTGTGCCACTAAAGTGACCGAGCTTACGGCAGAAACCTGGGTACAAGCAGCCCAAATATATCTTTGCTGCAGATTTTACAGGTGCGGACATGTTTTGCTTACGATGAAATCCCAACCAGACTTGATCTAACCATGCGTTAGGATGCCAAGATATCACCCAAAAGTCTTGCAAAGTCTGTCAGTGTTGCTGCGATGTGTTGAGCGCATGCCTACGAGTGGAGAGCTCTTCACTGCGCAATCTCCGTTTTTCTGCATCTTCATGGCAGCCCTCGTGGCTTATCGTCATGAAGACCGTCTTGTGCTTCGCAACTGGTTTGATGCCATAGTGTCAGGGGCCAGTGGAAGATCGGTAAGCGCTGGATCAACATTCTGACTTTTATCTCAGTCTGATGTTCTTATACAGAGTGTACCACCTATTTACAAGATTGCCCAGGAATTCTGGATTTGGATTGACGTGCAGCATTATGCCATCCCAAAGGATGATGTCGGTGATTTCACACTGTTGAGCGAGCGTACTCCTTGGTGGGAGAACATGGTCGAGTGGCTTCTGGAAAATTATGGAGAACTGAGTCTTGTTTAAGCAGAATGCTTCGTAACGGACAAAGAGTATCTCGATGAAATATCAGGAGCTGAGTATTTCCGCCGTTCGTTCTTTTCAAAAATCGTTTCCAGTCAGATAAATTACAAGGCCACATCAGAAGCCTACAATCGGACAGTAGGAACTGATGAACTGTGAGCAGCTGAATTCCTTCCTCTACCTGTAGTCCTATGTGACAACGACTCAACGCTTGAGAAAGGAAGAGTCTTCTCCTGCCCGAGGCTCTCCGCCTTTGTCACGTGTAGCTTGGACGTGATGGGTATTGCGAGCCGACAGCCTTTGTGCCGCTTTGCACCCTTCGCATTCCTTGGGCCTTCCACCCGATTCCGACTTCATCTCCACTTGAAGGGTTGATCAGTTGTACGAAGCAGTTCCAACATTTTGAAATTCTATAGCACCTGTCTGGCAAGCAAATTATCGGGGATTGGGATCCTTTCAGAGGTGGTTGGTCTTTTCTCGAGAGCTTGATATCTCACGGCCGGGTCCTGTCGCAGCTATCGAGGGGTAGGTTGTCACAAAAGCTGTGCCCGTGCTCGTGTCCGTCACAGAACTGTACGCTATATTATATCAAAGCCTATGTATCCACCGTCAGCGGACTCCTGAATGGTCTTCAGGTATAGCGGTAGACCTCCGGCATAGATCAGGGCCTCTCTTCGCTTCCCAGGAACGTTAGCACCTGCTAGAGTCAGCAGAGTAATCTCGATTCACGACATGCACGTCAAATGAGGAACCAGCCACAACTCCGTGGTTCGAAGCTCGTCACCGTCACCGTCTCCCGTAAAGACAATATTCTTCGATAACCTCTTCTCTCCCATTGAAATAGAGCTTTGTCTTTTGTGAGTGGAGACACTTACCGGTGTACCAAGAGTCAATTTTGTCCCGTAGGCTCCGTGCATGTAGCCGGACGACCGTTTCCTTCCAATCAAGCTCCGCATCCCGCTGCGGGTTGATCCTTGTTTGCCCAGCGCACCGCATCCGCTTCATCACCTCGACGATCCAGTCGCCTTGCGGCTGTATTAGGCTGGGTCCGTTGCTATATGCGGCAGGCGACTGCGGACCGTATGTGAAGAAGAGATTGGGCATATCGTTCACGCTTAGACCGAGGTAAGTGTAGACACCCGTCTCCCACTTGTTCCTCAGGGTCTTGCCGTTGAGGCCGGTGATGTTGATGTCATTATAACCGCCTGTGATTGGATGAAAGCCCGTAGCAATAGCGAGAATGTCTAACTCGTGTAGATCGCCATCTGTCGTTACAATCCCTCTCGGCGTAACATGAGAGACAGAAGTCTCCTGCAAGTCGACGAGCTTGACGTGCTGCTTGTCCATTTTTTCGTAATCTAGAGTCAGTGTTAGTATAGCCCATACCTCCGACACTGCTGCACAGTAGTAAACGTACAGTCTTGTTCCAAGCTCGGACGCTTGGCAAATAATGGATGCGGAGGCGTCAGAGGTGCCATAATGTCACGCTTCGCTGGATCGTTGATCCGAGCGCGAGTCTTGCGAGCCCAAAAGTCGTAGACCACGCGGTTGGCCTCCTCGTTTTCTAATGTGTCTTCAAATGTAAACATCAGCCGAAACCCGCCGAGGCGATAATGTTCTTCCATGGCCATCTCTCGCGCCTCGAACCCCAGATCGAAGGTGTTCTTGCCTGTGCCTTCGTAAAGAAAGCCGCCGGCATTGAGATAGCGTGCTTTCCCAAGGAGATTGCCCAAGAGTTTCGAGTCTTCGCTCGCCTGTGCTGGACTTAGAGGTGCTTGACTCATTGGTAGACACATGTTGGGCGTCCGAATGAAGACCTTAAGCTCTGCGGCTTCTGGTGCTGTCGCCTGAGCAATTTGAATCGCGGTAGCACCGTTGCCAATAACCCCGACCCTCTTGCCGCGAACGTCAATCGCATCGGCATGCCAGAAGGAACTGTGACACATGTAACCTGCGAATGAATCGAGACCCGGCCAGTCTGGAAAGAGCCTCTTTGCTGAAAATCCGAGACAGCAATGGAAAAAGCTCGAAGTAATGTGAGAGCCATCATCGCAGTCGACCAACCACTTATGCTCCGTGTCATTCCACGTAGCTGCAGTGACTGTCGTGTTGTAAAGAATATCTTTGCTGAGACCAAGGGTGTTGTTCACGTGGCGGAAATAATTCTGCAGCTCTGCTGAGCTAGGGTATTGTTCGCTCCATGTCCATGTACTGTAAACTTCAGGAATGTCTTTCGGGATCAGATGTCAGATAATCAGAACATGTTTGTGGGTAAATTATTTTCGCTCAGCTTACGCACCAAAAGCATAGATCGGGTATTGACTGTCAACTCTCGCACCTGGATAGTGGTTCCTTTTCGGAGATGAAGAGTGTCAGCATACTACAAGGACCTATTGTAGTGCAATAGCAAACGATGAAGTGCAGGATGTCTTTTCTTCGTCACCTACCAGTGCCAGACACCGCCCAGTTCACTTCCAGCTTCGACGATCTTAACTTTGAACCCCTCTTTACGGAGTCGATACAGGAGGTAGCATCCCGCGAAGCCTGCACCGACAACTACAGCATCCAAATCGAGGTTCCTGGGTGTATTTTGGTTTCCTTGCTTCATGTACATGCTAACAAGACCTTCATGGTCATTGGCGTATTCTTCAGCAACGTGTGTTTTGCCAATCGATCTTTGCATGGTTGAAAGGTCTGTCTGTTTCTTTGTTGTCGAGAAAGTCAGGCAAGAGGAAAGAGCGCAACTCTGAAAAAAATATGGGCAAAACCTACAGAGAATCTTGCAATCCCGTGCTGCCCAAGGTAGGCAGAATCCATTGGTGAACCCTGAAGGCATTCAAGCACTGCTGTCGGTAAGGAGATATCAGAGCGTCCAGTTAAATTTTTTGCGGCACTTTCGCTTCCTTTCGCGACTCTCTTTCCTGAGATCAGATCTTCCTGGAATATCACATGCTAACATTCTTGTCGTTGTACAATTCCCCAAACGACTATTGCATGCTGTGCAAGAGCTGTGTGATGCGTCGAAAGAGCGCTAGCACCAACTGGAATTACCGTCGATGTACTCCGTACGGGTGGATGGTTGTGAATGGAGAGGCTGAGGAGAAAGAATCCAGGCGCACCCGCGCACGGCACCCATCTTGGCTTAGTTCACGAGCATACGGTAAGCGTGGCTCACAAACAAAGCGAGAAAAGAGAGAACAATTTGAGGCTCGGGCGAAAACATCCGCAAAAAGTCCGGGGTTCAGGGTTCAATTGATGCAGGGACTGCAGAAGAAATCACATCCGTGATATTAGTAGTCAGCACTTCTGGTCCGAGCAAGAACAGGGATAATTTCCAACGGCGGCGTAATTTTCGGGAGCACCGCAAGCCTCGCGTACTCAGCCATGTCATATTCTTGCGCACTGACCTTGAGATTGGTTTCGGGGTAATTAATGTTTGCAGCGAAGTTGTCTTTACTAGCTTAACAGTCGAAAGATGAGATGATTGCCATCCCCAGCATGATTCTTTATATTTGGTGGGTATTCCACCGATGTTCTAAACGCAGCCAGAGTAACTCAAGTTGGTTACATGTCTCTGTCATTTCATTGTTTATCTTTCGGTTCTAGCGGTGTGGGTCGGGGTCAAGTGGGACGTTGTTCAAGGGTGGCGTTTCTCCCGCCCGAAATCGAACAGCACTCTGGTCGGGCAATGCTGAGGCCATCAGAACATCTGCCTAGGCCTCAGGATACGAGATGCATGTGGCCACGACTCTTGTGGCCACGTCGCCATTGGGTTTCTACTACCTAATGTACGTTAGCCTGGTATAGCTGTCCAATTTGCGAGCTTACTCGGGCTCTGATCTCGGCCTGGTTGTCCAATGCGAAGTGAAGATGGCTTGCAGGTGATCATAGTTGGCGTACGGGGTTTTTGAAGCACAATCCAAGTTTTACCCTCACTGTTAACAATCGTCACAGGAAGTGATGCGACTTTTGGGTCACTAATCACCCGAACGGCGAGCTGATTGATTGTCATTTGATACTGAAGACCGCTGACGAATACCCTTCTTTCCGGAGGATTTGGCAGTCACACAGCTCATTGCCGCATTCGCCATGTAGAGTTCATTTTTGCATCCGATTGTGTGTTCTACTTCCAAAGTCCACACAGCCCACTCTCAGACGGTCCTAGAACGGGATCGTTCTCCGGCTTCGGAACACTCCATACCTTCTCAAACTCCCCACTGTGATCGCCGCCTACGGCGAAATCCCAGACCCCGTGTTGCGGATAAGCACCCATCATGGTGAAGCCTGATATCTCGATGTCTTTTAGTGCTTGGTTGACGTCCTCGGCATCGATTCGGTGACCATCCCCAGGCGTGAGCAGTTTCAACTCAGCGGAAGGGACAGTATCGAAGGTCTTATGGGCCATACCAGCTGGTATGATGAAGACGTCGCCTGCTTCTGCGTGCAATTCAACACCACCGTCTTCTTTGGCGGAGCCATGGGTACTGGCATCGAGATCAGAGCTTGTATCCGCTACACCGAAGCGAATGGTTGCTGAGCCCGAGAGCACAGCCATGCATTCATGGGTTTTGGAGTGATAGTGAGACGTTTGAGTAGGACCGTAGCGCCAAATCCACTGGATTTGCCATCCATTTCCTGAGAAAAGGTCTTGAATTTTGGCTGCATCACATTCCGCTTTGTCTGCGAGGAGGCGAGGGTAGTGCAACAATGGATAAGGTGAATTGGGCATGAGCGAGGTAGGTGAGAGGTAGTACTTCTTAACCTCGACCATTTTTCAATTGCTGTTTGCTGGAATCTCTGCCCCCCGGCCGCTGAAAATTGGCAGTTAGTGGTAGATAAAGGGAGACAGTTGAGACGTGTAAGTTCAGCCGTTGATTGTTCGTACGGAAGCGTAATGAACCTTTCCGTTTGCTGAAGCAGCTAGGCTCGCTCCCCTGCTATCTGCCGAGTCTGATGTTCTTCACATTGAGAAGCAGCCGACACGTCAGCAGCAGAAAGAACGGCCGGCTGGAAAGATTTAATCCTGACCGGTGTAGCCTGCAGGCATCGGGGCAAGTTGCGGAGGCAGTGAGGCGTAGCGGGGCAAACCTGGTAAGGAGTGTCTCTTTTATGTCAAGGAGACAGGGATGCAAGGTTGCTAACCCTCACCGGCCACCAATTTCACCCAATGAAATCAATGTTGAGAGCCGCGCCAACAATTGTCAGTATATCGCAACTAGAGCTCTAAGAAGTCCGCTCTAAAGAGGCTGGAGCTATAAAGGAAGCATCTTGGATGAGGAGGTGGTTGGATCTGTCCGCTGCATAGTTGTTTACGCTCGAGCATTTGGAATCCAACCTAAGATATACTCATTCGCAGACGCTGTAATGGACGGAAGCAAACTTCACAAACATCCCGCAGAGGACCTCGAGTCTCTGTTGCCAGCTATCGGAACAGTCATCAATGTTTGTGGTGGGGATGAAGGCATCTCCAAGACCTTCAGAGATATATTGCATCAGAAGCTACTGTGGACAAAAGAAGAATATTGCCCGATCGGCAAGCCACAGCGTCTACTTCCGTCGCCACTGTTCTCGGATACCGAGGGACTTCGCACCATGCGTGTCATCAGCCGATTACCCACGTACTACATGACCGACTGTGAGGTGGAGCTTTTCGAAGCTCGTGGCCACGAGGTTGCCAGTTTCGTGCCTTCAAAGGCGATACTCGTTGACCTTGGATGCGGGTATGCTTACAAGACTTCCGTAACGTGATACAATCATGGTGCTAATTACTTGTAGTGATATTCGAAAGGTCAAGCCTCTCCTGGACTGCCTAGAGCACCGGAAGATGGACGTGTGGTATTTCGCTCTCGATCTTTCCAGAGAGGAGCTTGAGCGCGGCATGCATTTGCTGACACCACATTACCAGCATGTAAAATGCTACGGCCTTTGGGGGACATTTGATGACGGCTTAGCCTGGCTGAACTCTCAACCTCTTGATAACCCCAGGTTCTTCATGTCACTTGGCGCAATATTCGGTAACGACCATTTCAACGAGGCCGTCGCACGTCTGTCAACATGGAAGAATCATGCACTCCGGGGCAAAACAGATGTCATGTTGCTGACGATGGACGCAACCACCGACACAGAAGCTATATGGCAATGCTATCACGATCCTGATGGCTTGTTCGAGCAGTTCATTCGCAATGGGTACAGACATTCCAATCGAATCTTGAACCATGATTGGTATCGCGACGAAGACTGGGAGTTTTTGGGCGTCATGCAGGAGGAGCCACTGATGCACCGATTTGTCATCCGAGCAATCAGGGATGTCGCATGCCCTCCATTGAATTTGGAGCTGCCTGCCGGCACAGAAATCGATTGCTATGAGGGTTTCAAATATTCTCCTGACTTTATGAGAAGACAGTTTGCAGAATCCGGTTTCCACGAGGTAGCATGCTGGAAAGCTCCTCGAGCACAGATTTGTGAGCCAACAGATCATATGCGCATTGAGTTTCGAACTAATGTCCGCGGCTTCGGCCGTTCACCTAGATCAATATCTTCTTGTCCCCAGTGACGCGCAGAAGGCCCTGCCCGTTGCGGATTCACGTTTCGGCTGGCAAGGCTGACTAAGGTCAGGTGATTATCAGATGAGGGAACATGGGATGCATGGAGCAGCATTGCATGAGAGTAGCAAGGCATGGAGCAGAATTGCATGAGAGCTGCAATGCACTGGCGCAGCATTGCAACCACTATCACTGCTTTGAAAAGAGAGGTTGAGGCATATAGCAGTGCCTGGGGCGCCCATCTTCCATCAATCTTCGCAGTCGACTTCATGGTCATACTGATCCCTGCCTTTCAGATACCCTGATGCAAGTTCCTACCCTCTCTACTAACCCCAGCATTGTGCAACTTTTTGTCCAAGTTATCACTAAATCTGGTAAGACCCGAGCTCACCCGAGCTCAGGTTCTTTGACACCACACTGATGGTCTTCGGCAGCCCTTTGAGGTCTTATCCCAGCCCCTGTTGTTGGCTTGCGGCAGTCAGATTCGGTCAACACCACGACCTCGCTGTCGCCACCTATGCAAAACCTCAGCCTTGTGGAGCCTTGTGTTGGTCCTATCCACTCCTTTGCCAAAGAATAAATGCGCATTTGCTGGCTTGCAGGTACCGATTTTGCTGGAACTAACTACCGTCTTACACGACATGCCTTGGTAAGCAGCGGGTGAAGCGTTGCCCAGTCCGTTCTCTCAGTAAACTCTCAGATCTTGTCCATCTATGAGTCTCCTGAATTCCTTGAAAGCTTGCACGGTAAGGTGGATCTTTCCCCAGTCCGTCCTCTTTGGCTGCGAGCTTGTCTTCGCCATCACAACGTCATTCTTACAATCAACCAGTAGAAGCTGCCCATTTGTCCCGGAGGCCATCAAGACTTGACTGCTTCGGCCCACAATCCAATACGAACGGACCGAATCAGGAACTCAGCATCTCCTGTGAGCCGGACTGGAGATGGTGGTGAAAGGAGCGGTACTTCGGCTGAACAAATCTCGCTCTTGATAACTGGCACGAACCAAGAAATTGTAATAATCCCGCATCGACTCTGCTCAGCGCAGCACACAGGAGAGGAGGTGACCACTGTCTCAATCTGGAAATGAACTGTGGACCAATCAAAACCGTCGACGTCATTTGGTTGGTCAGCTTTCTGGCAGGCTTCGATAATGGAGCATCCAAAGAGTGGAAGGACAATGACATCTCTTCAAAAGCTTCCACTCTGGGATGTACTGACTGCCATTCTCATGCCAGGAACCTCGAATTCATCGCTGTTAAGCTCCCGTTATGTCATCACTCCTGCAGCAGCACCACGGTAACAGGACACCAAGCTCTGAATTGGGAAACCGTGTGCCCTTGTGGAATATACGCGCCCGCTGAGATAATGTGGAAAGCGAAGGAACTGCTCTGTCAAACACGAAGTCAAACAGATACCTAAGGTCCAAGTCGTGTAAGTATATAATAGAGCCATTCTCGTGCATCAAGAACTGTTTGTCCATCATCGCAAGCGAAAGCCAGCAAGATACCAAAGCAATTCCCCCAGCACAGTTGTTGTTCTCATCCTCAATCAAGCCAACACCGCATTCACAAAGCCATCATGTCCTTCGCCAATACCGTTCTGGTGACTGGAAGCAAATCTGGCATAGGCCGAGGGTTGCTTTCCACATACGCCGCCCGGCCCAACACACTAGCCATTGCCGCCATCCGAGATGGGCCTGATTCGGGGACTGCCAAAGCCCTGACCTCCTTACCTGTTGGTCCTGGCAGTAAGATTGTGGTCGCCAAATACGACGCCTCATCAACGACAGCGGCGGTTGACCTTGTCAAGTACCTCGAGTCAGCTCACAACGTCAATGCCCTCGATGTCGTGGTGGCCAACGCTGGCATATTGAAACACTTCGGTCCTGCTAAAGAAGCTGCTGCGGAGACCATCATGGAGCACTTGCAGGTCAACACTTTGGCGCCAATATTGCTCTACCAGGCCACCCAAGAATTGTTGAATGCCTCGAAGCAGTCGCCAAAGTTCTTTATCATCTCCTCCAGTATCGGCAGTAACGGTCTTCAAGACAACTATCCCTTGCCAATGATCGCGTATGGCATGTCAAAGGCCGCTGTGAACTGGGCAGTCAGCCGCATTCACCGTGAGGAGGATCGGATTGCTGTTGTCGCCATGCAGCCCGGTTGGGTTCAGACAGGTACGTGTGTTGTACAACCCTTTCCTTCCCCCCCACAACAACCATGCTGACCATGGATTGAAATAGCCATGGGTAATACCGCCGCCGGCTTCGCAGGTATGAAGGCAGAAGAGGTTCCAGTCAAGTTGGAGGATTCTGTCAATGGTTTAATATCAGTATTCGACAAAGCCGATAAGGCCGCATACAGCGGAAAGTTCTGGGATTACACTGGAGTTCAGCTGCCTTGGTGACCTCGGACTGTCAAATAAACAAGATAGAAGCCTGCGATAACAAGATAAATTGATTTCCTTAAGCTCGCACACTCATTGTTGTTTCCGGAACCATAGTACTTGTAGTTGCTTCGATCAATCGCGGAGGGTGAGCGATCCAATACCAGCTCATGGAAGGGAGCAGATACCCGTTCGTCAAGGAGCTGATACTTCTCTTATTTCTCTCCCGCGAGCGGGAAGTTACATGGCTTGAGAGCAGGAGAAGGCCACCTGAAGAGCCGGTGGCTAATGCTCAAACGCGTATTCGCGTAAGGAGACGGGTTGAGGGGTACGAGAATACGGGCGTATAGGGACATTTTATTCTCCTATCTGGTGCCATCTTGCAACCCCCTCTAACCGAATGTTTGTCGTCATTCTTGCCCCCCAGCCACAATTAACGCGCACCAAGCCTGCCTCTAGACGCGGGGCTTCAGCTCCGTACACCAAACCGCTTTGATCATTAGAAAGCCCATAGCCGAGCTCCCCTATTCATCAATCAGAAGGGGTGTGGAGTTTGGAGGCAACACAGCCACCATTGTCATGTCGGAGCAAAGAAACCTTCTCGGTGCCGCTCGGAGCAAGACTGGTAATTGCAGCCAATTGAGGTACCCAAAGCCGACAGCAATTTGCTCTCTCATCTCTTGTTTCAGCATAAAATGCTATGCTGCCTAGATGGCCGTGGGCAGCCTTAATGTCGGATTCCAGGCCTCAGGCGTGGTTTATGTAAACGCCCCATCCCAACGAGTGATGAGAAAAAACAAAAAGCTCTTCTAAATCATACCACCATCTGTGCGCGTCATTACCGACAAATCTAGCGAAAGGAACAAGATGGTTTATAAAGGGCCCAGCAAAGGATGTCACTCGTGTCGGAAACGACGTGTCAAGGTACATCTGAGATTCGTCGGGCGCTTGCTCAACACCATACTGATTGATCTAGTGCGATGAGAAACGGCCTCACTGCGGCAATTGCGTCAAGAGAAAACAGCAATGCCCGGGTTATCGGGACTTCTTCGACGCTGTCCATAAAGACGAGACTTTCCTCACCTCCCATAAAAGCGCCCCGAAACGACAGAAGAAGGTACACAGTCCCGCCAGCGATTCTTCGGACAGCTCTCTCAGTCTCCTCAGCGCACCATCGCCGAATTATGTCGACCGTGCCCTTGACATTGCGCTCTTCACCACACCGTCTCGGAATATCGAGATGGAATCATTGGGTTACTTCTTTACCAACTATGTCAACATCCCCCGGGATCCGAGTACCAACATCTTCATCGAACACATCCTTCCCATCTACCTCAACACAGCGCCCAACTCCGCGTTGGCTGAAGCTATCAATGCCGTCGCCATCAACATCACGTCAATGTGGATGTCCCGATATGTGGACTCTTATCGTGCCCGGGAAGCATACGCAAAGGCCGTGACTATCCTCAAGTCCTTGCTGCAAGATCCCGTCGAATCCAAAACGGATGAGACCCTCGCTACTGTGTTCATGCTGGACTTTTATGACTCCCTCAATCGACGCTTCGTACACTTCGTCGACACCGGTACCCATCAGCAAGGTGCGGTGGCCTTGCTCAAGCACAGGGGGAGAGATGGCTTCAAGACTCCGCTGTCTCAACGGCTCTTCAATGCTATGAGAAGCCGTCACATCAATTATTCATTGCAGTTCGGGAAAAGGGTGGCGCTGGATCCAGAACTCCTAACGTGCGATACTGCAGTTCTCCCTTCTGCAAAGCTGGACCTTTTGAACGTGGAGCTCGCAGATTTGCTTGTGTTGGCTCGAGACGGTCCCGAACTCGCCGGCCTCAGCTTAGCCGACTTCTACCGGGTCATTTTGGACAGGGCGCTTGCCCTCGAGAAGAGACTGCAAGCTTGGATGGATGCCCTTCCCAAATCATGGCGACCGGTATCGATCCCAGCGTCCGAACTCCATCCCTCCATACGTGACGCTGGGGTTTACGAAGGCATGTGCGACGTATATTCCTCGCTCGCAGTCTCTCATGTCAATAATGCTGCTCGGAGCTCGCAGATTGGAACAATCCGTCTGATAACAGTCTGCGCGAATGGCCTGAAGGACCTCGGTCTTGCCGTTGACCCCGAGGTCGAGCCATATATTGACCGGCAGATTCAAGAGCTTGTCGACCGGTTCTGCGCCTCGGTGCCGTTCCATCTAGGCAACAGAACAAGGCCCGCATTCCCCGATGAGCACAGAGAATACCCTCAGATTCCCGCGGAGCTTCGGCGGCTGGCGAATTACGTTGACCCGTTCGGAAACGAGGTCGAGATGACTATGGAAGACCATGTGCGCGCCGCCGCGGCTATAGGTGGCTGGTTCATCATGGTGCCTCTCGCAGGGTTTCTCAGGGCTCGAGCCATGGGAATATCGAAGACACCGCCGGGGCCACTGGTGGGAAAACTCAGAAAGGGTCAGGCTGCCTGGGTCCGTGGCCAAATGGAACGGATCCAGAAGATCTATTTGTTTCCGACCAACGGGAGCCCGACTGAGCATGACTGGAAGTGTATCCTCAAGCAGTTCTGCGATGCTCATGGTACTGGCCATAATTTGTTTCAACCGTTGTCTTTCAATCAGAGAATGTGGACGACTTGAGGGGCACGGCATAAATTTTCACGCTTTGGGGCTCTCGAACGGCGGGAAAGACGGAGGTTTGCCATGTGAACTCTCTGGGTTCGGAAGGCATGGCATTATTAAATTCTCACCACGTTAATGCGAGATGAAGCACGACATGTTTTTCGTACTGTAGGGCTACAACATTCATGGATGAATGCCTACGGCTGGCGCTAATGGCAGCGAGCACGAGGATAGACCGTAAGTGTACAGTGTCTTCTTCGTATTCCTGAGCTGAAGCGCACTTCGGACGGCTTGATCATTGCCTTATTCTCGTATGCGTAGTTTGGCTCGTTGTCTGACACCGATTTAACGCCTCCCTTGCCCTCTTCTCACATCTTATTGGCGTGCTGCATCCCCTCTTTACACCCATTCCTCCCGTAAGGTTATGGGACCCGGAGCCGAAGGAAGAATAAGCCTGGAAATAAAAGTGCTGACATACATTTGCTGGGAAATGGAGGTAGGGGCCTGTTTTCTGCTTTCGGGCCTCCTGTCTCCCGTTTTGGGAAGACCATTCGAGCCATGTGGGTTGGTCCTGGAGCGAAGGCGGGCTAAGCGAGGCTCCGGCGGTGCGGGTATGCATGCGAGGTTGCATAAGTGAGGCCTTGGTTCCCTCCTTTTCAACCCGAAGGCTTTTCTTGAATGACAGAATAATATCATTGCGCGGGCTTCTTAGGTGGTGGTGGTTGCGTGGATGGATGGTGCTTTTCCATCCATGGCTGCTTTGACCGTGGTAGGCGATGATAATGTACTCGTACTCGATACCAAGAACCAACAAGCGATAGAGCGTCTGATTGATAACCACTAAGCAAGCGTCCTGTGAGTAGAATTTCTCTGCAGCCGAGGAAGACGTGCCAGTCTCGGGGTCTTGGCAGTGTCGCCCATCAACACCTGAAAGCCTCGGATCGCATCTCTTCCTGACTTTTCGTCCTTCTTCACCACTACCCACACATCTCAGTCCAAACTTCTCCTTCATCTATCCATTGGATCATCGGAGGGCCCGGTCTTTTACTATCACTAGACTGGCGTACATGACAACGAGATGTTCGTGCTCTGTGGTGCTTCATTCCAGCATCTGACGATCCCTAAGCCGATGTACTGTTCTTTACATCGTCTAGACTTTCCATCAGTGGTTCTTCTGGATATTACCATCATTCATCTCAATAGCACTGAATTCTGAATCTCCTCAGTCACCATCACGCCCAGCGACCTGAATTAATCAAATGAAATGTGCTAGCAGGCAATGTAGAGCTTGGTTATCTTGAACACCAATTACTCAGACATTTATCTCGATACTCTGCTCTCGCTAATCCAATCGTAACAGACAAATATTTGGCGGCATGCGAGAACCAGCCATTTGACGACCACTTACTGGCCCAGATACGCATTGACTATGCGCAGAAAAATAAAACAGAGCCTCCCAGAGTCTTTCCTGTAACTGTTTCCTTTCCACAGGCCTCTCCGTATACCGTCGAAGAAGACCGAGAGGGGACACACAAAAGCATCTGAGCCGTGCTAATACAAGCTGACGGTCTTCATGAAACATTGCGCTGAAGAGGCTGGATTGCCGTTCTAGCTTCTTTGGTACATCCAAGAAGACCAAGAAGCGCCTGAAAACCGGCCCAAAAGCATAATACACGCTGAAGACAGTCTACCTAATCCGTCATAGGGAAGAATACTGGAACCAAGCACGAATCGCCGAGAGTGGCACGAGCTGCTCCCCTCTCATCCACAAATCAGACCCACTACAAGATATTCCTCTTTGCTCGACGCGAATTGAGACTCGAGGCATACAACAGTTTATCCCACCCAATTATCACCGTTAGATGGACGTCCCTGGATCGAGATACGCGAGCTTATAACCGGATATCAGCAGGAAACATTTCCCGGTCTCGTGGCACATCAGGCTTGAGTGTTGACTCAAAATCTCCATCCCAATACGGTCAGACTTCTTCAGCCGCCACGAAGAAGAGAAGAGACAATCTGCGTCTGTTTCGCCCTGGATACGAGGCGGAAACTTGCGCCTGCCTTTCAAAGATGATGGCTCTAACAGTGTCATGGTTCACTGACTCGCTGAACTTTATTCAACAGGTTGGACCTCACACCCTCGTTCCAGACCCTGCTCTACACAGCCTATTGCTAGTCTCGCTCATGTGGCGGGTCTCGTCTGACGATCAGACGATGTGTGTACCTGAGAGTTGGTCTGGATTTCCGAGAAACTTTCGAGTCCCCAATCAAATCTCGAAACATCCCTTTATTGACTCGGAGTCCGCGCAGAGTGACCGCTGCCTCGACCTTTGGGAAGTCCACTTTCGTGACTGGTCCAGGACCGGCGTCTCCCCCACAAACTCAAAGGCTTCCCCATGATCTCTCCACGTTTTCTGAACCCGCCGTTAAGAGGATGGCTCTGTTATCCAGCTCTGACTCTCGAACATCTCTGTGCAATCTCAGCGTGCGGCGGAGAAAATCGCAGGGGCATCCCAGGTTGAGACGTGCCCAAGAAACTGTCAAAAATTTCATCCTTCTCCATTGATTTCGGCGTTCGCAGAAGCAGCGGCTGGCCTGTGTGCAATTACAACCAGCATAAGCACTCTGTGGCCGTCGACTCAGCGAACTCGACCCGTGAACTCGACCCAGCTCGTATTCAGGGGTGGATCTCATTCCCCAAGCTGCGGAGAAACTTTACTCAACTGTGGGAAAATTCCTATCAGACAACCAAATACAAGGAACCTCGCTACGCTAGTATCCTGCTTAAGATCTGGGCAATCTGGGCAAGGGGAAAGCCAACTGCAAGAGGATAACCGCGGTGCTCGCTTCGGTTGGGAACAGGTGGCGATCGGCATATTGAACAAAATACATTCGAATGGACTGATGGTTGTTCAGAGGTACTAAAGGTCAGGGTGGTTCCTGGCTGCTCTTGTTTGGTTCTCTCCCAGACAGTTGTCTTTGTCCTGACAAGCCTCCCTCCTTGCTTGGATTCTTTCTTCGTGCAAGACCACATTGCCCACCATGGCTTTTGGCACCGAACGTCACTGGAGCGCATGGAATTTCTTCATCTGCTTCATGGTCTCCCTGGGCCAGATCGCTTTTGGATACCCTGCTTCCATCATCGGTGTTACACTTGCCCAACCATCTTTTCTGGTTTACATGGGCCTGCTTGATGTCACACAGGACCCCCCAGTCATGACTCCAGGTAAGGCGACCATGCTTGCAGAGCCTCACCCGGCCGAACTGACGAACAAACAGGGGCGGATCAGAAGATTGGTGCAATGTCAGGGGTAGGTTGACCCTTCGTGAACACAAATATGTGTCAATTTTGTGAGAAGCATCGAGTCACCTGCGTAGACAGCACCCAGCCATAAAAGGCTATATAAAGCTATGGCCGTTTGGCAGTCTACCTGGTAAACCAGAGGCAGTCTGATATCAACAAAACTTGCCCGACTCCGCCTAGCTGTCACAACTTCCATTAATCACCACGATGAACCTTCCCTTTGCACGATCTGGCTGACAACTTTCTAGGTATTCCAAGCTGGCGCCGCCATTAATGTTTTCATCGCCGGTTATGTATCAGACAAGTACGTTTCGGCCCTTTCTAATTTCCTAATTCGGTACCTGGGTTGCTGACGACCGTCGCAGATGGGGACGTAAGGCAGGATTCCACTGGTGTGGCTTTTTGTCCCTGCTCGGCGGTGCACTGCTTTGCGGTAGCAGAAATGCCACCATGTTTATTGTCGCCCGCCTCTTTGCGGGGGCTGGGAGCTGGGGTTACCTAGCAGTCAGTAAGTGTTCGCCCCTGTTCCGTCCTCGTGTTTCCTGCTGATCAGACCAAGCGCCATATTACTCTGCAGAGTTGGCACCGCCGGGCCTGCGTGGCCTGATGGTGGGCATGAACGGTGTCAACATCGCATTGGGCTATGCTCTTGCCAGCTATATGGGTCTCGCCTTTTATTATGTGGATGATCCACAAACGCAATGGCGAGCACCATTGGGAATTGCACTGATTTGGCCAGTGATGATGGTCCTCGTCTGCCTCGTCATCCCAGAATCCCCACGTTATCTCCTCATGAAGGGGAAGATTGATGAGGCAAGAGACGTTGTGTTCAAGCTGCATGCATCGAAGAATGACCCTGATCAAGAATTTGCTCGCGGGGAATTCTACCAGATGTCAAAGCAAGCCGAGTTGGATCGGACTATGGAACCGGGCTGGGTCAGTAACAAATTGCTTTCCTTCGGTAGAAAGGCACTGACAATGACAGCTTGAAATGATTCGTCGACCCAGCTACCGCAAGCGCACGATTATGGCCATGGGATTCGCATTCATTGGACAGTCGACAGGCGTCTTGGTTTTGAACAACTACGGTATGCTCGTGTTTGAGACCTGCCGGATAGCAAATGCTGATAAGTGCAGGTCCAACCATCTACGCCGCCCTAGGCTACGATACCCTGTATCAATTGATCTTCCAGTGTGGCTGGATTACTGTCGGAATTGTTGGCAACTTGGTGGGAGCTCTCATCATGGACTGGACAGGTCGCAAGCCTCTGCTTGTTATGGGTGTCGCTGGCTGCTGCGTGTCCCTCATTCTCGAGGCTGCAATGGTTAGCTCGTTCGCCGAAGAAGCGACCAACAAGGCCGGGCTTCGAATGGGCGTTGCGGCTGCGTACCTGTTCTTGGCCGTATACAGCATCGGCATCGACGTGGCTGGCGTCGTCTTCTATTCGGAACTCTTCCCCAACCATCTGAGAGCGAAGGGCTTGTCTCTGAGTATTTGCGTCATTGCACTGACCGACTTGGTCTATCTACAAGTTGCAGCTACGGTAAGTGCTTTCCCCCGTATCTTTAAATCAGTGACTGACTTGAGCTTTGTAGGCTTTTAACAATATCGGCTGGAAGTTCTATCTGGTCTTCATCATCATTTCCGGCCTGGGCGCGTTCTTTGCCTACTTCTATCTCCCTGAAACGAAGAACATCCCGCTCGAAGAGATGGCGAAACTGTTCGGAGATGAAGTCGCCGTCTACGCCGAAGACCTCCACGTCGATCATCGCACGCACGAGCTCATCGTTGATGAACACGGTAATCACGGTCTGCACAAAATTGCCACTGAAGCGGGTGTCCCACGACCATCCACAGGTGGAGACGTGGAAAAGCACGGAGCCGTCCACAGGGATACCGTTGAGCACGTTGACTCTGAGCAGAGTGAAAAGGAATAGGTACAGTGGCTGAAGGGTTCGTGGACTTTGGAGAGCAGCCGGTCTTGCCAGATAGTTGGCTGTCCATAGTCGGGACGTGGTACGAAGGACAATGATAGTGCCGCGCAGGGTGGTCTGTAATGTACGTGTTACGCTGGCCTCGTTGGAGACATTATCTGTAGAGCCAATTCTCTTAGGCACTTTACCCTCCGTAACTCGGTGCTCAATATTTGGGGCCCGAAGTTCGTCACGTGCTGCTCCTCTCACGCTGCGGGCATGTGCACTGATCTTCCGCTCCCAACTTTTTTTTGCTTGCCGGTAAGGTCCAAGACGACTTTTCACCCGAACATCCAGCAGCACTTCGATCATAATGTCGTGGTTCACGTCATGGTTCACGTCGCCAAAGACCTCAGTGCCTCCTGCAGCCAGTCAGCCTCCAGCCACCGAGAAACGCGTCCTCGAGGAGCCCGTGAAACCGGTCGAGCCCACCATTGAAGCAGTCAAACCCGCTGCACCGCCCCAGCCCGCGCAGGCCGAGCGCTTGAACAGAAACAAACTCATTTTCGGAGCTGGCGCCGCATTCTTCGCCTTCTCCCTCCTCGTCACCCGCAGAAGCCTTGCGCGGAAACGACTGGCCTCCAACCCAGCCTTCTACGCCAATGCGCCGGGACACCAGGCAGAGCAGGCGAAAAAAGTGAATGGTACCATGGAGGCTGTCGAAGCATTGAACATTGCGACGATCAATGTGCTGTCTCTGTCGATGATGGTCACGGGTGGAGCGCTATGGTACCTCGATATCAACAGTTTGGCAGAGGCGCGGCGGAAATTAAGAGGTGGGCTGGGCGTTGACGGGACGGGCAAGTCGGAGAAGGAAGCAGAGGAGGAGTTTGAGGAGTGGATGGCGACAGTGTTGGCACGGAAGGAAGCGAAAGGACCGCGACCTTCGCAGGCGAATGAACGGGGTCAAGAGAGGTGATTAGCACCCTAAGAAGGAGGCATACCGATGTATCTCGACGACAGAGGAGCCTGTGAGGGTTGAAACAAACCTGCGGATAACGAGGGAAAGGATGTTGAGTCGCCCCTGACATCTTCGCCGGCACCACCTCGACACACCTATCGCTGGCGCCAGGAGACAGGAAAGGCAGAGACCGAACCAAGACCTTTCCCAAGACCCATTCAGAGCACAATTGCTCTGCTCAAAAGGGTACCCGAGCAGAAATACCCATGTCACAATGTGCGATCAACAACTACCCCTTCGCGGCGGTCACATTCCCCAGCAAGCGAAATGGCGACCTCGACAACTGTACAATCATCCACCTTTGATTCGACGCATGTCTTTGCAGATCCCCAAAAGTATTCAACAATATTCCTTAAATTACATTATCTTTGTCTCCTAAGTCGAGGCAAAGTGGGCTGTATATAGACCTGATCTGCCGGTCGGGAAATAAATGAATCCACGTCAACTCCAACGCAAGCTCTAGGGCCATCAAGACCACTAGCTAGGTAATGAGGTGCATCGGCCAAGTTATCGGAAGAGGCCCCCCTTCCCCATATTTGATGGGTTGGGGTGTAAATATGGCTATTGTAGCTGGGGTAGTTGTTGATCACGAAGCAACGCCTCTGGAAGAATGACGGCGAGAACTCAATGTCCCAATCTTCGGCACGCTCCCTCGTGGTGGGGATTTTGCGGGGGAAATGCAACTGCTTCGGTAATCGAAAAGACACCGACAGACTGGCGAGCGGGATCGAGGCCCGTTTGGATGGACCAAAGGGCCCCCGAGCCTGAATTCCCTCGTCGGCGTCATCGATGCAGGTGACAGATCTCGCGGTCCAAAGTCTATTTCTCTCACTTCATGAACCCATGCACTCCCCCTCCGCTTTCATGTCCTGCTATTTCACTCAGCCGAGTCGTCCTAGACACAGGAACAGATGCCTCCCCCTCGCGGAGACGATGAGGAACGGCCTCTCCTTCGTCCCGACGGGAACGTCGACAGCGCCAGCAGCCAACACAGCCACGAGACGCAACAGATCCAGTTCGGCCCGGACGACGAAGAGAACCCCAAGGCCTGGGATGGCCGCAAGAAGATCCTCAACGTGGGCATCATCGCGCTGATGGCCATCCTGAGCCCCCTGGCCTCGTCCATGTTCACGCCCGGCATCGCCCAGATCGCCGAGGATCTGGGCACGAACGAGCAGAGCGTCATCGCCACGACAACCGGGTTCGTTATCACCCTCGGGCTGGGCCCCTTGGTCTGGGCGCCCCTGTCCGAGGACTTTGGGCGCAGGGCGCTATACATCTGCTGCTTTGCCGTGTTCACAGTCCTCCAGGCTGCGTCGGCGTTGAGCCCCAACATCCAGACGCTCATCGCGATGAGGACGGTTTCCGGCTTCTTCGGCAGTGAGTCAGCACAAGTCACACGGGGGAGAGCGTTTTTCTGGAAAAAGCAAGGGAAAAGGACTGATGATGGCGTGTTTTGCTGCAGGTGTCGGGATAGCCAACGGAGGCGGCACCATCTCGGACATGTACGATCCCTCTGAACGGGCAGGCATCTTTGGATGGTACCTTCTCGGGCCCCTTCTAGGTGAGAGTTGTCCACAAGAAATCGCGTATGAAGCCAGCGAGATCGCCTGACAGCACGCCAGGACCGACACTTGGGCCTCTGTTTGGAGGTGTCATCGTCAGTCGCTTGGGATGGAGATGGATATACTGGGTGAGTTTTTGGAAAGATGGACAACCAACACGCTGAACGGAGGCTAATGCTTTGGTGTCATGATAGTTCCTCACCATCGTCTGTGCCATTAACACGGCAATCGGTTACTTCTTCCTCAAAGAGACCTATGCACCGGTCCTTCTAGGCCGGCGCAAAGCCGAGCTTGCCCACCCGGACTCCCAAGGACTGGGAAAGAGGACGAGGTACTACTTCGATGGCGAAGACGAGAGACCGCTCTCCAAGAAGCTCCTGGCTAGCATGAAAAGGCCGTTCGTGATTTTCGTCCAGCCAATCGTGCTGACCATGAGCATGTATCAAGCCCTGATCTTTGGCACCACGTACAGCATCTACACCAACATGCAGAGCATTTACTCTGAACCGCCCTACAATTTCAGCTCGGAGCAGATTGGCCTCTTATATCTAGGACCCGGACTAGGGTTTTTGACCTCAGTCCGCTTCCTCGTCCCCCGTATCGATACAGTCTTCAACCGGCTGACGGAGAAGCATGATGGAAAGGCACTCCCTGAGTACCGCCTGCCACTCGCCAACGTCGGCAGCATCCTGATCCCGGCGAGTCTCTTCTGGTTCGCGTGGACCGTCCAATTCCGCGTCCATTGGCTTGCGAGCATTGCGGCCACATATTTCTATGGGGTGGGTCAAGTGGTGGTCTTCAATGCCGTCCAGAACTACTATATCGATTCGTTCTCGACGTACGCCGCCTCGGCCATTGCAGGAGGGTCTGTATTTCGGAGTCTGGTGGGCGGTGTCGTGCCCCTTTTCGCGCCGCTCTTGTTTGAGAAGTTGGGCTACGGCTGGGGAATCAGCTGCTTCGGGTTTCTTGCGGTCTTGATAGCGCCGAGTCCGCTATTGTTCTATTATTTCGGCGGGCGGGTAAGGGAAAAGTTTCAGATCACATTTTGAAGAGAGCCTGGGGCCCAGCGATCTTGGTTCGAGGGCGAAATGAAGTCATCATGCAGGATGCATGGAGAACATCGACCACGAGGAACGGCTCGGAGGATTTAGGCGACGAGTGGTTGGACGAGGCCAGGCGGGAGGGGCCCAAACTTCCCGCTGGAGGGCTTCTAGGGGCCTGCTTAGGGTGTGACTAGGGTGTGCCTAGGAGGTGACTAGCCTGCTGCAACAGCCGTTGACCCCCGGCACTGGTTCGTGTTAGCGATCGGTTAGCTGGTCGCCCGCACTGTTGTTCCCCAGTCAACCCTCCAACGGGCCGCATTGTTTATCACCAGCGCCAGAGCCTTGCAACCGCGCATCACATCTTCGCGCAGCCAGTCGTTCTCGTCACCCGGGTAGTCTCCAGCAGACGAACTCACCGCCTGATCCAACGTACAACGTGGTCTGCTCTCATGCGTCCACAACCGACACCGGCGCCCTCTGCTGATGCTGGCTAAGCGAAGGATGCGGTCTTGGTTGCCTGCTGAAAGGGGCCCGGATGTGGTAGAGGCGCGTTGATTTCTGCAGGAAAATCTGCCTATCAGCGCCTTGAGCACTCGAGCTGCAACCGTGATTTGCCCAGCTAGCAAAATGCGAGTGCATGCCCCGGCATCATCCTGCTGCTGACCCTCTGTTCCATTGGATATCGGTCGACGTTGTTGTTTTGCAAATCCCCTCCTGGGCTTCGGCAGTGCGTGCGTCGAACATCCATAGAAATCCATATTTATATCGTCCTCGTGCTCGTAGTGTGCAGCAGGCGCGTCTTTTTGATGGGGAATTGAAAAAGGGCGGGCAGCCAGGTTGCATGGTCCCAGAGTGATTAAAAGGCCAACGCGGTGTCTCTGGGATTCGTTCCTGCGCCCTGCCTCACCACCTCTCTGGGAGTTCGTCCTGTGCAGTCTCACCAATCTCACTCACCCCCAGTGGGAAAAAAGGAGCAGGCACACAAAGACAGGGAAAAGAAGAATTCCCCGATTGATTGCCACCTCAATCTCTCTTCTCCCACTCCCACCCACCGCAGATAATTGGCACAGTCTCCTGTTTGGGCCATACTCCAGGATCCTGGGTGCCCGCCGGAGAGTTGACCCCGACGCCCTCGAGGGCCTTCCCTCCCGCCTTAGCGCCATCACACTTCCCACGAGTCCACCTTGTTCCTTGCCCTTGTGCCTGTCGAGTCTCGAGGGCCCAAAGTCAAATCACATCCAGAGTCAGGACCAGTCGCGGCGTTGTTTCTGCGCTTCATCTCCTGCCTGTCCTACTTTTCTTCCAGACTCTTCCTCACACCTTACCCCCATTCTCAGACACGCCAAAACTCGACCACTTCTCGAACTGTCACTCTCCTTTGATCTTGACAGCGACAATAGGGTCATCAACGATCCTGTTTCTTCACGCATCGGCGCCTCCCCGGTCTCGCCCAATCCTCGGACCCCATTCCTTGTCACTCGAACTGCCCTCTGCGCAGTCCGGCTGTTAATATGAAAAAGAAGGCCTTAGCACAGTTACGACGGACGACACAACTGTACTTGGAAAGGTAGACAAGGATTTCAGTCACCAGAGGGCTCTGCTCCCATGGAGCCGCCTCCTCCTCCGCCACCGCCGCATGGCTCAAATCCTCAAGGCGGTGGCAGGTCTGGAGGTCTCCCTAACGGCAAATACGACATTTTTGTCATCCCTCCGCATTCCTCGGGCTCGGGCTTCCTCTACCTCCCTTCGCTCCAGACACACCGCAACTCCTTCCTGGCCGGAGTCTTCTGCACAGCAGCCTCCTTCTTCATCTACTACACCGCCGTGCCCGTTGTCAAGGAATGGCTATTGAGTACCATCAATAGCGGCGGCACAGGCGTCTTCACGCTCATCTGCGGTGTTGCAGTTGTGGCTTGGGCATTTGGCAAGACCCAAAGTGAATGGCAAAGCTACCCCGGATTTAATCGCGGAGGGTCTAATGCGAGTTCAGGTGGTCCAGGCCATAGTAGCTATGGCAACACTGGATCTTATACACAATCAGGGCCTCAACCGAGCGCTCAATCCCCTCCACCCCATCCTCCAAATTCGGGAGCCAACGGTGCTCCTCCGCCTCCGCCAAATCACGGAACGAGCAGCCCTCCCCCACAGTCATCGTGGCAGAGGCCGCCACCCCAGGCCAACACCAAAGCCAACACAACTGGTGCCAAGTCGAGCTGGGAGAAGGCGCGAGAAGAGACGAGGAAAAGAGAGGAAGAACGCAAACGTGCCGAAGAGCTGAAAAAACGGAGGGAGGAATTGGAGAAGGAAAGGCAGAAACAGAAAGACGAGCTGGAGAAGGAACGGCAGAAACAGGAACAACTAGAAAAGGAGCGGCAGAAGCAGAAAGAAGATCTAGAGAAGGAGCTCCAGAAGCAGAAGGAAGAACTAGAGAGGGAGCGTCAGAGGCAGAAAGATCAACTGGAAAGGGAACGTTTGAAGCTGAGAGAAAAAGAGTTGCTGGAAAGACTTGAGCGTGAGCGCAAGGAGAAGAAAGAGCGTGAAGAAAAGGAGGCTGCTGCAAAGGCTGCCGCCGCCGCCGCCGAACAAGCGAGACAGGAGCAGGCTGGTCGAAGCCCTCCTAAACGCCCACCGATGCCGACTGCGACCACGGAACGAGACGACGACGCATACTCCTTTAGACCTTATGACCGACCCAAACGAACACACAAAGCCAATTCTGCGGCTTCGATGTACTCGGAGTCATCGTACGCCCCGTCAGAGAGCACCGCCAAAACCACACCACCTCCTTCGATGCGCGGACCGTACTCGACCAAGGACCCTGACAAGATTATCATCAAGGGCGTCTTTTCCTTCAACAATGCATTTATGCGAACCCCAATTTCCCAGTTGGTATCTGGACAAGGTAATGTCACCGACGGATTGATCTTGCGCATCACCACCGAGGGTCTATTCATCGACGACGACGTACGAGGAGTGCCGCAGCGCGAGTGGGATGTTAAGGCCTGGACGATGAAGCTGGCAGAGGTATGGTGTCCCAATTTTCTTTCCCCCAAAAACATGGATGCGTGTCCCCCTAAACGGAAGTTCTCTCTTGGTTTTGGATTGAGTGCCGACTCGAGGCGGGAATCCCCTTCCCCTTCGCAGAATGAATCGACGGATTTTGTCAGCAAGCTATTGGATACCTGCGGAGGAGCGTGCAGGAAAAGATCTCCGTCTCGATCTCAGGGCCGCCTTTCACGTTGTTCTTCATCACCCCATGCTACCGCGACCACAAGGTCAACCACTTCAACCGATACTGATTCTACAATCACACAGAGCTGCGAACTGTCCGGTCTCCACGTTCTCCGCGCGAGCATACGCGACCAAGAAGGCAAGAAGTACGTCTTTATTCTGTCTCAATCCGAAGGCTGGAAAGTTGCGGTTGGTCTTCAACGACTAAGAAGAGGTACGCAAGTCCGTGCGCTCGGCGTTGCCGGGTTGCCGATGAACGAGGCGAAGGCAATTCTGGAGAATCTGGGATTTGTCTAGAGTCTGGACGATTGATAAACCGAAGTCGGCGGGTTGCCAGTCTCCTCTTACTGGCGGACTAAGAAGATAATGGTGCTGTGAAAGGGAACCCCATTGATTTGATGAGCGTGCATGTTGTGATTTCGTCCAAAAGCTCTCTGCACAGTGTTGGATATGCTTCGGTCAATGAAGCTTCAGAGTTTTCAGCAAAGATCGATTGAGCGAGATTAGCGAGTCGAGTTCCAAATGCATCAGCGAGGGAGTTTCACACTGGGTACTGGACTGTACATTCATTCACATGCAGATATCCCCCACAAGTATCGTCGTTGGACAATGAAAGCTTTGAGACCCTGAGGATTGGTTCGGAAATCATTGGTATGAACACCCGATCTTTGATCTTTCTCGCAATGATCAAATCATCTCCCATTGTCGCCTTCTACAGACACAGACAGACCTTGTCCTGACCTCAAAGGTTGGATCTGGCCACTTTGGCCTTTCTCATGTAGGCGTTCACCGTATCCCTTGTGCTCCCCCATCGTGCTTGGACTTCAGCTTCCCCTCAGGCTCAGCTATTATATCGCTCCATCACAGACCAGCGAGCTAGCGAAATTGCTGGTTGGTACGAATACGACGGCTGCGGCTTATGACGTTGGTGGAAGCTCCAGACGGAGACAGGTTAGGGGGGAGGCCTTAAGTTGCCCTATGGAAGAGAGAGCCACCCAAGGAGCACCAAGAGCAGCACGAGCTCGGGCATTGAGAGCCTATCAATGCCCATCTCTACCCCCATGGGCCTGGGACGTGCATGAAGTTGGTAACCTCTTTGGGGAGCGGGCGGTACCTAGTAGAATGGAGGGGCGGAGGCGCAGCCGGGACGTTTCCAGGGTTCTTTTGGTGTCTGCCTGCGGCAAACAACAGCCACGCACCTCGCCATCACCCCCATGGCAAGTCCCTGGAGATATGGATGATGATGCAAGGTAATTCTGATATCAAGGCAATGGCTTTCTGACCGTTCTTTTTGTTTCTTCTTCACGATCAGAACATCCTCCCCTCAAAGCCCCATTTCCAACCTCAATGCGCTGAGTCGAAACCCCGCCTCTCCCATCAATAACGGACACACCGGATTCTCGACCATGACTATCCGCAAACAGTACCCCTCTCGCAACTACGAGACATTCCACGACGACGCCGACGACAGCATCACGCAGTCTCCCACCTCCTACCAGCGAGGAGGGGACGCAGACAAGTCCCGATCCGCTGCGGCGGAGGCTCAACGACTTGGGTCTCAAGGCTCATGGGCCGACAACTTCGCAGGCGGGACGCCCGCCACTAACCAAACCCCAGCAGCTTCAACCGTCGACGGCGACGAAGTGAGGGATATCAGATATCCGCACCTTTCATCGGACGGGGATCCTTCCGATCCACCTCCAGTCTACACTCCCTCCGCCAGCACTCAAGTTGGATCTCAATCGCCTGCAGCGCCAGCCTCTCCTGTGGCTGCAAGATCGAATCTCTCCTCAATACCAGAGCCAGTAAGCGCTCCTGCCGCAACATCCTCTTCTTCCATCCCGCAATCATCCCCATGTACATCTCGAGACAATGATGAAGAGGAGGGTTCGTCGTCCTCGTCCGGGTCTGTCCAGCATAACCACCACTCTCAACACCACCACCATGATCATCACCAGCACGAAGAAGATGCAGACTCGGATGGCCTCCCTGTTTTCCTACAGCAGCACCCACGCCGGAACCGGTTGTGGTTTCGGGCCGCTGTTAGAGGGCGAGGCTGCCGCGGGGGGCGTCGGCAGGCAATACGACAATGCGATCGTCACAAGCATCGAGCCCGCCGATTCAAGCGGATATGCTTTGTCGTCCTGGCGCTTGTTGCCTGCCTATGGCTACTGATTCCAGGCCTATGCCGGTCGCTCAAGAATGTACACGGACCTTTTTCCTTCTAGCTATTTCCCTTGGGATCCCTCTGTCTGAATTCTCCTTCAGTTGCTAATGCCTTTGTACAGGACGGACGGTACCAGCTCCCGAACTTTGGGCCACGCCCCTCGCAAGCACCCTGGCCGCCGCCAAAACGGGAACATCGTGAGCACGAGACCTTCCACTCTATCACCGGTACCTACCAGCTCTATGATCTGCTCGATCTTTCGACCACAGCAGGCAGCATCACAATCACTGTCGATGTGCAGCCTGGAGACAAACCAGCAGTCCTTCGTCTTTCCTCGTCGGCGGGCAGCGTAAACGTCAAAATGACTTCTGGGGGTGGGTTTTTCACGAAACCCACCATCCCGGACACCGCAAAAACGAGGACACTGGTCACGGAGATCTCTACGAATGCTGGCAGCGTCTCTGGCAACCTGGTGCACGGCAACGGCGGGTCTACCACCATCTCCACAAATGCCGGTTCCATCTCGGTCACTATATTTGCGGTTGGCGTCTCCGAGATGGATCCACAATCGAATATCTCGACTACCTCCAACTCAGGCAGCCAACACATCAAGGTTGTGCCGACCCTGGACTCGACCGAGGCGATCCGTGCCATCGAAGCCGTCCACACTGTACGTGGTAGTGGAAGTATGAACGTCGCGTACCCGCCTCAGTGGGAGGGTATGGTGCATCTTTCCAGCCGCGGACATGGGAGTATTGGCGCCAGCGGAACCGGACTGGTCGTCCGAAAAGAGAGTAGTCGTGAGTTGTATGGATATCGAGGTGCGACGCAGGGGAGGACAGTCGAAATTTCAGAAATGGGCCATGGGAGTGTGAGGTTTTCGTGCTGAACTGGCGAGGCATGAAATACCGAAGTTCCTCTCAGTCTTTGATGCTGAATTGTCGCGTGCTTGTTGACTGAAAAGGAGAAACACTGAAAGATGGATGTTATCTCTTCGGGATCCATGCTGTTGCTTGGGAGGAAGTGCGTGTGGGTGGTAATGTATCCCGCAACTCAAGATTGCGGTGGGATACTCCCGTTCTTGGTTTATTCGTATGGGATGTGAAAGGAAACAACGGGAAACCTTTGGGGTCGGGCAGGCTTCTAGACCCGAAAACGAACAGCTCTTATGGCGTTTGCGTATTGTATACCTACCAATGATCTCAAACGATATTTAGAAATTGAAAAAAATTGGGGAAACAAAACATTCTTGAGAGATCACAGCCACTCCTCGATGTTTTCCCTTTTAAAGATTGCATCCATCACCCCAATATCCAGAGTCGAACCGTCCCTCGATCCTTTCATTCTTCCAGCCCTTGCCGTCGTCCCCTCACACCCCATCCAAGAACCCCTTCGCCCTCATCTCCCTCTCAGTCCAGTCCCACAGCCGCCGCGCCAGCTCTCCGTCCGGGCGGTCCTGCGCCAACTTGCTGGGCGCCTTGCGCTCGCCGACGGGCACGAAGTAGCCGCCCGACATGGCGCGCGTGACCTCGGCGCCCGCGACCGCCCACAGCGAGTTGTAGCTGCCTTGCTCCGGCGTGAGGTAGACGCCCATGCAGCGCAGGAGGGGCGCCAGCGTGGAGCCGCCCCACGCCCGCGCGTTCAGCTGCGTGTCGATGTTGCCTGGGTGCAGCGAGATGGCCCAGATGTGCGGCGCCGGCGCCGTGGCGTCGGCGTCTGCGTTGGTTGGTTCGGTAGTTGTAGAATCGGACTCGGGAGTGTGACGAGGAGCAGGAGCGGAGGAGGGTGGGAGAGAAGATGAGGCCTTGGTGTTGTACCGCGCGTGCAGGGCGTTGGCGTGCAGGATGTTGGCGAGCTTGCTCTGGGCGTAGCGCCGGAAGGTGAAGGCGCCCTGGAGCCCCGTGTCGTCGAAGCGGATCCCGTCCTTGAAAGTCGCGGCGTGGCCCATCGAGCTCACGTTGACCACGCGCACGCAGCCCTCGGGCGCCGTCCGCGCCGTCGCCTCCAGCAGCGGCGCCAGGTGCTGCGTCAGCACCCAGTGCGCCAGGTAGTTGGTCTGCCACTGCGCCTCGTAGCCGTCCTCGCTGCGCAGGTACGGCGTCGCCATGATGCCCGCCGAGTTGACCAGCCCGTGCAGTTGCGCGCACTCGGCCCGGATGCGTCGCGCCCCAGCCACCACCGACCGCAGCGACATCAGGTCCATCACCACTAGGTGGATCCGGGCCGCGACGCCGTCCGCCGTCTCCGCTGGGTGTGTCGTCTGGATCGCCGCCGTGATCGCCGAGATCGCCGCCGCCCCCTTCTCCGCCGACCGCGACGTCATGTACACCGTCGCCCCGTGCAGCGCGAGGTGGTGCACCGTCCAGCGCCCGATCCCCGCGTTGCCGCCTGTCACCACATAGGTGCGCCCTTCCAGCGACGGCAGAGAGTCGGGCGTCCAGGTGAGACGGGGGGCCATGTCCTTTTTTTTTTGAGAGTCTTCAGGTTTTGATTATACGCGGAGAAGTGTGATCAGGGAGATTTTGTCAGTCTGGTCCTTGTAAATGGCCGATTGTGTTGCTTGTTGGTTGTGCCCCGCTGGTGCTGATGGCAATGATGGTCCATTCCTCCTGAGCGCGCCGGTGCCCCTCGAATTTATATGTCGTTCCATTCTGCGTGAAACCTCACTCCGCCCAGAGCGGATTGTGCCCCTGGACCCGAGATTCTTCGCAAAGCCGCCGTTCTTGGTGACGTATGTGGATAAAGTTGGATGGAAGAGAGGTCCCTCGTACAGCCTCGCATGTCGATATCGCTCAAGTTGTCTGCACGATCTGTATTTGTAGAAAAGCGGGAGACGTGGGGAGAAGTTGATCCGGTCCGTCTGTCGATGCGATTGGGCTTTAGGAAAATCCGAAGACCCACTTGTCAGCAGCCTGCATGAGGTGGGTCTGAACAGCCAATCAGATACCGCGGTCGCTGTCCGAGTGCTGACATAATGCACCTGTCACCCCATGTGCCCCCCGGTGGCCCTGAGCTACAGCCACCATCGCTTGTTCCTTGCAGCCTGGGGCTTTTGTCTCCATGTCAGCAAGATGCAGTTAAAACAGAGGGTCCTTCCGCCGTCCAACCCATCAGCATCGTCTTCCCACCCCTTCCAACGAGTGCCAGCGTAATTACCACAAGATAGCAGGGAGCGAAGAATAGGGACGATGCCGCTTGCGCCAGGTCTCCGTGCCGAGTTGAAATTGCACCCGGACGTGCAGTCATTGGACGAGGAATGGTCTGGGGTCACCGACCCTGTCACTCGTCGGAAACTCCAGAATCGACTGAACCAACGAGCTGCAAGTAGGTTTTTTTGGAGACCCAATTTTTCCAAGATCGATCGCGTGGCATTTTCCCCCATCGCCATGCAGACGGCTGACCGGTCGAATAGGACGGCGCAAGGCTGCGCAGAAGACGGGTGCGGAGGACGCCTCGTCAAGTGCTAGCTCCTCGCGAGCTGCAGCAGGGCTCAAAGATGTGCCCCTAGTCCAGCGGGCCGATCTCAACGACCTGATAGCGCTGAGGAGCAAGAGGATCAGCAGCACCGAATGGCACACGGCCCTTGCGTCATTCGACCCCGCGGGCCAGTCGCCCTTCAAGTCCATACGGAGCAAGAATTCCTGCCAGCGGTGGTACGAGGTGCTGCTGGAAAACCGGCTGGTGTCCATCAAGGACCTGGCCGAGAAGCTGGTGACGGACCGCGACAATGCCTGGATGTATCCGCTGCCGTCCGATCACCTGATCTCCCTGATCTACTACAACGTGTACCGGGCGCTCATCTCGAACTGCCACATGCTGGGCCTGGACCTGAACCTGATGTACACCGACGACTATCCCTCCCCGTTCCTCCCTCTGTCCCAGAGCGCCACCTCGAACATCCGCCACCTGCCGCCGTCGCTGCAGCCGACCGAGCTGCAGAAGACCATGGCGCACCACCCGATGTGGGACATCTTTCCTGACCCCGACATCCGAGACAACATCCTCCGGTACGGCGAAGAAAACATTGATGATCTGCAGCTGTGCCTCGACATGGTCGGGGATGGCAACTACACGGGCCTGGAGAATCTCGACACGCAGCAGACGAACGGATTGATTGTGTGGTCGGAGCCGTGGGACTCGACGGGGTGGGAAGTGACGGAGTGCTTTGCGCGCAAGTGGCCCTGGCTGTTGAAGGGCGCACTCAACGCCCAGAAGTCCACGAACAAATGGAGGACGAGCCGTGGGGAGGACCCCCTGGATTTTGACAGGATTCTGGAGATTGAGTGAAGGTCTATACAATGCTCGCGAGGGAGGGCGATTGTCACTGCAGGACACCGGAAAGCTATCTCGACGCTTCGACAAGGCCCCCCCAAACCGGTCGTCAAGATGAGGTGGTCGGTCAAAAGTGCTCTATCAGCAATCTATGGCAAACCACCTTTGGACGGCGAAAGTTTGTCCATGACCTACCTCCTGCCGTCCCTGCAGTCGTCGCACAGCACGCAGAGAGCGCCACACAATCCTCGTTGCACCAGCCATGCCGACGAGACGCCAACGACGAATTTTGGAAACACTATTCCTGTCGTCGAAAAGGCGATACTTGATGCTGATTTTAGAATGTTCCCACCCGAGGAACCGGACACGGTCCCTTCGATGAAACGACGGGTGTCTGATGTTCCTCATGGAAAGTAGAGATCCAATGGTCGGGGATATCTTAGAAGGATGGCCCGTAGGCTGATGATTAGTTGCCTCATGTTTTGTCACGGGATAGATGACATTAGACCGAAAACGTGACTTGCTCGTTTCTGCCGGCAGCAAAGACGCTAGGATGCATGCTCCCAGCTCTCGCAGTTGTCCTGAGCCCGAAATGCTTCGAAATCGAAGCATCAGTTGTTTCTGGGGAAAGGGATTTCATTCTGACGCGAAATGGCATGTTGCGGTTAATGTATCAGAGTCCTTGACGTCGAGGATGACCGACGCCCCCAGAGATACACAATATCATCGCTTCAAGAACAGAGGACCGGTGTTTCTGATGGCGCTGCATGCACAGGGTGTAACAAGCCGAACCTCAACTGAATATCTCTCCGTATTCCCCCTTCTCCCATGCCTTCAATTCGTGCGCAGACACAGAAGTCGGATCATACCCGATCTCGACGACCATAACCCTCTTGTGATGCTCTAAAGCCAAGAGAGTCAGTTTTCCAACAGCTTCGTTGGGGCAAATTTGTAACTTTCAACTTGAAACCAGACTTGCTTCAAGTTGGGCTGGCCGAATCATGGGGATACCCCTCATGCAAATAGAAGGGAAGTGTGTGACTTACTTGGAGATGGTGGCAAGCTGTGCGGCACGAAGCGTGTTGATTCCAAATTCCGTCTGAACGACTCATTGATGGCGTGAATACCAAGTTTCGGAACAGTAGAGAAAGCAAGTAGACCCACGAGCAGGCTGAGATCACCGGCAAGCATACAATGTGGTTGACCATCTATCTGTGCCTGGCAGGTAATAGGGAGAAGCTGCTCGAACCAATCCCGTGGTCCCACTGAATAAAGCTGATACTGTCCGTGAAATCCAATGAACTCAACATGTGACGTTCTGTCTTCGCTCGGTACGAAAGATGGCCGTCTCCACGGAAGTGACTCCGATTCAGCTGTACAATCGATAGAGGCAACTATAAAGTTGTGTCGTTCAGGATCCCATATCAGTGACGCCGATTTATACTTCTGGTGTCGTGCCAACTCCTGAGCAGTCGCTGGTCGTATCCGGTCGAATCCACTGTCGGTTTGAATTGTCCGGGGATCCCAGATCCAGTGCCCACTTGAGCTCTCCTCCACGAATTTATCGGCTTCACTCGGTTGCCAAAAAAATTCTGGACCAGGATAAAAGGGTGGACGTTCCGGATCGATCACAATACCGACGTGCCTGATCCTGAAAATGAAGGGCAGAGCAAATGGGCGTTCAACGCCGCCCGTCGTCTCTAGCGAACTTCTCCGAGAGTTCAGTTCTACTGCCACGTCTGAACCAGGCACGCTGGCATCATCAAGAGAGCGTGGAAGAGCAAACAGGGCGACCTCCACCAAGTGATTACCCACATGTTTCGCGAGCTGCTCTGGTGTCACCACCAAGTCTTGACCAAGTGGTAATGGGTTAGACTTGCTTAGTCCATCCGCCCATTCATCACAAAAAGGGCAGGTTGTTGGCGAGATTTGATCGGGTAGGTACCGGCTGGATTGCACGATGGCAGGGAGAAGTGCTCTAGGCAGTTTGTCCCCATGCCGAGACGATAAGTGTCCCTCGAAGTCGTCGCTGGAATAGGTCTGAAGACAGGGTCAATATTGGCATTTTGCGGAACCTTGGACTCACGGGTTCCACCGTGCAAAAGAAGGAATTACCTCAAATCTAGAATCTGCCAGACTTTGGTAGCAGAAATTGCACCTCCATTTGTACTTGTGGCTTTGTGTTTCATGTTGGACCCACGAATGGCGATCTTCAAAAAGCTTCAGTCCACAGTCTTTGTAAGTACAGACATAGGGCCTCAGATCGGTCAAGACATGTTTTCTGGTCAAGGAAAGATTAGTCCCAGACTCTGATGTTAAGAAAAGATAACGAAATGTACCTCCATGACTTTTCTTGGGAATGTCTTTGGATGATCCAGCAGTAGGGGCAGAGAAAATCTGGTTGGTGTTCCGAAGCTGCTTGGAGCGACATAATCCGACTGACGCTGGAAATATTGGTTTCGTTTATTGTCGTGGCATACGATGCCTGCGAGCGACTTTCATCAAGTGGCTGGAGCAGTCCAGTCGTATTCTCAATCAAGGTAGATGCCGTGGTGGGTGCGAGCTGACTTGGAGGCGTCTCCCGTGCAACCGGATTCTTGAACCCAGCACGATCGCGTGTGGGAACTCCAGTCTTCTCGGAGGGTCGAACGGTATCTTCCAATAGACCGTGTTCAAGCCCCGTTTCTGCGAGTTTCTGGTGATGTTCTCTCATATACCAAAAATACTGGCGGCGCCAGACGTTGGCCTCTCCCAGACGGCGTAAGAGCCATTCGTTTTCGTCCCTAGCCAGCTTGGGGAACTTATGGCTGATATGGGCAATGTCGTACTGACCACTGAACGCTTCTTTAGTTGCCGCCGCGGCTCGCGCATAGCGATCTCTGGTTGTAGAACTCCGAATGACCGTTGACAACCTGAATAAATGTGATATATTATCCGTAACAGCATCAAAAAGTTCCTGGATCTCCGACACCGTTGTCTCCCCCCGGGACTCCGCCTCAATCGCGTCTTCAGATGTCTTTTGTTGCAAAAATTCTTCATAATCCGACAGAGAGCTGACTCGATTGTCCCTACTGCCCGAGGCAATTGAATGAACTGCAATTTTGTCAATTTGGCGAAGTGCGAGGTGGTCATCACTAGCTCACCTCCTTTGAGCGCTTCGCTTATGCCAATCAACAAGGAAGTAATGGGATCTGCGAGACTTTTGCTACTTCTCAACCTATAGTCTAGCGAGGCGGTGGATTGTCGATACTGGAAGGCTCCGATATTTGAGGCCCATATCGTGAGTCTGTCTCTTGCATCGCAAGCCTTGTAATAGGTTACGCCGTCAATCGCCCGGCCATTTCGTCCTCTCAGGATATCGCACGTCGAAGAAAAGTGAACGAGACTGGTCTGGACTGCTGCAGCGATAGGGGAGTCGCTCGGCGCCATCGACAACGACTGCTTAGCAGACAGTGGCAGTGGAGGGGCATCACCGTAACAATACTGATAGGACTAAGATCCCACCCACTGTCATACAACTCGGAAAATTCAGTGCACAATCTTCCTCTTTCAATGGCGTCTGCGGAAAGGACCAGTGACCAACTTACCAACTTTCAGGAGTGCGTGCGTCCACCTAAAGTTGGAAAACAAGTCGACGCGAGCTTCCGTAAGGGTGCCAATGCAAGCCTTACCCGCAGAGCCTCATCAAACCCGCCCTGAAATAGTGGGGTTATAGACAACTTCGACCCCCAACCTCACCTCTCGGCACACAAGTTCTCGATGCCCTGGCAAGGGGCAGGATGAGCGGCATAGAGATTGTTGGTCTTGCTTTGGGCGCGTTTCCTCTTCTCATAAGTGCTCTTGAACACTTTCGAGACTCTGTTGAAACCCTGCACACTTGGTGGCGTTTTGAGAGAGAGTTCAGTAATTTCAAACTCGAAATCGAATACCAGCACCAGCGGCTGAAGCAGAATCTCGAGCTGAACCTGCCTTCCGTTAGTCGTCGATGATGATGAGCGCTTACAAACCTTGATCGCCTCTCCCGGAGGACCTCAGTGGAAGGATCAAGATCTGGAAGAAAAGCTGAAACACCGCCTTCAGGAAAATTACAGTCTCTACATGGAAACCGTCAAAGTAATGAACGAGGTAATGGAGAGGCTGAAAGCAAAGGTTTCGAAAGGACACTCAACTTCAGACTATGAGATACGTCGTTTTCTGTTCGGCCTTGACAAAACGCCTCGTGATGATCTGCTAAGAAAGGTGGATAAGTACAACACGAGGCTGCGAGACCTTCTGGAGACAAGCGACAGAATCAGGCAGATCAGAAAGCGAAGTGCGCTTTCAAAATCTCAGAGATCCCTGCTCAGCGTCTTTAAACATGCCAGCGCCATTTACGCTCTACTCCAAGGTGCATGGAAGGAGAACTGCTGTCGATCACACCATGCTGATCTCCTGCTTGAGAATCGCAAATGCCCCGAAGTTGCCTTCACGTTCTTGTTCCGTGCTAGCGACAACGTGGACCGACCAGATATCGCCTTTTGGCTTTGGCAAACAGCCTGTATCAAACTCTTCAAAGCTCACAACAGTGGCGCAAGCAACAATACGATCACAATTCTGGCGCCAGAGAGCATGATTCAACGAAGTCCGAGGTTGACTTCCCAGGTCGAGCAACCTTCTGCACAAAAGGGATCCTCTAGCATGAAAGGATCGCTCAAGCAGCTTTTCAAACCCAAGTCAAGGTAGGCAGCAGACCGTATTTCGCTAACTAGCACTAATGCTTTCAGTATAGCAGGAGAAAAGCAGCCAGCCCTACTACCACACCATCACCGACGCCTCCCACCAGCATTCCTACGATTACTCCAATTCCGGATGGGGCAGCTCAGATGACACCGTCAATGATCACCGATCTCTGCAAAGCCTTTGCCACGATCTCCTCCTCTGGCGGTCCTCCTGGTATGCTGGAGGATGATGACAACCAATACGTTCTGGCTCTTCCCGAAGCACCTCATCCGGAAACAGATGCTCGAAAGATCGTGAATCTGGGGGCCTTACTGAATAGAACCTCGACCATAGTCCTCACCCGGCGGGATCGCCTATCAATTGCCCTTTCCCTTGCGTCGTCACACTTGAAGCTACATTCAACGCCGTGGCTTGGAAGCCTCTGGAACAAAACCGACATCCAATTCCTCGTCGATCCGCAGGATGAGAACCGTGTTCTGACCGAAAGACCATACCTCTCGCGCGACTTTGTGATCAGCGCGCAAACTTCGATTCCCGGACCCGCAGGTGGTGACTTTGTCTTCTGCGCCCTCGGGATCATCCTTCTGGAATTGAATTTCTACATGCCAATCGAGGATTACGGTCCGAGGAAGGCCCTGGCATCTGCGTTACCGGCGACCGATAGAGCCACGGCACAGATCTGGGACCACTCGATCGCCACGGGGTGGTGTAACGATCTGATGGACGATGTTGGTCCGGACTACTGTTCCGCCGTCCGTTGGTGTCTCGAAAGGACCTTTTCTGAGAGAGATCAATGGCGGGAAAGCTATGTCGAGGAGGTGATCCAGCCTTTGGAAAACTGCTATGGTCATTTGGCTGGAGTACGATATTGACATCTCCCGCCGACCCATGTGCTCATGACTTTACGCTGCGAAAGACATATAAGTGACTACAAGAATGACCGGAATGATCGTGTCCGAAGGGCAAAGGCACGCTCTCTTGAAAATGAAGGCTGTAACACGATGGCGTATATTTTTTTCTTTCTTAGTCGTGGCTAGGGATGCCATCTTCTAGGCCGTGCTATGCAGTTTGTGAATTGGCTTGTGTCTTTACCCATGTAAAGTTATTGCCGGGAAATCCGCCTTTGGTTTAGGCGGCCCGGCCGTTTCTTTTAACGGGTATAAGAAGTGGTCTAGTTTAGATTGGATGATCCGAAGGCCACTTGGACCGTCATGAACGGCGCATTTGCCATTCCGACAGGCGTTTATGTCCGTGTTGCTGATCGCGCAGATGGGAGACGTCTGTGACTTTGAAGATTGGGGATTCAAGTCGCCTAGGCTTTCTCGATAGTCATCAGGGTCGGTTCGTCATGGTGCTTTGGTACGGAGGGTCCTGGCCTCGAAACAATGATCTATTCCGACCACATCAAGGCTGTTCTTGCGCCTTGTGACAGGCTTGGCAACGGCCCGTTTGATTAGTCGCAAAGTCAATTGAGGGAATGTCAAGAATCAAATATCGAGAGCTTCGACTTGGACTACAAAGTTCCATCAAGCCCTTCGAATCTAGAGCGCAGCAAATCACCCGTGAAAGTCGCCCGTCGCACGTAAATGGCCTCATCGCATCTCGCTCTCCGCGTCCTCACGGCGCCAGAGCTGTGGAGCGATGCCGTCCTCGTCCCAACCTGCACGCTGATCAACGAATCCTACAGGGAGCGGGAAGCCGAGGGTCTCCTGGACCGGTATCCCAGCGCGGAAGACTTTGCGCGCGACCTCGACGCAGACGGCCTGTGCGCGGTGATCCAGGACAGCCGGCACGAGAACCGCCCCGTCGCCGTGGCGGTGGCGAAGCGGTGGAAAGGGCGACGGAAGGACGACGACGACGACCGCGCCATTGCCCCTGACGTCGGGACGGGAGATTGGGAGATCGGCCCCGCCGCGTCGCGCAGCTTGCCTGAATATCGCAGCCGCGGGCTCATCGAGCGGTGCTTGCAGGTTCTATCGGCACGACTGGTCGCGCAGGTCACGGAGGGGCCGGTTCGGCTGTGGGTCAAGGTGGTGGAGGAATTCTACGCGGCGTACTGGGCGCGCAAGGGCTTTGTGCAGTGCGGAGCGAGCTACGTGATCCCCGTGGGAGAGTGGCATCGCGATCGAGCTTACACGTTGGTGGATATGGTGAAGGAGATATCGAGGAGCGCTGATGGTGCAGGTAACGCTGGCTCGCGCCTAGAGAAGACTGGAAGTGGCATCATAGAGCCCAGCGCTTCAGAACTGGCGAAATGAAGCACATAGAGGAAGACGGACGCCAATTTCTGCGCTCTGGACTCTGAAGGGACGCTGGCCCGCCACTTGTTCAATCTGTCTTGCCAACTTCGCGACGGAATTCGGCGGCTTTCTGCCAACAACGACAGATGTCAAGTCCACCATCATCTGTTCCAGTGTCTCTGACTGGTCGCGTGGTGACATGCCATCATGCCACATCGCCCCGGTGGACTGGAGTGAGGTTGAGCCCTGCCGACTTATGCTTTGCCAGGAAGAAACACCGTCTTGGAAACCTGGTTTGCGTTCCGGAGAGGAGCAAGTTGAACGTCCGGTCCACCAACGTGAGGAATGTAGAGGTAGGTCTCTACAGGATGTGGCCGCGCTACTGAGCGTGAGACCCTTGCACACTGCTCTGGCATTGTGGTGACACCATCCGAGTAGCCTATTCGCCGCTGTGGTATCGGCAGGTTGGAAGGTCGTCGAGAATCTGGAAAGGCATGCTTGTAATTGCGTCGGGGTCCTCGTCGGTGTTGCGTGGCCGTGCGGCGCCCTCGCAAATCATCATTGGGGTCGGACATGCACGATTTCCAAGCATATCATGCAGCCTCCTCATATTTCGTCCGGCAGCCGATCCTCGTCTATAAGAAGCTGCGGAATCGCACAATACCGAATCTGGAGTTCAAGAAGCAGATCCTCACTTAGAGCAGCAGGCGCCAGCTGGTCATCGTTCCGTTTTGTTCGTGCTGCAGCGTCGCTTGTAGCGACGCCTCGATGTTAATGACTCGGCGCTTGAAAAATCCAAAATTGTCGAGAGAGTTCATGCCCCTTTGAGGTCAATAAGTTGGCGTGAGCCTCGAGCATGAACTTTGAAGGCGTGGAAATCTTGAAGAATGTATGTCGTTGCTCACATCATTATAACCGACCACACAATCGCATCGTCTCGCCAGGCTTCTCTCTTCCGCAAAGACTTCCATAGTCTCGGCAAGGCGTTTTGTATGTGGAATGCAACGGCTTATGTTGGTCAAACTCCACTCAGGTCTTTTTGGAGGTAGACTCTAAGTCCCACCGCGTATGCCACAATGAGTTCGAATAGAATGTCGCTCCGAAGAATATTCTGAATGTACCACGTGGAATACTCAGACTGTTAGTGACTTCTCCAATCCCAGCCAGGTACCTTACCGAAGGCAGATCCTACGCATACTCTGAGAAACTAGTCAAAGAAATTTCCCTGCAACTTGCGTTGAACTGTAGTAATAGGTAGATACAGAGGATTCAGCATAGCTTCGGATTTTCCAGGCGGAGTTGCCTCGGTATGGAAGCTGCTAGGCGCCTCGATTACTATGGAAGTCCGAACATTGTGATCCACATCCAAATGTAATCACCTACTGAGCACAGATCAAAATACTGATGGAGCCTTCATACCTGGGACACCTCCCTCATTTGCCCACACTGCTACCAGAAGAGACAACGACGCTTTCACCTCCATCCCATGAATCGAAGCTTTACTGCCAAGGCCGTGCAAAGTGTTATCCGAGCGAATTTCGTACAATCTCCTGAGACTTTGGTTTAGTAAACACGTCGAGAGGAGTTGGAAGAACGCGCTAAACATGTCTGAAGACTAATCAGCGAGAAACCACATGGAGTCCTTAAGACGTCGAGCTGCTCCGTTGACGAGGGAGGTAGGTCTTTTTCCCTGCATCTTGTTTCTGCGCTCAGGATCTTGTCTGTGTGACGACCAGCAAAATGTCTTCGCACCATCATACGTCTTATGTCGCCGTGATCGGGGGCACTGGAGCCCAAGGCATCCCAGTTGTCCGAGGGTTGGTCAAGGACAAGAAGTACAAATGTCGGGTCATGACGCGAGATGTCAACTCCCACAGGGCTAAAGAACTGGTTGCAATGGGCAATGTGGAGCTGATGGAGGGCACTTTCGCCAGCGAGGAGGATCTTCGCAAACTGTTCCGAGGCTGCGACGGGGCCTTTGTCAACATCGACGGTTTCAACTGTGGCGAGAAGACCGAGATCTATTGGACGATCAGATCATACGAGCTGGCTCTCGAGGAGGGCATCAGGTTCTACGTCTATGGCAACCTCGACTACGTCTACAAAAAGAGCGGCTATGATCCACGATTTCGCACCGGTCACTATGATGGCAAGGGCAGAATGGCAGAATGGATGCTTGCTCAGAACCAGGCCAACAGCCGCCGCATGGGCGTCGCAATCTTCACCACAGGGCCCTACATCGAAATGAGCATCGCCAAAGCCACCATCTTCACGCCCAAGGTCGAGAACGGTATTTTGACCTGGCGCTGCCCCATTGGAGACGGGGCAGTAGTTCACGTCTCCCTGGATGACTGTGAGTACTATGCTCGCTGGCTGTTCGACCACCCAGAGAGGTCAAACGGCATGGACCTCGAAGTTGCAATCGATCACATTCACTATGCCGACTTAGCAAAGGCGTTTGAGAAGGTCACAGGCCACCCAGCCAGATACATTGACACAGACCTGGACACCTACTGGGCCACTGGAAACGTGGCGGGTGCTGCCAATTCTGGAGCAGGGTACAACTCCGACCCCAACGACCCTGCCTTCATGACCTTCAAACAGAACTTCACAGGGTTCTTCAACATGTGGAAGTATTCCGGGCGCAACGAGGGCGTCATTCGTCGAGACTATAAGCTACTCGACGAGATCCACCCCACGAGGATCAGGTCTGCAGAAGAGTTCTTTCGAAAGGAGGACGCTCGGGGGAGGAGACTGGGGCTAGGCAGCCTTTGGGATCGGGTCCAGGAGGAGAACTTGAAGCCGGTGCTTAAGCTTGGTGAAGACAGGCGAAGGGGAAGACTGTAGTGGACGGTAATCATATTCTATGGGTACGACGGTGAATAGGCGCTCCTCTATGCGGCATACAAGTATATACCCATTGCCCTGATAACATTAGTACCAGGGTCTGTGTCAGCTTATGGTGTGCAGATGCCAATAATACACACCTCGGGGCGCATCTGGGCCTGTGCATATGTTAGGTATGCACTCTGATCTGATCCTGCGAATGACGATCTTGGGACGGAGAATAGGGAATGCCCGCTGGCGGTAAGAAGGGGAGCTTGGTGCTGTAGGGCTTCAGCGGTGGGGAAGGGCGCCGCAACACCTGTGGCTAAGGGAGGCGCAGCTCAACAAGGATGACGCCTCCAGGGCCCCGAATGGTCAGCTTAAGCTTCACCAACGGGGCCTCGGTCGATCGCATCGGGCTGGTAGGCTTTGGTGACGCCCGTTTCCTGGAACTGCGCGTGGCGGGAAGCACAAGAGAAACCTTGAACAGAAACCAGGGCATTCGTCACATCATTCCAAAACAGAACCCGTGCAAGATTCAGCCCAAACTTCAATTTCCTTTCTTCTTCTCCAGAGCTGCCGACCCGAGTCTTCAGAGCTGCCGTATGTCGTCCCTCCTTCCCTCGCTTGCGTCTACTCTTGCCGGCCACCGATTCCCATTGAACCTGGCTGCACTTCAGGCTGTCCGACATGGCCTCCGCAGTCGAGCCAAATGCGCCTGTCAATAATGGCACCCCGCGTCCTGCGACACCGAAAACCTCGCGAGAAAATGAACTGCCCCTGCCTCCAATTCCTGCAGCGGAGGGTGGAGGAGAAGAGTTGGATCCAGCGTCCAGAGAAAGAGTGCAACACGTCCTCTCTTCAGATGTAAGCGCAAGCTCAGAGTTTCCGTTGTGGCCCTCTGTTGACCGACCTCTCAGATTGGCATGAGCACATTGCTGCAACGGTTGAAACAAAGCATCGGCTCCACCAAAGTACCGTCCCTCTTGCCCTCTACCCAAGCTGGCTTGCTGACCGAGGACAGGACTTTGCGGCCTTCCTGAAAGAAAGATCGGTCCTAGAAGAGAAACATGCGCAAGGCCTCAAGAGACTAAGTCGGAGCACACACGAGTCGATAGGAAGACCTGATAGCAGACAAGGGACCTTTGCTCAAAACTTCAAGGAGATGACTAGTACTCACGAGCGCATGGCGGAACATGCCCTGCAATATGTCACGACGCTATTCGCAATGTCGGAGGAACTCCACGACCTAGCTGCCAATTCTGAAAGGGCGCGGAAACACTGGAAACAGACAGGCTTGAACGCTGAAAAGCGGGTGCAAGACGCGGAAACCGCCATGGAGAAGGCCAAATACCGATACAACTCGCTGGCGGAACAGTACGATCGCGCCAGGACCGGGGAAAAGCAGCCCGGCAAGTTTGGCCTCAAAAGGTCCGCCGCCCAGCTGGAAGAAGAGCTACGACACAAACTCGAGGCTGCAGATGCTGATTATTCCGCCAAAGTCGATGCCGCGCAGAGTCAGCGAAATGAGTTGCTGAGCACTTTGAGACCGCAAACGGTGAATGCGCTCTCAGAGCTCATCAGGGAGACCGATGCCGGCCTGACTCTACATGTCCAGAAATTCGCCGATCTCAGTGAGAAGCTGCTCGTGGGGTTTGGACTGTGCATTGCGCCTATCAAAGGCCCGTCGCCGATTCCAGGTCAAGGCACCAAGAGTCTGCGCGAACTAGCCTCGGACATCAATAACGAAAAAGATTTGTCCGACTTTGTCCTTGGGTTTAGCAACAAGGCTCCCACGAGGCCAAACGAGATCAAGTACGAAAAACATCCCTCGCTCTCGCCAAAACAGCAGCAGCCTGGATTTACAGATCAATATTACAATGAAGATCCTTATACTCCGACTCACGGAAGGCAGGTTTCGGGAGTCACACCTTACCCAGGCGAGGAGTATTACGATGATGGATCGCAGTCTCAATATTATCCAGGGAATCAGGGGCCCGGACAGGGGCCTCAACAGCAGCAGCAGCAAGTGGGTGCTCCCCAAGGTGCTCAAGGCCCTGTTCAAAGGCCGCCCGCTCCTGCACAACCTCTCCAGAGTAATCCTGCCGCAGGAAATCAACCGCTAGGCGCTGGGCCCCAAATTGCTGCGGCCGCTGTAGGTCAAGCTCCTGGGGCGGGACCGGGTCACGTCAGGAACGTGTCCCTAGGGCAGCCGCCTCCTGGTCAGCAGCCCATGAGTCAACAGCAGGCCCCAGGAACTCAGCAAAACGGCCAACCAGGCCAAATGGGCCCTCAAGGTCAAGGTTCTCCTCCTCAGCAAGGGATGGGTCGGGGACAACCACCACAGGGTATGGGACGAGGACAACCGCCACAAGGCATGGGCCGTGGGCAAGCACCACCAGGTACAATGGGCCGGGGACAACCGCCTCAAGGGGCATCTGGTCCAGGTCAGCCACCACAGGGTGCAATGGGAAGAGGCCAAGCACCTCCAAACGGTTCTGGTCGAGGTCAGCCACCACAAGGCCCCATGGGACGCGGGCAACCCCCTCCAAATGGAATGGGACGAGGAGCACCACCAGGGGCAGTCGGCCGTGGTCAGCCACCGCAAGGAGGCATGGGCCGAGGACTGCCGCCGCAAAATAGTGGCATGGCTCCTGCTGGCCCACAACAAAACGGGCCTCCTCAGGGAGCCGGGCGTGGAACGGCCGGCCCAGGGCCAAACGGACCTCAGAATGGCGCTCCTCGCCCAGGTCCTACTGGTGGCGTCAGTACACTCCCTTCAAGAACCCAGGCAGGTCCGCGACCAGGGCCACCTATTCGGCCCGTTTTTGGAGTGTCCTTGGACGAGCTATTCCAACGAGAAGGATCTGCTGTACCGATCATTGTCATACAGTGTACTAGAGCCGTCGAGTTATTCGGTTTGGACGTCGAAGGTATCTACAGAACTTCTGGATCAACGCATCACATTATGGAGTTACGACAACAATTCGATCATGGTAAGATCACTGATCTTGAGTATTGAAGCACCAGCTGACCGATGTTTAGATGCCGATGCAGTCGACTTCCGCAACCCGGCGGCTTTCCACGATGATATCGCTTCGGTGACCACACTCCTCAAGCATTTCCTTCGCGATCTGCCAGACCCGTTGCTCACGGCAGCACAATACCGAGAGTTTATTCAAGCGGCCAAAATAGACGACGATATTGTGCGCAGAGACTCGGTGCATGCTCTCGTCAACGCTCTACCTGATCCTAACTATGCGACTCTGAGAGTACTGGCAATTCATCTATTCAAAGTTGCACAGCACAGCGCCAGGAACAAGATGACCCACAGCAATCTAGCAATCGTGTTCGCTCCCACGTTGATGGGCCAGCAAGGCGGCGTGAATGGGAATGTGGCCGGAGGGGCTGACATAGCCGACGCGGGATGGCAGGCGAAGGTCGTCGAGACCATTCTCAACAACACCTTCCAGATCTTTGACGACGACGAGGCCGCATAGTTGAAGAGGTCGCACATTTGTATCGACTCGTGGGATCACCGAATGTGCCTCACGGAAATCGATGGGATCGAGTCCACACGGAGGGTCTACAGTGTGGTCATGTACAATAAGTGCAATGTACTAGTGATTGAGCCAGGGGAAATGACCAGGGATGGATTTCATTACAATGGATTTCACGGCGGGAATGTGAAGGCACGATTTATGAAAATGTCGCTGGGTGAATACAGATAATCCATAATGTCGTTTCCACGATCTCGTGTATCATTCCAATCTCAAGCTACTGACTTCAGCAACCGGAGTTCCGGCGTAAATGAGATGCAAAGTGTCGCGTCTTTGAAGATTTCCCCTCTTTCGGCCTCACCTCCTACTTTGCCACACTCCAACTTCTCCACGACCACTCTGTTTTCTGTCTAGTCTCTTCGGATATTCTGCCTTTGACGACGTCTATGTCCCAATCCTGTGGACTCGGAGAACTGCCGTGCCTCCTGAATGATGTATCATGACTAGCCCTGCGAGATTCGGGACGAAAGATGAAGAGCCCTTTGTTGCGACAGACGCCCTCCAAAGCGCCATGAGTGTTCATGGCTTAACGCCCCCAAGTCGACCGGCTTACCCTCCGTCATTGGCCGACTGGGAAGACTACAAGCCTATCATCCACAAGCTATACGCCCAAGAAGGGCGAAGCCTCTCCGAGGTGCAGAGGACTCTCTGCCAGAAATACCACTTCAGAGCGTCGTAGGGAGTCAACACTACAGTCGTCGTCGTCTCCTGCTGATCTCGTCTAGGTGTCGCTCATACAAGAACAAGCTCAGGTCGTGGGGGATTCGCAAATACTACCGGGCGGGAACTCCCCAGTCGAATCCGCCGGGCATCTTGTTTGATCCTAACACGGCTCTGATCTCTACCTTCAATAGCGAGTTCTCCGCGGGAAGGATCAAGACCGAAGACGATGGCCAGTTCATCACGGGCTCACCGTCGCGGATAAGCAGTTTTCCTCGGGATGGGTTCGCGCTGCCTGCCGCATTTGATCACAAAAGTCCAGCACTGCGACAGGGCACACAGCAAGAGCTGGTCAAGCGACTCCGTGATGTCCCGAGTTCAGTGCCCAGCTTCTTTATCAAGCACGCGATCGATGATCCCGCCGAGTCAATCGTTTTGGCCACTGATGCCTTTGTTAGGTCTTTCGCAGACAGCCCGCCTCCGCCCACCCCCACCGACGCGCCAATCAAGCAGATCAAACCCTTCCGCCGGCGGAAAAATTACATCTGGCACCAGTTTCAGCACGGTCTGAACCTCTTGGAGCAAGGCGACGTCCGCACCGCATTTGCAGACTTCCAAAGGGGCTGTGCCATGGCTGAGGAGTATCTGCTTCGCCCCTCCAAATATGCCCTGGTAAGTCTGTTGCTGGTCATGGGGAACCGCCGCTGGGAGCGCCATCAGCAGGTCTGGGAGTCGGTCTTGCGGTTCATGTCCTCCATGTCCGCGAAAGCGCTGGGGAGCCAGCACCCTCTGGCCCATATCATGAGAAGGATCATGGACTGGGACCTGATGCGCGGCGTCGCGCAGACTTCCCTGACCGTCATGTTAGACCTGAACCAACGGAAACTGGGACCCGCGCACCCGGACGTCCTCCTTCTGCAGCAGAGCCAGTCGGTCGAGCTGATGCGCCAGGGCGACTTCGAGCGGAGCGAGTCTCTGGTCCAGGACTCCTGCCGCGTGAGCCGCCAGGTCTACGGGCCGTCCAGCCCGGCGACGCGCAACTGCCTGCGCCGGCTGGGCAACCTGTACCTCGAGCAGCAGCGGTGGGACGACGCGGAGAGCGTGTTCGAGAACATCCTCGCGCTGGACTCCGCGGCGAACGCCTACCGCGGCCCCGGGGACGAAAGCAGCGTCTTCACCTGCCAGAACCTGTCACTGGTCAACTGCCGCCGGGGCGACCTGGCCAAGAGCCACTACTGGGCCCAGCAGGAGCTGGATCTGGCCCTCAAGATCTACGGGCCCGAGGACGAGTACTATGCCGACTGCGTGAGGCGGCGCGCCGCCCGGCTCAATGGGGAGCCTCCGCAGAAGTGGTTCTCGTGGCTGGAGGTCAGCTGAAAGGAGCTGGTGGACGTCACCAAGCCTTTTGAACCCCGGTGCTCTCTTTGGGACGGGACAGGTCCTTCAAGAGGAGACGATTACATGGACTTTGGATTCCATTGGATCTGAAGGACTGCTGGAAGCATCGGAAACGGAACAAGAAGTCCCACCTACGCGCGACGAACAGCCTACCATCCGCAAACAACTTGATAGGCTACGGTAGAGCAATCTCGTCCGTCAATTATGGCTCTTGAGATTGGCAGGTCAATTTGAAACCGCCCGGGACATCCCTCTGAAAGATACCCTGCGGATCATACACTCGACTTGCGCGCCCCAGTCTGGCGAAGTTCTCCGGCCCATAACTCTGCATTAGAGTCTGACCTGGATCCGCATAATTCAGGTGTCGAAACCGGTGAAGCATCCCCTGCCCCGCGGCGAGAGCGTCAAGATTCTTACCAACACAGACTGCGCGGCGCGTTCCACCAGGCTGTTGGCCGGGCTGTCCGGCCACAGCGCGGAGACGAGGAGAATATATGTGTTCCCATCGGCGATCGACGTCCCGAGCGAGTTCCCACCCCTGGCTGAAGTGTCAGACGAGATGATGGTCGGGAGTGGCTCGAAGGCGATACTCCACACCACCCCGCCGGGAACGGTGAAGTTGTAGAGGCTGGCGTTGAGGAGGTCGAAAGTCTGCTACATCAGCGGGGCGGAGGCGGTGTACGCGCCCGTCCAGAAGAGCCAGTTCTTAGAATTGGAGGCGTGAGCAGTGGGCTCGGCAGGCTTTCCCGAGGGATAGCAGAGGGGGGATTCGGGTATCTCACATCGGCGGCGTTTGGCTCTCGTTCGCAAACGTCGACAGATTCGTCACCATCGTCGTGTTGGACAGGCTGGGAATGGCTTTGTGGCCTTCAGTGAGCGGAATGCCGGCGGGTCAGGGTCCGGGCGTGTATAGACGGCCGAGTTGCTCAGCGTCCACGCCTTGCTCGTAGCGTTGAACAAGAGGCCTGTCACGAGGGAGACGAAGGGGTCAAACGGCGAGGCGGTGGTCAAGTTGGTGAAGGCCTCGAAGACCCGTTCCCATTCGGCGATGGCGTGGCTGAGCGTCGTGACCGACACGTCTCCCTGCGCGATCGTGGCGAGGTCGACCTGCGTGACGACCCCGAAGTTGTTGCCGCCGACCTTCAGGGCGCGGAACGGCTGCGGCCGCGACGGCGAGCCAGGAGGACCCCGCGCTCACGGACACCACGTCCTTGCTTTTATTGTCTTCGGCTGGATCTTAGTCTTCCTATTTCTGTAACTTAAAATGCTACCGTTAAACCTAGCCTCGAAGCTGCGGCAGATCGATTTCATCGGCACCCCTTTCTTTATATCAGCGCTGGTCAGGAGAGCGACGTTTGGGAGAAGGAAGGCCCAGAACAGGGCTGGCCACGACCTGGAACGCCTTGCATGCCCCAACAACGCCTTGGTTCAAGAAGAGGCAGTGCGGCCTGAAGTCCGACCTCTGGCCTTGACAGAAGCGGGACATCAGGCTACAACAACAATTCCTTTCCCCCCAGCCTTGTCCCAATCTTCCATCATTTGAGACACAAATCATCGAGGTTCAACAACAATAATTGCTACTTTCATGATCACTTTGAATTCCCGAATTCCCTCAGACCCATCAATCAAGGCAGTTGAATACATCTAGCTAAGACCGCATACCACAAGCAATGGGCGTGCCTGCCTGGCTTGATGACTCTCGGAATCCCGGGGTGTGGATTGTCGCCATCTATCCTCTCCTGATATTCCTGCTTGCCCTTGTCTGCCACTTCCAGATGCAGGATTTTGTCGAAAGCTTTCCGCTGGCGCCAGATGATGCTGCAGCTACAAAAGAAAGCCAGACTTCAGACATAGGAGATACATCATCCATGGAGTACGACTTGATTCCGCCGGGTGGTGCGAGTATTGTCACAGAGCAGACAGACCCTGCGGGTGGAATCAATCCAACCGCCGAAGTTCCCGAAGCTCGAGTTCCACCCTGTAGGGACGAATCTTCGGGACACACGAGTGTCGGCAAAACCGAAGGAGTCTCGCGCCCTAAGCAGTCGAAATACACCAAAGGAGTTCTCATTTACGGCCTCCAAATTCTTCTAGCACACCGCCTCGGGGCTCTCGCCACGAGACGAGTGCAGGAGACCCACAGCATTGCAGACAAAGTCCTCGGGTTGCTGGCAATGACTGTCGTTACTTTGTTGGTCCTCACATCCCTTGGACATCTGGAAACGCCCAGATCAGTGACACTCCGGGGGTATCGCACACATGGAAGATACGAACCGCTCACAAGTCTATCAGACCCTTGGACCCTGTTCGTTCTCTTCACCTTTTGTACTTTGATGGCACCATGGCTGAGGCTTCTTTTTGGCCTGATGGGGTGATAAAAGCTGAGGAGGAGAGAAAAAGGTCTGTCTCCAGAGAATGAGCATCTACAAAATCAGCAGACTCGATGTCAAGTGAGAACTCCCTGTGATAGAGTCAGGAGGCACCTCAAAGTGATTCGACGTTCTCAATGTCATTGTCATATTGTACGTCGTGAAAGATTTTGGATAGGAAGGTGACAGAATTTGGTACCGAAGCGACGTGGGCAGAGAATTATTGCAACAGACTCATCGAGGTATATTTCTCTAAAAGGCAAGGGCAACGCCAGGAGTAGTTCACTGCTGGGTAAATAGCAAAGTTTGCGTTATCCAACGATCAGCTACGGCTCTTCTTCGCCGGGAGCAACCATCATTGGCCTGTCAAAAGGCATTTCTCACAGACAAGAGCAGTCAAGATCGACGTTCATATCTCAGAATTCGACGCTTCTGGACACTCGATCTATGGCGGACAGTCCATTTTTCTGATGAAAGCCATTCTGGACTGGGACCACGCCGCAAACTCAAGGTTATACGTAAGCGAGGCGAGCGCTGTCATGATGAGTGCATTCGGAAGACCTTCAAAGCAAAGAATGTCAAGCATAAAAATGAGAAACGCTGGCATGTTTAGGTGGTAATTAGCTAAAACTGCAAGTCCAATTTGGTCCAGGCCTTTTTGGACGATAGACTTGTCGAGTATAAAGCATTATCTTACTGCTGGGGAGATCTTACAACAACCGCAACAATAGATGTGCATGGCAAGGCCGTCAAAGTAGGTCACAATCTTGAGTGCGCTCTCCGTCGCCTTCGTACGAACCTGTTCTACCACACGAATCTTCTTTGTTCTGGTTGCGGTGAACCACGTTATCCGGCAACACTAGAGAGGCAAATCGCATCCCCTGGTCTCTTATGGATTGATAGTCTTTGTATCAATCTTCAAGTCCGAAAGAGCGGAGCAAACAGGTAGCTATGATGAAAAATATTTATGCTAGAGCCGAAGAAGTCGTGGTATGACTGGGAGAGGAAGGAAGTGATACATTGCGAGCCTTTCGGCTGCTCCACGGACTCGATGATCTTTGGGATATGGTCGCTGAAGGTGCCCAACGCTTACTATCGTACCTAGTGGGGAATGAGCAATTCAGAGGCCATTGGCTTGCTTTGGGGCAACTTCTTGGACGCTCTTCGTGGCAGCGTATCTGGGTCGTTCAGGAAATCGTCATGGCTCGCAAGGCATTCGTCCTTTGCGGGCGTTGGGCCGCCGAATGGGGTCAAATTGAGAGAGCTATCGCAGCCTTCAAGGGATGCTTCATCTACATTGACGAACTTCAACAGTCCGACATATTTCATCAGTCCGAGGAGCTGCAACCTTTTACCCCAAAATGCTGCAAACCTGCTGTTAATCCAGCAACTGAGATTCGTCGTCAAAAATCCGTGCCTGAGAAGAAGTCCCTATGACTTTCAGGCCTTGTTGGGATTGGCAAAAGGCAAAGATACGACGGAACCGCGGGACACAATCTTTGCACTACTGGGAATTTGGAAAGAGTTACGACACCCAGATTTGCTCGAGGTTGACCATGCGATCACAACTTGCAAGCTTTACATGCGGGTTTGCCAAGTTCTGTACGACTACACTGGCACTGTTAACTTCTTGAACCTTGTCGAGGAGAGATCGCATCGCAAAGGACGACCAGGATTTGGGGCTACCTGACTGGTGTCCCGATTGGAGGACGCCTTCTGCTCGAAGTGACAATTTTGCCCTCCTGGATGGCGCAACCGTGTCACATGGCTATCTAGAGTCAAACACCATACGATTGGCCTTCACCCGGGATTCCACATCCAAATGCGAATTCGACTTCGAGTCCAAGAGATTGATGGTTAGAGGATTTAAAGTTGACGTGGTTGAGGCCATCGAAATTGCGACGGATTGACCTTGATGCCGAGTTTCGAGCTAGCCTAGGACCGACCAAAAGATATGGCAAAAGAATCTGCTGGCACCTACCCAGCCCGGAGGAAGAACTTGTGTGTAACGTATTTTGGTCCAGCAGATTGAGTTCGGTCCGTCTCTCCGCGAAAGAAAACGAGCTTTTCGCTCGGACCACCTGACGTAAAATCTCGAGAAGCTGCCCTGTGGAATACTTCCTGCTTCAAGACTCAGCAGAAGAGAAGGTACAAGTTGCTAAAATGCGTCCGCCCCGAGCGCGAGGAAGAATCACGCCACAAGCGGCAGCGATATCAAAGCCAGAATACTTCTTCTGAGCAGGAATCTTGAAGAGACCGAGACGATCAAGCGACTCCACTGCTGTGTTGACATAATCAGTGTTAAGCGAGTGCCGCCGCGGCTGCGTCCAAGCCCGAAAAGGATGGATTTCAAACTTAGTCTCGCAGTGCACACTGCACACCCAACTGGTCTATTTGGTCCAGCAAGTTTCCCCCCCCCCTCGAAATGGTGTTTTGCCCAACAGGATTGGCTGCTCTGCAGCTTATGCTGACTCAGGGTGCAAGAAGCGAAACATGGCTTCGCGCCCGTCGCCGCCTTCGACCAATGGCAATAACTGGTGGGGACGAACGACGGAGACAACACACCTACCAAGAAGACCTCAGCTCACATATCTAGCCATGCCGTCTAGTAAAAGAGGGGATCTCTCGTTACCCTACTTTTAAAGCGTCCAGAATGCTCCTGCATACATACGAACATCCCGACTCAGAAGAAGGCAGGAGCAATCCTGATGAATTCGGCAGCGTCGCCTGTTCCATTAACTTTCATCGTTCAGACCAAAGATCGGCCTTTCAATGGCTACCATCTTGGCAGAGTCAACTCTCATGTTGCCAATTACTCGCATCAAAGACGAAAAATAAACCCGAAAGACCGAAGGCAAACAAATCGCGCTGGAAAACGCTACTCTGATCGTCTTGATGAACACTCCCCCGACAAGACCCTTCACTTCCGACCCAGCCCTTTCTCTTCCCTGGGGCAGAGTGCCGAAGATCCTTTCGATTCGCTTCCTATTGCCGTCGTTCCAACAATCAACTATGTCATTTCGTTCAATCGTCTGGCTCTCACTCCGTCGCCGGTCAATTCTCAATTCGAAATGCGAAGAGCTTGGAAATGGACTAGTCAGTATGATTGCGATACCAGAAATGCTTTGCAGGATGAGATTCTGGCCTACGCCCACCTAAACCGCCTCATAGCCGTGGTGGCGTTCGTCATTGGCGGAGAGCAATTCCAGCAATTGGCATTGACCTACAAGAATTTGGCCATGTCCAAGCTGCAAAATTTGATCGTGGCGCACAAGCTCAAGACTACGGAACAGACATGCGACCTCATCGCTTCACTATACACAGCTGAGGTTGCGGCGCATAATTTCGAGGCTGCCACGGTTCATGGGAGAATGCTGCGCCACATGTTGCAACCCGGTCGATCGATCGACATAAGCGAGCGACTTGCCCGTTCCATCTTGTGGCAAGACGTCCACCGGGCTAGTATGACGCTGGAGCCTACCTTCTTGGACCTCCAGCAGTACGCACAGAACTATCTTCCTCGCAGCCCCAGCACGCCTGTGTCCTGGGGAGATCTAATGCCGTCCCGATGCAATCCTATTCCCTGTGTCATTGACGGAGCGATGAGGTGTGCGGTCCTGCGAGGGATCTTCAAAGAAACAAGGCTCTACTACTCGGTGTCGAGTATTCTCGTCGAACAAAACCTGCCGGCTGAGGACCTCTTGTCAATGCTTTCGAGCCGCCACGGCATTATGCAGGGCCATCTCGTGAATAATTATGTACGGTGCGCTGCCAACATCCGAACCTCCGGGCTTGAACGAGATCCCTTCTCGGACCTCCACTGCAAGGCATGGGCTACCCTGGCAACGTTGCTTTGGATTCGCTTTGCGGGACACTACGAGATGCAGATCCCTCCTCGACCACATCCATCCCGGGGCGCAAGGATTCCTGCTGGTGACTTACCGGAGGCCATTCCGGCATTTCCTCCTAGCCAACTCGCAATGTATTCCGCCGCGCCGGGCATGATTATGGCTCTCCGTCGTCACTTGGAAGACAGCAAGGCAAGCACTCCCGCGACCATCGGGACTCCTCTGGTACGCGCCCGCCTTTGGGCCACCTTTGTCGGGGCCGCTGCGGAACAGGCTGAAGAGGGGTTCGATGGCTCCGAATCCGGCGGGAAGGGGAATTGGCACAATCTCGAATTGGTTGAACTGGCTTTCCTCATGGGGCTGAGCACCTGGCGCGACGTGAGGCCCATCCTGGAGGGGTTCCTCTATTTGCCAAATGTCGGCCTGGCTGCCGCGGAGTGGTTTGAATGGTATGTTGAACATCCCACCTTGTATCAGGACCGAAACGGGCCTTTGTAGAAATCAAGAGGTAAAGTTCCCACTAGGGTTGGATGTGCGCAACGTTGGCGCCTATAACATTGACGCCTAAACAGGAGTCTCACTGGCACGTGAGGGAGTATAACAGGAGCGGGCCAGAGAGCGGTGAGGGCGTAGGAGGGAGCAGGAGGGAGCCGACGAGGGAGTGAGTCAACTAAATAGTGGTTAGCGGGAGTGTAAAGCGGCGGGTTATGAGTGAGCAAAAAAGTCGCGGGCGACAAGAGTTTAAGAAGTATATATATAAAACGTAGGTGCATAGCGAGTCGGCCAGCATAGCGAGTCGGCCAGCATAGTGTTACGAACCGACCATATGGGAGGCTAAGGGAGAAAATAAGAAGGAAGATTAACCGAGAGGAACATGCCAGACATCAGCGTCTTAGTGTGAGGGTTTGGAAAGAGTTCTGCAACTAGCTAGCCAACCTAGTAATAAGGAGGATAAATCTGAGGAGAGAGAAGGAAGGAATAGCTATCCTTCCTTTCTCCTTATATCCTCCAACGCGCCGCAAGGAGGTAACTATTATCCTCACCTCCTTACTCCTTTCCTTACGTACTTATTCTAGCTCCTTACCTTCCCTTACGTACTTATTCTAACTCCTTACCTTCCCTTACGTACAGTGTCTTAGCTATTAGGACTTAGTATCCCTTACACCGTATGTATCTTAACTAATCAGGAGGTAGTATTTCGCCTATACATTATATAGGCAAATCTTAACTAATTAGGAGGTAGTATTTCCTAGCGTTAGTCTTAGCGCTGGTTCGCTAGAACCGAGCCTTCTCCTAGGTTTAACCTATTACATCACCCCCCCTCCTTCTATACTTACCTAGAAAGCCTCGTACGTATCTAGCGCGGCAGAGTCTTGTAGCGCGTCGGCCGGTTCCTACGTTAGTTCGGCGTATCTAGTCCATTTCACTAGGTATTACTTCTAGGATCCTCTTCCTCTTCGTATAACCCTATCTTCTAGGATCGCCTCTACCTTATATTCTTTATCGTCTCTAACTATCACCGGCGTAGGCTGATTATCGTCCGTTCTCTACGAGTTAAGAGAGTCTATTAAGGCTATATAAAGGAGGTCTAAGTAGAAGACATTATGAATACCTAGTAGGGTGTTTAGGCGGTAGCTATAAGATCTCACTACCTCCGTAACGGTATACTTCGTATTCTTCTAGTCTAGTTTCTTACTAGTACGCATTATTCATACGTTTCTTAAGTTAAGCTATACCTTATCGCTAACTTAGAATTACGGTACCTATTATCGCGTTTAATTTATTCTCTCCTCCTACTCCTACTACGTAATAGCTATTAAAGACTACGCCTATTCTCTCGCCTCTTAGAGTCGCCGTATAATAAAGTCTACTTATTATATAGGTCCTTAAGGAGTCTCCGTTATACGGGGGGGTTCTTATATCTGAAGTAGCTTAACGTGATACCTATATAGTAGGAAGAATGAGCTTACTCCTATAGAGTATGCGTCGCGATTATTGATTACTAGTTCCGCTATAGGTAGGAGTTCTACCTAGTTATCCTATTTTCCATTTATAAACGTACGAAGGTACGTTTCGACCGTTTAGTTTATTCGCTTAGTAGATCTATCTATCTCCGGGTGATAAGCTATAGATAGTTACTATATAATACCTAAGAGTTAATAGATCCTTTTCTATAGTATACTCACGAATTAGGGGCCGCGATCTAATATAATTACCGATAGTAGTCTATATTATCGATAGAACGTCCGTAGGAAGACTCCTACTACGTCTTTTAACTTAATCGTACGTAACGGTTTAAGTAAGACTCCTTTCCCTAGTTAATCTATAATAACTATTAGGTTTATATAGCTCTAACTTTCTAGGAGTTCCATAATAAAATCGACTAATACTTCCTTCTATAGTTAATTAGGGATTAGGAGAGGCTTTAGGAACCCCTATTTCCGTTCCTTCTAGGCCTTTATCTATCTATAGATGTCGTAGTTCTATATAAACCTTTAAATATCTTATAGTATATTTAGCTAGAAGAACTACCTTACTATTAAGGCTATCGTCCCTTCTTAACCTAGGTAACTGATAACCTTTAAGTTATATACCTATTAAATAATTACCGTACGGAGAGCCTCTAATTCCGGCACCTAACGCCGTCCCCGAAATAGTAGTTACCCTTCCTTATTAAGGGTATATTCTATAATTAATACTTTTAGACCTAAGCTAAAGGGGAACGTATAGGCCCCTCTTTATATAGACTTAATAGCCTCCTAATATATCTAGTCGTTCTATTAAGTTAATCTCTATTATTCTTTAATTAACGGTCCTTCCGTCGATATCGTATTCACTTATA